TGAAGCAACCCGCATCAAGTTCCTCACTGACGGTCTTCTGATTAGAGAGGCGCTCGTTGATCCCTTGCTTTCTCGCTACTCCGTCATCATGATCGATGAAGCCCATGAACGGTCCATCAGCTCCGACATCTTGCTTGGCTTGCTCAAGAAGATCCGCAAGAAGCGCCCCGAGCTGAGGATCATCATCAGCAGTGCAACCCTGCAAGCCGAGGAATTTCTCAGGTTCTTCTCCGATAGCACTGACGAGGCCAAGTCCGCTGACAATGTCAAGTCTGACGAGAAGCAGGATGCCCCAGTCGGCGCCATCGTCAGCTTAGAAGGCCGAACCTACCCCATTGATATTCTGTACCTCGAGAAACCCGCCGAGGACTATCTCGAGAAGGCCATCTCGACCGTCTTCGACATTCACACCAACGAACCAAAGGGCGACATCCTTGTTTTCCTGACCGGCAGAGACGAGATCGAAAAGGCCGTCGAAGCTGTCTCCGAGCGCTCGGCCCAGTTGCCCGCAGGATCCGAAGCCATATTGCCTCTGCCGCTTTATGCTGGCCTCCCGACTGAGAAGCAGATGTACGTGTTTGATGAAACTCCGGCCAATTTCAGAAAGGTGATCTTTTCGACCAACATCGCCGAAGCCTCCGTAACCATTGATGGCATCGTCTATGTCGTTGATTCCGGCTTTGTCAAGCTGCGGGCATACAACCCCCAGACCGGCATAGAGACACTGACCGCGACCCCCGTATCCAAAGCCTCTGCGGCCCAGCGTGCCGGGCGAGCGGGCAGAACGAAAGCCGGAAAATGCTTCCGCCTCTATACCGAGGAAGCGTACCAGGCCCTCCCTGATGCGAACCCTCCCGAGATTCAGCGCTCAAACTTGGCACCTTTCGTTCTTCAGCTCAAGGCACTGGGCATTGACAATGTCTTGCGCTTTGATTTCCTCACTCCACCCCCTGCTGAGCTCATGACGCGGGCCTTGGAGCTGCTGTACTCCCTTGGTGCTTTGGATGATTACGCCAAACTCACGAATCCGCTGGGCCTGAGGATGGCTGAGCTGGCCGTTGAACCAATGATGGCCAAGACCCTTCTCTCCGCCCCTTCTTTCGGTTGCCTTGGCGAGATGTTGACAATTGCAGCCATGACCAGCCTGGGCGGTTCCATCTGGGTCCAGCCCGACGGCGGAAAGGAAGAAGCAGAGAGCGCGAAGCGCAAGTTCGCTGCTGATGAAGGTGACCATCTTACGCTTTTGAACGTCTACCAGGCATTCGTTACCAAGGGCCGCAAGGAGGCTCGGTTCTGTCACGATAACCTCATCAACTTCAAGGCCATGACGCGTGCCATGAGCATCCGCGCGCAGCTGAGAAGGTGGCTTGAGCGCTTTGGGATCACCGAGGACGACTCGTCTGCCGCTCAGGGAGCAGCTGGAGTCAACAAGGCGGAGCAAATCCGACGATGCCTGACAACGGGATACTTTGCCCATGCTGCACGCATGCAGCCAGACGGGTCCTTCCGAAACGTGTCGGGCACCACGGTGCTGCACGCCCATCCCAGCTCGCTCATGTTCAACCGTAAGGCTGACTGGGTCATCTTCCACGAGATCATGGAGTCCGGAGAGAAAACGTTTATCCGGGACATCACCAAGATTGAGAAGAACTGGCTGGTCGAGTATGCGCCTGCCTTTTACAGTACGATGTGAAAGGCAATCAATCATCACGAGGGCCAGACCCAGCCCACGTGAGCGGCGGTCTCGATTCTGCAGGGAGAGCAGTAACCCGTTTTCCAGGTTTGAGTTTCGGATGTTTGATTGAGTAGGTAGTTTCAGGTGTACAATCCCAATATCACCACATGTCTTGTCTTTGATACTGCCTCCCAGTAGTACTACGTGCCGCCAAGTCTGTCTGAAGAAGGACGCTTCGGACATTCGATGAACGTGTTTGTGCGACCACATGGCATCCAGTCAAGAACCTCCGCACGCTGTCCTACAATCAACTAATGACGCAAACGATATCCCATACGATACGCTGTGAAACAATATCCACGTCGAGCCATTGTAGGTAGTGAATGGATAATTTCCTTGGCATTTCCGCTTCCCCCCCTCACCCACGAGCTATTTGCAGATCGTTCTTATGTATGCCCCGGCGGACTTTTTGTATGGAGTGGATGGGGACATTTTTGGGTCAACTTTGATTTCGTCTCCGCAAGGAAGGGGAGCCCGAGATGGTGGAACACCGGCGTGCACTGGAACCAAACCTGGAAGTGTGTGGGGAGAAACTGAAGAGAGGCTATTCCCGGAATTTCCTTTGCAGAACGAATCGCAGAAAGAAACAACAAGGCAGGGTCGGAAGCATCAGTCAAGATAGATGTCAATCTTCATGGCAAAGGATATTGCGCGGCAATAAGAACTGAATTTCAAATGATCGATCGGTTAGGATGGCTGGGCACGTCTTTCGGGCAGCGAGGCGACTGCGGCTATGTATAGGTCTACACTACGCAGTACGCGCAGTATCTCAACTGCTGGGTATCGCTGAAGGACGATCGGCAGATGCAATGAGTTCTTTCCTTTTTCTGCAGATGGTGAATCATGATCAATTTGAGCCAAGATTCCAACGGCACTCCTTGTGAATCTCCTATATGTTCTTCGACCGGCGTTCGAAACATTTCATTCTTTCTCGGGTCGGGGTTGTCTATCCGTTTGGCCTTCCTTTCTCGTTCTTTTCCGTTCCCTCCCATCCTCATCGCCTTCAAACCGACCTAGTCCTTACGTGCTAGAGGTATCTGTAACCGAACCGACTTTGTCTTGGCCCTTGGCGGGAGAGGCCGATGGATTCAAAACGACTCGAGCAGCTGGTTCGGTTGGCGTCCCCGTCCTCCCAGTGTGCCTCTCTCCCTCTCTCCGTCCCGACCCCCGTCTCGCCGTCTCGCCGTCCCCTGAAATTGGAGAGTTGCTGACACGGCCATCATCTCGGCAAAGCAACGTCCCACTTGGGGATTTTATTACCAGACGAGCACTAAGATGTGGTACTTCTCGGCCACAGCGTCGAAGTAGGGCGAGGGCAGGTATCACATCTTAGCCAGTCGCCGTGTGGCACTGTGTCCTGGCGAGATTTAGCGCCATCTCGACGAGAGGAGCCCAGAGGAGCCAGTGGCTTTCAAGGAGGTTTGTTCCTGCATATCAGACCAGGGGTCGTCTCTCTCCAACGCGAGCCGATTAGAGCGACTGTGTAACTGCATAGCGCGACTGTGTGGGGCCATACAAATTTGAAGGCCTCAGCTCTAAAGCTGGCATCAAATCTGCGCGGCCAAAGTCATGACAACCATTACCGGAAGTCTTCATTCCAAACGACAACAACGAAAGCTCAAAACCACATCTTTTCGAACGCCGAATTCACATTCACACGCGGAGGCCTCTCACCGGCCCCCTGCACCCCCGGAACTAACCCTAACTAACCCTAACACCTAACCCTAACCGCTAACCCTAACACTAACCTTGGGGTCTTTGGGTACGACTTACACCTTGTCTCCACACAGTCGCGCTATGCAGTTACACAGTCGCTCTAATCACCTCGCTCCAACGAAGCTTCTTTCTCAGCGCAGTCAGCGGAGCGTCCCCTTGGCGCTCTTTCTTGAAACCGCCTTGGACCGTGATTGGCGAGCCGGGCCCGGCTGTACCTGGAAAAATGGGGCGGTGTGTTGCAGCACCTGGCCCGCCCGGAGCAGCAAATGCATTTTGTACCAAAGTATCCTCCACGAATCTGACGAATAGGACTGGCCTAGGAGTGGATGTTGGCGATGGTGTCAGCCACTCAGAGATCAAGGTCATGAGTGAAAGCGATTGTGATCCCGGTCGAGGTCGTGCGAATCCCGTGCATTGACCAGCTCCTGAACCAGGGGCATGGAAAGACACAATGGGCCATCCCACGACGGCGAGCCTCCCCGTTGGTGGACGAAGCAGTTGTGCACAAAAAGGATGCGAGGAGACCCCTTTGATTGAAGGTGAGATTAGCAATTTCTATTCGTCGAGCAGGCCACACCTGCCCAGCAAAATGCAGGACCAAAAATGGACAATTGGTGTGAACAATCGCGCAGCCGCTGACGGGAGGATCGCGGGCGACCGTGGATGAGGTGAGGCCATGATAAACACCTTGGAATTGCTTTAATGGAAGTGAAGGTCGGCTGTCTCCCAGACCAGACCAAACCGGACAATCCCGAGAGTCTCGACGAAGCCAAGAAGCTCCTATGCTCCTGCCCCGGACTGGGGTCAAAGTTGATTTTTATGCTCGCTCCCTTTTCAATCCGCGTCGTCCCTTCTCTTTTTCCACATGTGCCGCCCCCTGCACGGCGCAATTGAGCCTGCAGTGCTAGGAGCGCCGCTGCTGCAACTGCACTGGTGGTGCATACCCTGGAATATCCAGCAGGATGCTTCCTTGGCTTCCAGGCCGGGCCTGAAGGAGAGCGGTCCACAGGGGCCCAGTCCCTGGTCTGCTAGGCCTGCTGGGCCTGACAGTCTCCGCTCCCTTCTCCGCCTCCACTGTTCTCCCTCTCCTTTCGCTCGTGTGGGCGAATTGGCGTGCAACAAGCGTGCCTTCCACACGGCAGCACTCAACGCTGCACGGCAGTGCCGCTCTGTGTAGTGAGTGCCGCACCGTCCCGGATTCTCGTGGCCTTCACCTTCCCTTCCATTTCCCTTTTCTCTCCTTTCCTCAAGTCGCTCCTTTCTCCTCCCTCCCCTCCTCTCCTCCTCCCACTCCTCCTCTCCACACGCTCTCTCCGCGGTGTAGACGTCTTCAGGTTTTCCAACTATTCACGCTCTTTCGACGCGTGGATACTACACTCTCTTTTTCCAAAAGTCGTCTGTTTCTGCTTTGCCGCAGGGCGTGCCATTCTTTAACCGCCACCGCAATCAACACACAACTCCAACCTGATCAGACGAACTACCGATCGTCCCAAGTCAATTTCGACACTCTTTTGCGATTCCAATATTCTCGGCTTGACCTTGAATAGTCCACTCCTTTTTGCGAAGTCATCACCACCAACAACACCACCAATTACCACAGCGTAATACTACTGCTACCACTACTCGATCTTCATCCGTCGCCAGTATATCCTCGTTCTTTTTGGAACCGTTCTTGGACATACACCATCTCGACTCGCCATCTTCTGCCTCTGGAAAGACAGCCATCGCCAACCCGCAATCACTTACTGAAAATTGCATAATTATTTCTGTGGTATAAATGGTATGACAACACTTTATCGTTTGCGTTAAAGAGTCGACATTGCGAAACCTTTCGAGTCGGCACCAGACATTACGACGACATTATTAGTTTGGTCATTTCAGCGTTGGATTACATCGAGAACGGGTATCACGATCGGTGAAAATGGAGGGAGATGTTGGAAGGCTTCATTACGGCTTGGGACGCCGAGTCCCAGTCGTCAGACGTCACGGCAGCATAGGAATGGGTTCGGCAACGTTGGGATCTCGGGTCCCCACGTCCGTTCTCATTGCCCGCGCTGCTAGTTCTTCCTCGGACAAGGACTGCGTCGCAAACCCGAATCTTTGCGAAAAGCCCGTGGGCGGTTCCGAGTTGACCATTCCTATTGTGCTGGGTCTCTGGTGAGTCTACCGACACATGGTCAAGCTGATGCAAATCCACTCACAACATTCTAGTATCCCGCTTGTAGCTGCTTTCAGTGTCTTCTTCTACCTCCATCGGAGAAACATGAAGAAGCTGGCGATCGAGGAGGCCCATGACCCCCATAAATCCCTGGATTTCGGCTTGGGCGAAAACGTGGGCGGAGGCAGAGCTAAACGGAGAAGCTTGCTGCCCGGCATGGGAGGCGAAAAGGAAGGCGGCGGCGCCAACGGATCGCGATTCAACCGCCAGCAGATGTCCATGGACATGAATCTGTCCAGCCCTTATCTTCTGCCGCCTGATGCCCATGGTTCTCAGTCATCACTCAACTCTTTGGCCCGCACTCTCAACCCGCAAGATGATCCTTTCCGCCCGGTAACTCAGTACACTGCCAGTGATGCTGCCTCGGTTCGATCCATGCCCAGGGGAACCGACAGGGCCACTCCTTCTCCAGCTCCATTGCGCGGACCTCCTCCTCGTCAAGGTTCTATGCCCAGGTCTCCCGATCCCACTCACGCCAGGCCTGGTAATGGACCAAACGGACCGCTGTCTCCTCGTGGAGGCAGACCACCTAGAATCTCTGTTCAAGATCCCTCTTCAAATGCGACATCAGACAACGAAACAAGCGACTCGGAGAAGACTCTGACCGGCTCGCCAAGGGAGCCTCCTGCTGCCGCCCAGAAGGACGGTCTCAAGCCTCTCGCTTCTCCTACCCAGCCGGTTAGCCCCTCGGATTCTGCTGTATCAAAGAAGGCTTCCACGGGCCTTGGTCTCGCTAATATTCCCGAGCCTATGCAGGCTTCTATCCACGATGCTTCTTCGCCCTCTTCTACCCCTGCCAGCACTCCTCGCGAGCCTACTCACCCTTCATCGGCTGCTCCGACTATCCAACAGCCTCAAGAGTACTTTGATCTCCCCAAGATGCCCGAAGAGCCTGCGGATGATGATGACCGGAGAGGACGTAACATGCAGAGAAAGTCTCAGCTGTACGATAAGGATGGTCCTGGCCTAGCTGCACCTCAACCCGGTGAGAACCGCCGCTTGTCTGTCGGTTTCCGTCCTCTACCGCCTGATGATATTATGGAGTCCGAGGATCCCGAGTACCGCGCCAACCGTATCAGATCTTTCTACAAGGAGTACTTCGAGGACAAGCCTGGTGACGCGCCTCCCGTACCGGCATTGCCCAAGAATATCGGTCAGATGCAAGGAAAGGGGCCTCAGCAACCACCGCATATCCAGGATTACGACGATCTTGCCGCGCCCTATTTCGACCCCAAGGCGAATGCCTTCGTCATGCCTTATGCTCAACCCGTGGCTCGCCGTGCCATGACTCCTCCCCCTTCAGGCCAAAGATTCCCCGGCCCTCGCGGACCTGGTGGTCCCCGTGGACCTGGTCACGCTCAAACTGGCAGCATGAAGGGTATGCCCCCCGGCATCGGTGGTCCTCCCCGCCCTGGTTCTTCCGTTTCCAACCAGATGGGCCCTCCCAGGAGACCGGGATCTGCCGCTTCAGGCTATGGACGTCCTCGTGCCGGTTCAGCGTTCGCTGGTAGCAACGCCGGTAGCCGTGCGGGTAGCAGAGCTGGCGGACCCCGCAAGCCCATGCCTCCTCCGTCAGACCTGCCTACTCTTCCCGCGGCATCCATGATGAAAGATGAGTTCTCAATCTTCAACGCTGCGGATTTCGCGCCACCAGAGAGTATCAAGGATCGTGCCCGTGGCCGGTCTCAGAGCCCGGCCGGTGAGCGCCGCCCGTATCAGATGAAGGTTCCCGTGCACTCGCCATTGGCGAATGCCTTTGAAGACCTCCCCGTTCTGCCCAGCGCGTAAGTTTGATCCTGGATAGTTTGAACCTCTTGATGACCAGCAATTTACTGACAAATAAATAGTCACACTCTCCGCAAGTCAAGCACATTCACCGGTCTTGACTTCGCTCCTCCACCCAAGATTGGCGGCGGCCACGCCAAAACCAACAGCGACGCCGGCTCGACCCACAGCAACCGCAGTGGTGCCCTGTCAAATGCACAGCTCAATGCTATTCGCAGCGGCGCGGGACGAGTTGACCATCTACCTGAGGACGCGCAGGTCTTCACGTTAGATGCTGTGAAGGACAAACTGAAGCCGTCGTGGAATACGCACTATTAAGCGGAATGGGATGCAAATTTTTAATTGATAATGACGAAAGCCTTTCTTCTTTATATATCCATATTATTGATTCCAGCACCCCCAGTTCTCTCTCTTGGACACGTCACGCTCTCGCGAATCATGCGTCAACGTTTGGTCAATTGGTTAGGTGGTTGGGTATGAGGACATTACGACGAAGCGAAAACATTTAAGCGATTTGTTGTTGTTTTGGTGTCTGACCTCTTACTTCATCTTACCAAAAGGACGACGACAGAGAGGCAGGGAGAGGGAATTCATGACGCGTTACACCACCACTTAGTTGGCTGGTTACCTCGATCTACCTACCCTGACATATTTATCCATATCCGTGCCCTTCCTAAGTAGGAAGCGGAAAGCTATGTTTGGATATGAGAGGGGAAGCTTGGAGGGGGTAACCATCGTCTGTGGTCTTGTTGGGATCAGTTTTGTACACACATACGTTATGCGCATTTAGAGAACGGACATTTAGGGAAGATGTGGAGAGACGGAGAGATGGTAAGACGGAGAGACGGAGGATGAAAAATTGGTCACAGAGACAAAACATCATCATCATCATCGGCATATGTGTAGATAAAGGACAATGGCGCGTATGTGGGTCAGAAGGCGGGAGTATCGGAGATCAACTGACTGACAGTCAAGTCAAATCTTGTTGCTTTTATGTGGCTTCTTTCTGGCTTCTCTTTTCACGAAGATGGATGCCCTTCTTTTCCCTCTTATTATACATACATTTTACGTTTGTCTTCTTTTTTCAAGTCTTCGAAGTCTTCAGGTCTTGAAAGTCTTTTAAATTTTCAAATCTTCAGTGATGGGTCAATGGGTGAATGGGGGTGGATTGTTGTTGTCTTGAAAAAGACCTACATAGCATGAGTGGTTCAGTTGTAGTTTGAAAGCTTGGAACGATGATGGGCGGTACCCTATTCTGCTAGGATGGATTCCTTACATAGAAAGGGTGAATTTGAACCAAGATTCAAGGCGTAAATAACTCAACACTCAACCCTTTCATTCTGGATTGATGATGACTGTTTTCACTCGGTTCTTTTCTCTCTCGTCGCCTCTATAGTGCATGTATTTGTGCTTGCTCCCTGGTTGGAAACCCGAGTTCTCATAAGAAAGCCTACCTCGTGCGTGGTTGAGTACCCGTCCCCGTTTTCACAATCAACTCGTAATAGGGCGTAAAGCATGTAAGATACACCACCTACGTTTAAATAGCGGAGGGGCATAGATCTTTGTCAAACACTCAGCTACAAGTATATCACGAACATACAACTGTATTTCAAATCCCACATAGAACACACATCAATCACATCGAATCAATCCAATCAAATCAGGAAACAATCTAAGCTCTTCTTTTTTTTCACAACGCTAATTTGGGCTACCTTTCTGTCTCCCTCTTTCGCTTCCACTTCGGATAATGATAACGACACATGACACCGCTTGAGCATAACCTACTCTTTACAACTTACTCGCCCTCTTCTTCCGCCGCCGCCGCCGTTCTGGAAAAATGATTTTATACTGATCAACTAAATCTGTAGAACTAGAACTAGACGACTTGTCGGGCTTGGACCCATAATCCTTCTAAGGAGTGACCTTGCTCATGCTAATCAGACGCTTGACGCCGACCTAGATAACAGGAATTAGCATGTTTGGTTACTTGGTAGGTTCATGAGGGAGAAAAAAAGAATAAAACTTACCATCCACTGACCACACTCCTCCGTCTTCTCCTTGGAAATCTCCACCTGGATCTTGGACGCAATATCATAGTTCTTCTCCGCCAAAGCGCCGGCCAACTGAGCCAGCTGGTCAATGGTCTCCGTCTTGATCAGCTCCTCGTTGTTCAGGTGGTCGAAGAGAATGTTGAGACGCTTCTGGACGTCCTTGACTTGGGGAGCGAAGGAGGCGGGGGCCTTGGAGGCCACGCGCTGCATGTCCTTGCTCAAAATGTCGACGAGCTCCTTGGCATGCTCGGGAATGTTGGAACGGTCACCAGGAGGGTATCTGGCCTTGGGAGGCGCAGCTGGAGGGGCGGCGGCAGCGGGAGGAGGGACCTGTTGCTGGGGAGGACCGCCACCGGGGGGCCTAGACGCCGGGGGAGGTGCAGAGAAGCCTGCCCGGGGAGGTGGCGGGACGGCATATTGCTGAGACGCTGCTGGAGGGGCGGGGGTGTAGGCGCCAGACGCCGGAGGAGGAGCTATCCCAGGACCGGATGGCGGTCCCTGGGTGTACTGCTGCGTGGCAGGAGCAGGGGCGTACCGGTTGGTTGGGGGCGCGGCGGCGGAGGGGGGAGGGTTGTATGGAGAAGCCGTCCGGGGAGCGGGCGGGGCTCCATATGTGGGCTGCAGACCGGCGGCAGGCGGTGGGGGAGCATAGGGGTTAGTAGCGTTGCTTGAAACCGAAGAAGGTCTAGGAGGGCCGGTTGGTGGCGCGCCGACATTTCTCGGAGGCGCGGAACCCTTCGGGGGCGGGGGCGGCGTAGGCGCACCCTGCTGGAAGGGGCCAGTTGGTGGTGGAGATGCAATGCCGGGTTGGCCAGGGAAAGGAGAAGTGATGGGGGCAACGCTCGGCGTGTTCCTACGAGGAGGAGCCTTTGTCACCATAGGCACGTCATTCCAGACACCGTCTCTCTTGAGCTGAACCGGAGGCGCGTTGGTCTTGGGCGGACCACCAAGTGGGCTAGGCTGCCCAAAGTTTTGAGCGGGAACGCCATACCCAGTGACGGGAGTAGGAGCATAGCTTTGAGTGGGTGGTGTGTATCCTGACGGGGCATAGCCCTGGTTCTGCTGGGGAGGCGCGTATGTAGACGACGAGGCTCCGTACTGGGAAGTGGTAGCAGGAGCAGGAGCGATAGGAGGAGCGTAAGGGTTGCCGGCCGCAGCGCTTACCGGCGCCGGTGCTTGCGGGGCGTAGGGGTTCAGAGGGCTGGGGTTGACCGGAGCAGGAACCAAGCCGGGCTGCTGATACCCGACCGGAGCGGCGGTACGGGAGGTGGTGGTAGTGGTGGTGCGAGCAGCGGGGGTGGCTTGCCGAGCGGCAGTCTGAGCACCAGCCTTCTGAGTAGCAAGCTTAACACGGTTGCGGGCTGTCTCTGCAGGAGGGTAGCTGGTGGGCAGAAGATCGAGATACTTCTGGGCAACCGACAACTGGCCATGAGCAGCCGCAATGTCAGCATACTCGAGGTACTTATCGTACAGAGCAGCCAGCTTCCATCCCTCGGTGAGGTTCTTCTCGCTATCATTGAACTTGGTGGCATGGCGGAAGATGGTCACCTTCTCGATGAACTGCTGAAGGGACTTGGCATGGACCGAGAAGGTAGAATCACCGGTCTCCTCCTTCAAGGCAGCTTGCTCAGTCTCCTGAAGCTCGTCCACCCAGATACCGACGACCTTCTCCAGCTTCGAGCCGATCAGGTAGCAGAAAGAGGCATCCTTCCTGTTACCAGACTCGAAGATGCGGTCACCCAGGGCCTCGCAGAGGTCGGGGAACTCGGAAGGATCAGCATAGGTACAAAGGGTGACCATGGTCTCCTTCCAGTCAGCAAGATCCGCATTGTAGGCAATATCCCACAGGTTCTTGGCTACAACAGAGCTGATGAGTCGCAGATAGCTGGGGCTGCCCCTCTTCTGCTGAAGATAAGCAGTCTGAACCTTCTCCATAAGCTCCTTGCTGCCACAGTTGGCGATCAGGAAGGCATCCGACCATCGTTCCTCCTTCAAGCAGATCTCTACCGCCTTCTCAAACTTGCCCAAGATCAGGGCCCTGGTGATCTGATCCTCCAGGTGGGTGTTGCCCACGCTCAGAAGGTTGAAGGGGTTGTCGGTCTTGGCTCCCTTGGTAGCGGCGATCTCCGACAGGAAATCCTCGCCATCGTCGCCGTCTCCCCACATGCTTACAACACGCCTATGCTTCTTGCCATCTCCCTGGCCGTTAGGCTTAAGAGTTGCAGAGTCCTCCTGCTTCGGCTCAGGAGACTTGGGCGACTCAGCCTCCTTAGCTTCCTCAACCGGCTCATCCTTGGTGAAACCAAGACGCTCAATGATCTTGGTCCGCCCATCGGACTCACTGAGGGTCTGCATAACCTGCCACTCGGCCTTCTCCTCGTCGGTCTTGGCGCTCTCGATGTGCTCTTCGCAAATGCTCGCAATGTCGCCGCTTTGGATGGCTTGCTCGAACTTCTCGGTCGCGGAGCCAATGTCGGAATCGATGGAGAAAGAAGAGATCTGCAACTTGGAAGACCTCTTCTGGCCAGCAGCTGTCTCCACCTTGTTAAAGAAAACAAGCTTGCCACCGAAGCCGAAGGAAACACCAACGGGGCGTTCAAGCCAGGCGGGTGCCCGGGGCAGAGAGAAGGAAGCCGCCTGCGGCTGGGACGCGGCCTTTGAGAAGAAGTCATCGTCAGAAAGGTTGTTCTGGGCCGCGGGAGCCGCCGAGGGGTTCGTGTTCTGAAGGGTCTGGATAGCGATCTTGCCGTCAAAGGATGCTGTGGCCGACAGATTCGGGTTGGCGGGGTTGAAGCGTGTGGAGAAAGTCCAGTTGGTAGCCTCAGGGAACTCACCATAACGCTCTCCAGTCTGAGGGTTCCAAATGAGGGTCCGGTTGTCCTTGCCGCAAGAAAGAAGCAATCCTGAATCCTGCTGGCACCACGAAAGCGACAGAACACCCTGATCGTGACCTTGGAGAGTCTTCTCTGGCGCCTGGGAGTTGCGGAGGTTCCAGAGCAGGATGACGGGAGCGGTATCATCGGATGTAGCCGTCAAGAGCTTAGTCGAGTTCTCTGGGTCCCAAGCAATGGCGCTGACAGTCTTGCGGTGGTTGTTCAAGGTAAGAGATGCCTTCTTGGTCTTGAGATCCCATACGGTCACAAAGCCTCCTGCACCACCAGTGGCCAGAATGTTGGCGACCTTGGGATTCCAGGCCAAACAGTCGATATCGTGGGCGGCAGCGGTGCCGAGACGGAAGGGAGCGGAGGTGTCGTTAACATCCCAGACGAACAGCTCACCCTTGGCGCCGGCAGTAGCGAGCACCTGGGGTCTCAGAGGGTTGAACTGTAGGGCCTTGATGGGCCCTGTGTGCTTGGTGGTGCGCGAGATGAGGGCGTCCTCGTCACCAGCGATCAGCTTCAAGGCGTCCCATAGATCCAACGAGCCGTTTTCCATGGCGCCGGCAATAATTCCAGAGGGATGTTCGTCACTGGGCTGGCCCCATGCGATGTCGTAGAACCTATGCGTCTTCGTTAGTGCGCCGGAAGGGAAACCATGTTTTGGAACTCGCAGGCATACCTGGATTCTGTGGTAATGCTAGCTAGGGGCTGGAGCTCCAGGCCCTGTTCCTGGCTGTCCAAGTTTAAATCCCATAGCTCCAGCTTGCTCTCGTCTGAGAAGTCGGCATCGACGGCGCCTGAACGTGTACCCGTTACGAGAAGGGCGGTTGCGCGGGGCGACCAGGCGAAGGCCGCAGTCCGGGGGATCTCTCTCAACCGGACCATGATGTTTATATTCTTGTCTGTGAACGTCGGCCGCGGGCGGTGATGCGGCTGCGCGGGCGGTGTGAATCGGTGGGCGGAAGAGGGGAAGTCAGGGGAAGCTGAAGCTGGCCGCCTTGTCGAAGGGTGGGAGTGCGGGTGGCGTTGATTAATTAAGGTGGGTGGTATTAGAGCTCTAAGTCGTCAAATCGTGCAATTGGACATGAAAAGAAGTAATAAGACAGGACGACGAAAGCCCCTCCGCGATCGAGGCTGTCTGTGGTCGGTGTCGTGTCGGTCTGTCGGAAGGGTGTGATACGGATGGAATCGAAGTCGCGAGAGGTTCAGGAGTGCTGTCGTGTTGTTGGAGGCATTCAGGGCAGTGAGCTGAAGTGGAATTGGTGTTGCCAGATTGCGGATAACAACTGCTGTCTGTCCCGCCCCCGGCCCCTGACGTTGGCACCACTGGACTTTGCTGGCTTCGAGGCCGATGCAACCACAGCTCAGGGGCAACAGCAACAGGAGAGCCCGGACCACATCTCGTTAAACCCTAACCCTTCAGCAACTACATACTCTTGTTATCTCTTCTGCCTCTTTCCATGCTATGGTGATTGATGTATGACCTTGTCCTTCAAAGAATCTCCAAATGACTGTATATTCGAGGAAATGCCCGTCGCCATTGCACTTGTGCTTACACAGAGCTCTTAAATTCAACTGTGGGAGAACCCCTATTTGATGACGTACAAAACGCTTGGTGCATGAACTTCCAGGATGGCCCAAGCTTCCCCGGTGTCACGATGGTGGGGTCGCGACTTTTCGAACTTCAACGTTCTCCATGTCTCAGTTGCTAATTCTCAACGACATCCAGTACATGAATGACCTTTCTCCTCTCCTGCATCGACACTCATTACTTATCAAACGAACCCTCCGAGCCAAGGACAACGCTCATTTACCGAAGCGAACGATATCTTTTCTCTACGCCAGTCATCCGGCCCTGTCAGGACTCACCACACGTCAACACCTTTCAGCACTTGGTTGAGAAAGTACACACGAGCAACCAACGTACAGACCAATTCAGTCGGCGCCTCACTTGTCACTTTCACCAAAGGGCGTCTCCGTCTCACTCCAGAGACTCTGATCTTTTCACCATATACATCACCAACCTTCAAAAACCCCAATCATGACAGACAACACGCGCTGGAAAGCTACCGTCCACATCCGCGGTCTTGCGCCCGCCGTGACGACAGCTACCATCCACGACGCCTTCATTCCCTTCGGCGAGATCGTCGATATCTCGCTGCCCAAGAATGAGAAGCCCGACTCGACGGATCCGCACAGAGGCTTCGCCTATGTCGAGTATGAGGACGAGGAGGACGCCAAGGAGGCCATTGACAACATGGATCAGTCCGAGTTGTTTGGCAGAGTAATCAGGGTTTCGGGGGCAAAGATCCCCAAGAGCGCGAAAGAAGGGTTGGGGTCCAAGACTGCCGTTTGGGAGCAGGTAAGTTTTTGTCTTGGATGGATACTCGGGGAGAAAGATTAGACGTGGACCTATACTAATGCGTTGGTTCACAGGAAGGATGGCTGGCTGAGAATGCCGTCAGTGAGGAGGATCGTTTGGCTGCTACCGCGCCTGATGACGCGCCTGATGACCCTATGCAAGGCCTCGAGGGACTGGATGTTGCTGGGCCGAAGCCGCAATAAAGGTCGGTCATTGCTTGGCCCGTCCTCTACGAACGGGCTCTCCTTAGTGAGGTTTGGGGAGAGAGAAGCGAGTTTCTGTGTTGATACCCGGAAAGAAAAGCATTGCATAGCTACGGCGTTGAATGGCATCATTGGGACCTGGGTTTATTTTTGGAAAGTGTTTGTATCACATTCTGTTTCTCTTACCATTAGACAATCGACAATGTCACTTGAACACCACTCGGGAGCCCTCACTTAAGACAAAAACTGACAGCCATCACCCTTCCAACCGCATTCAACTCTTTTGTAGGATTAACCGTGTTGATTCCTGGTCATCATGTACAATGCTACGCAAAAAAAAAAGGAGGCCGCCTTTCTCGAGAACGCCTTCCTCATTCCCTTATCGAACATACGCCCCCTGCCCAAAAGCCCCTGGTTGTTCGTTTAGTGCTCCTCAGCGTGAGCAGCGTGGGAATCGGCAGCGCGGTTCTGGCGCTTGAGACGGATGGTCTTGTCAACGACAAGGTGGCGGGTGATAGAGTAAATGGCAGCGCTGACGGCGAAACCGACGACAGCACCTAATCGGTCAAACAATTCCCCCCCTTATCAGCACTCGATCCAGGATGGCGTCCATATGTATAATAGCTTGGTGCAAGCTTACCGAGAGGCCACAACTCAGCGGGGATGCTCTTCACGCGCATGCGGAGGCGCTGGGAGACGGTGTGGGCTGTAACGTTGGATGATGTCGTCAGTCGCGGATAGCTCCCCCTCGCGCAATTATTTGAAAACCCTCCATCTCCATTGCCAATTGGGGAAAAGCTCCTGAAGCTCCGGGAAATGGTGTAATAGCTTTTGTCGTCGTGGAATGCAACGGTTGGGTTGTTCGTTCACGTACCGGCCTGCTCCTCCTTCTATAACATCACAAAAGACCCTTGGTTAGCAACTCTGACGCAATGGCACCTCCCCGAGCTTCGGAAAAGACGCGGACTCAGGACCGGGGATAGCTCTTACGGGAATGGGGCGCATCATGCGGGGGGTCTGGCGGAAAGCCTGGCGGGCGACACGGGAGGCGAACATCTTGCCGGTGTAGAATGGAGTGGAGATTTGTCTTGGAGGATGGTGTTGCGCTACCGCGGTGGACGAAGAGAAGCTTTTGCGACGGAGCAAGGCAAGGTTGAGGTTGGCAATTGAACTTCGGCTCTTTCTTTGCCTCAAATCAGATGCGGGAGTTCGAGCGTTGAGCTTCGGCTGCACGGACACTATCCGGGGGTTCCACCTCCTGTTAGGTGAGGTCAGCCCACCGCAGCTGGCGCCCAGCTGTCCCGGATTCGGTCGAGGAAGCATCATCGAGTGCCGTCACCCTTTCGAGTGCTGAGCACAGGTGCGGAAATTGGTGCCTCAGGCTCCATTCTGGGTCGAGGCAGTCGCTACAGCGGACGAAGCTTTGGCTTTCAGAAGGTGCATTGCCTGGCACTGCCTGGACGGAGAAGGAGGACAGTGCACTGACTGCAATTCGTCAGAGCTACCAAAAGCTAGCACCCGTGCTGTGGAATCGATCCACTCGGCTCACCTCGCCTCATCATCGACACAAAGGTCAGAATCTCAGCAGCTCTTCCACGTCCCCGTCAACACCCGCACCTGGTCCAATTCCACAAGCCATTGAGCTTCCGCCTCAACACCAACTCCCAGACACCACCCACCCCCGTCACCACCACCGCAAACCACCGCCAAGATGTCCGACGACGAGCGCGTTACCAAGCCCTTCAAGTTCGTCACTGGTACGTACAGCTATAGTCGCTGAGAATTGGACCTCTGCTCCCCAAAGCAAAGATCTAAATTCCCTCGGCAAAAAATCATGGCGTGACCTCATTGCGCCGGACCGGAATTGATTGCTAACAAACGCACGTCGCAGCTGGTATGCAATAACCTGACCTCTGCCCTTTTCAAACACAATTAGCTCCTCCGCCGAATCTGCCGAAAATCGGTATAGCAGCTTCAAAAGCTACACTGCCTGCGATCGCCGAAATCCCCGATGTACCCCCGTTGAGATAGAGCTCCAAGCTCTTTCGGCACGGGGGAAGAAGAGGAGTGCAATGTGGAGACCCCGAACATCGAGCTTTGCGCGGCGCGGGGCAAGCACCCCGTTCTCCATGCCAGCAGCTAGCTTTGCTTTGCGGATGCGGATCACGAGCGAGCAGAGCCATCAAACCACCGTCAAAGAGAAATCGCCAAAACCTGTGTTCTGACGTATTGCGTGTTTTTTCAAAAACAATTAGGTGTCGACGCCCGTTTCCCCAACGTCAACCAGACCAAGCACTGCTGGCAAAACTACGTCGATTACCACAAGTGCATTCTCGCCAAGGGCGAGGATTTCGCTCCCTGCCGCCAGGTTAGCCGCACCACCACCATGTCCACCACTACTGCCGTCAGCTGTTGTTTTCTCGGATGAGAAAGAGGAGGGAGCAGCATGGGGACCGAAGGGGATGCAAAGCTCGACCGGGGAAGACGAAGCTACGACACGAAAGGGGACCCGATTGCTGACTGAAGACTCGCCGTTTATTAGTTCTGGCTCGCCTACCGCTCTCTCTGCCCCAGCGGCTGGTACCAGAGATGGGACGAGCAGCGTGGTACGTAACGGGGAAACAATCCTCTCTTTCACTGCTAGAAAGGGGCCAACTGACGGCATGTTTACTAACAATTCTTGCAGAGGCTGGCAACTTCCCCGTCAAGCTGGAGTAAATATACCCCTGAAATGCTTGTATGACGTGACAGGAAGAGGTGGATGGATGATGACCAAGGTCAACCACCTATCAGGACTCACTTTACCCTACATCGAACCTTGTTGTATTAGAAAGCTCTTGGTAGTACGGGGAAATGCACATAGAGAGTATCTTGGGGTTGACGAAACGAAGGTTTCTCATTAGTTTTTGCTAAAGTGATATCATTGGAATAGAAAGTAAATAGAAACAGAGCTCCTTTGCTGAACCGAATCTGGTATTCCGCTAGGCTTTGTACGATGTGGCCTAGTACGTGGTATCATGAACCCCCTTTACCCCTATTCGCTATCTCATAGTGAGACAATCCAAACAAACCGAACTCCAGATAACGCCATGTATGAGTTGTCTTCCAGATGCAGTTAAGTGAGTCAGGTTCACCCGTCCCATCCCGACTTACACTACTGAGTCCTCATGACTCCATGGCACCGCCATCGTAGCTCTCACTCATCATCAGAGCTCATAAACTCATCATCGTCATCAAAGCCAGCAAAGGTCTTCACCTGCGCCTTCGGCTGCACCGTCTCCTTCTCCTTGCCTTTCAGCTTCTCCTTGTCCACCACCACCTTCGGTTCCGGCTCCGGTTCCGATGGCGGCGTAGCGGCACCATCCCGCTCACCCTCCTTCTCATCCTCACTCATCGCCTCACCACCCGAAGACGACCCACTCCCACTCCCCGAACCGCCCTCCCCAACATTCGCCGCCGAATTCGCCGCAGCCGCCGTAGCCGCCAACATGGACAAATTATCCGTATAAGCACCCTTCTTCAAAGCCGTCATGACCGCCTCCCTCGTCCTCTCATCCAGCTCCTCCTTATCCTCCACCCACTTGCCATCCAACATGAATCCCCCACCTCCTGTCTTCCCATACTTGATCTCCTCCTGCCGCTTCTCCGTCTGCTCCACAATCTGCTGCCACCGCTTCCTTCGCTTTTCTTTCTCCTTCTTCTCCATGTCGGGTTTGATGGCCAGGTAGTCGGCCAGCGCTTTGGCTTCCGTGATGGTCCGTAAGCGGCGCCCGTCTAGGTTGCGCGAGGATCCGTTGTCTTCGCCTTGCAGACCGTTCTTCTTGCGTTTTGAAGACATGCGCCCGCCTTGGGCGCGGAGTTGAGAGCCGAAACCGCCTTTGCCGCCGCAGAGGGGGAGGGAGAGGCGGAGGGGGAGGAAGTCATTGTTGGCTTCGACATTGCAGGGCAAGAGAGAGGAGAGAGGTTGGGTGGAGGAGGAGGGGAGTTGTTTGTTGGAGTTGGTGGTGAGGAGGAAGCGGAAGGCGGCGGCGCTTTCTAGGGAGCCAGGCAGGCGGGAGAGGAGCCGGTCGCGAAGCTCGGTGATGGTTGTTGTGGCGGGGAGGGCGAAGGTTAGGGTGGGTGGGAGGCCGGTGCCGGCTATGCTGGTTACGAGGACGTTGATGGTGTTGGTGGGATCCATTGTGATGATATCGACAAAGGTGTCGGCAGGTTATTCTATCGTAGGCAATTGTGTTGGTCGTTGATGCACTTGTTTGTATATTTGATGCTGATCCACGGCGTGATGTTGATGATGGATGGCAGATGAACAGCCTCCCTGCGCTGTGGAGCGACGATGCGCTTATCGAAGTCTTGGTCGTCGATGACGCTGAGCGATCGCTATCCGGGCAATATCAAAGTGCCACGACGGAAAGTTGATTGATATGGTTCGTAGGATGTGGTTCGCGATTGGATTCGCTTGGTTGCATTTAAAAAGAGGCCGTTTTGGAGATGAACTTCGCCTCTGCGATGCGAGTTTGGAGAACCTTCACGGTCGCTAACACATGGGGCAAGCCACACGGTCCAGCCTTATCTGCGGACTTGGCTCAGGTTGGGCTGGGCGGTGAGGCGCCAAGACTCTGACAAGTGTGGCGGTGCCGCCCCGCTAGTTTCGCAACCCTACTATGGCATTGGAATTTCGGCACGCAGCCCACAAATCACTTAGATCTCGAATTTTGAGCTTTCGACTCCCGCAACGCCGACACTTTCCCCGGACCAACACCACCAATTGTGTCGACACCGGTCATCTCGTCAAAATGCTTATTCCCAAGGCTGACCGCAAGGCGATCCATGAGGTATGCGAAATCGATTTTTCTTGACGGCCATACATCGAAAAATAGGAGGAGGGTGGACATTGTTGAAGACGGAAACGAGGACTACATTTGATTACTGGGGACCGTCAAGTTGAAAGTTGAAGCCAGAACGTTATGCTGACCATTTTAATGTAGTACCTCTTCCGTGAGGGCGTCATGGTCGCTGAGAAGAAGTAGGTTTCCACCCGAAATTCCAGTCAAAGATACACACACATCCAGTCTTGCACCGTTCGATTCGCACGCGTTTTCCGATGGGAGGGGGGGTTTCGTCGCCGTCCGCCATTTCTGTTGTCGACCGACCATGCCATGCACACGACGAACACATTACACGAGTTTCAGCCCGTTATCGCGACATCGACCCAAGTCCACGCAGACACAGAAACAGACGCCAGCACGAACTCGCCCTCTATCCGCCGTGAACACCCGCCAACGCGAAACGAATAACACATGCTAATTCGTGACACCCGTTTAGCTATGAGTCGACCCACGAGACCGGCATCCGCAACCTTTTTGTCATCAAGGCTTGCCAGTCTTTGACCTCGCGCGGCTACGTCAAGACCCAGTTCTCGTGGCAGTACTACTACTACACCCTCACCCCCGAGGGTCTCGACTACCTCCGCGAGTGGCTCCACCTCCCCGCTGAGATCGTCCCCGCTACCCACATCAAGTCGCAGCGGTCTCACGCTCCCCCCCGTGGCATGCTCGGTGGTGAGGAGCGCCGCGAGCGCCCCTTCGGTGGCCGTGGCCGTGGTGACCGTGAGGGCGGTTACCGCCGCCGTGAGGCTGGTGAGGGTAAGGAGGGTGGTGCCCCCGGCGAGTTCGCTCCCCAGTTGTAAGTTGCCCCCCGCTGTTTGGGCCGTCAAGGTTCTTTTTTTTTGCGGATGTTACAGATGGACTAACATTTGTGTCCCAACAGCCGTGGTGGTTTCGGTCGTGGCCGCGCCGGCCGTGGTGAGGCCCCTCCTTCGTAAATGTCGGAAGGCGGAAAAATCTCTCTCAATCTTGGGTTGCCTGAACCACAGGCATAAAACAGCATGGGCACGACATGTACTCTTAAGTCTTCACGAGAAAGAGTGAAAGGGTCGACCAGCGATTGCACACCTACTCGCCGGGAACCGTGAGTGGTTTGTGAGGAGTTTGGTGGATAGAGATCATTCGGAAAACTTCTGCATTCAGGGTCATTTGCGGTCAATCGATTTCACTCGCGGCGTTCATTTTCGTGATTCTATACCTCCATCAAGAACAGCTTTCTGCACGTCTACTCTTGCCGGGTTTAGCAGCAGCGTTTATGACGTGATGACTTCGGAAAGGGGGAAGCCGGGCGTGCATGGAATGGAGGTTCGGGGAAAAACTACCAAGAGGCATAGAGTTTGGCTCTCTAGGACAGAAACAGCCTTCAGATAGCCAATCCCATGCTGTTGGTGTCGTAGGACAGACACTCAGGCATTCTCAAATGGTTCCCTTTCACATGAACATGAAGTGATAGTTCGGTGATGAGTCCGCATTTCTCCAACGCAGGTAAAAGACCAGGATCGTCTTTTGGGAACAAGACTCCAACGTACCCATATCCACCAGCCTCACTAATCTCATTGTTTACACCATGGCTGTTTACCCCTGAGTTCTTGGCTTGCAGTCGGGAGAGGGCTCCAGGAGATCGGACAGTTTGGAATGGGAATTGTTAATTACCATTCCGCTCAGAACATGTAACTTACCGGTACGTAAATACACACGTTTAACCCTGAACGTCATCCTGTCATTACTGCCTGTCGGTTCTCATTCATTCGACGCCAAGACATTTCCTTCAAGTCAACGTCAACCCGCTCGTTAATACTTCGACACATCATCCAGAAGAGGAATCTTCATTTCAACCAGATAACGAGTCGTCTCAGTTTTTCCAAACCAGAGGCAGATAAATGGACAGCGGCTTTCGTTCTCATCGCCGCGGCGCATCCGCGCGCCTTCGCAAGACATTTCGGTACCCGAGTGAGGATGAGGCCGATGATGGAAATGCGCTTGAGGTTATGGATGAGCAGGGTATGTGTTTTATATGTGTTATGTTTTTGGTTTTCTCACCCACTCGGGCCCCCTCGAAATCCCGGGTTACAAAACCACCAACCTTTTGTCAACTTGACCATATATCATTTACCCTCACATCCCCCCCCCCTCCTCATCCTCCTCCCCTCCCAACCGCAAACACTCACCACCCGTCCCATCCCATTTCTCATCTCACATCCCAACCCCCCTCACTTCATCACAACTCATAGCAAAAGCACAGTACTAACGCCCCCCTCCTGCTCCAGAACAAGAATCCCTAATCACCTCCCTCACCACCCAAAACTCCCGGCGCAACTCCCAATTCCGCTCCCTCCTCTTGCTCATCCCCGCCATCGCTTCCATCCCCTACCTCCTCGCCCTCTTTCTTCCTTCTCCCCCCTCTTCACAACAGAGACAATCAACGTCAACAGCCCTTTTCCCCCTCCTCGCCCTCTCCTCTTTAGCCGCTACGACGTTTATTACGGTTAAACTCCCTCCTACCAAGACGGGGTTGGGGTTTATCGACTCTTTGGCCACTGCCTCTGCCTCTGCTGGGAAGGACAAGGAGAAGGGAAAGGGGAAGGGAAAAGGGAGCAGAAGCGGGATGATGAGGGTGGTTCCAACCCTTTACGGCGCTGGTGGGATTTTGCAGCAGCCGTCACCGTTGGAGACGTGGCTACCTTATTTGAACGTGGGACTTTGTGTACTAGTATTATTGACGGGTTTGGTTACCGGTGGGGGACATCAAGTGGGAAGCAGTGTGGGAAGGGTGTATCTGGCAGCGTTGCCGGGAGTGATTTATGCGGCGACGGTGGTGGCGAAGGTGGTTATGGCGGGGGTTGATCCGGAGGGGGAGTTGGGGGGGTTGAGGTATGGGTATAAGGGTGCTTGAGGAGGGGGTTGGGGGGGTACCTGGGGGACTTTGGGGGTGGGTTATGTGGCTGTTTCGAGGAAGATGGAGGTTTAGGGGGGGTGGATAAGGAGGAGGAGGAGGAGGAGGAGGAGGAGGAGGATAAGGAGGAGGAGGAGGAGGAGGAGGAGAAGGGTTTGGAGGGGACGTCCAGGCAATGAGAGGGATGTTTGTGAAGGAGAATGTATGAAAGTTGGTGAAATGAAGGGTGCTGCGAGGACACGGGGGGTGGATCAGGCATGACAGAACAGAAATCTTGACGAGACTGCGACGGTTTAACTTGGGAAAAAAAAAAGACGTCCTGGTTATGCAACGCATTCAGGACAATGACCTTGAAAAGCGGTCTCCCTCGGATGGTGGATGGAAAAAAAGCGAAAGAGGGGGTTTGAAGCACTGTAAAGGTACCCAAGCAGGCCAAGTACCGCCACAAAATGCATGGGTTTCTTGCAAAGACACCCTTTTCTGGTTTGTTTCACTTCCACGAGTATTCACTAGCTCGCTCGTCTCTCTGTTATGGGGTCTCCCCTAAGAGTAATATGGACACAACACTACAAGACATGTTTCCGACTACCGTAACAGTTCTTTTTCGCTTTCGCACCACCTCAAGATGTGAAGGCCCTTTCTTTTCCTTTCCAGGTTTTCCGTTCGTGTCCAGGTTCTCAAGGTTAGAATAACCCTCGGCATAGTCCAACCAACCAAATGGGAGATGCAGCCGTTCATCTAAGCCTAAGCACCAAGTGCAGTGGCATCATCACCAGCTACCGGTACTCCTATTATTGGTACGGTATACATGGTTAGTAAACAAAGGCATGGCTGGCAAAGTACACAAGTAAATGTACCAACATATCCAAGATCAACACCCTCGGCTTTGGCCACCGTTTGTTATCATTGTTCCTCGGCACCGCTACCTTCCTCCCGTCCTTCTTGATTCCCTCCCCCCTCAGTCATTTCCACATCTTTCCTTTGAACCCCAGCCTTTTCCCTTACCTGTTCAAGTCTCTCCTTCAACCCCTCATTCTCCTCCATCATCTTCTTCAAAAAGTCCACGGCTAACTGTATCCCCCCAGCTTTGCTAACACCAGCCTCCTTATACCCGGGGACAATGATCGACAGGTTATCATAAGCCGACTTGATCATGTACCGTCGCCTCTTCTCGCTGTCGATGTGGTTCAGCCGCTTTTGTTCTAGGGTCAGGTTGGGCTTCTTTTCTTTATAGGAGCGACGCCTCTTCCCCGGTCGAGTGGGCTTGTCTTCGTCTTCGTTTGGTGATTGTGGGTCACCTCCCTGGGCTTGGGAGTCTGTGGCTTCATCGGGGGTTGGAAGTCCTTGACGGGAAAGTTTCTTCCCCCTTGCTCCGCCAACTCCTGAACCTGCTGACCTTCTGCCGCCTTGCGACGTCATGGGAGATGAAGGGGCAAATCCGGATTGGGAAAAGGGGCTGTAAGGGGTGTTGGAGAAGGTTACCAGCGAACCCGGTGATGCCATCTCGGCATCGTTATTTTTGGTGTTATCGACCGTTGCCCTTCTCTTCTTGGGCGGACCCCCTTCCTCTTGTATGGAGGCAAGTGCCTGAGGTAAGGAAGGTCGATGATGTGTTCGTAGCCTGGGCGGTGTGGATGATCCGTGGTGCTCGTTCCCTTGCGCCTGTGCTACAGGACTGGAGGCACGCGTGGTGGCGGCGCTTTGGCTGGGCACCAGACAATCCAATACCTTCAGTTGGGCTTGGCTCATCACCTCTGAGCTCTCCTGGGTCCTCTGGGGTGTGAAGGTCGACTGTGAGAAGCTGGTGTCGGTGCCGAATTGGATGCTTACCGGCTGCTCATGCTGATAGCTGTTTTGGCGCGACTGCCCCGGCTGTTGGAAGATCATGTCGCGATAGAAGTTGTTGGGAGGCTCGTTGACGGGCGCGTAAGGACGCATGGCCAGCGCGATGGCCGCGCCGCCAAAGCTATTGTCTGTTTGTTGGATTCCATGTTGCCCACCGGTAGTCCTTCTGCCCCCGTAACTTTGCTCGAAAGTGTTCCCGCCATGACCGCCTGCCTCGCGAGGGAGAGCGGCAGCTGCATTTAGGAGATCATGGATACCATCCGTTGATCGTAGCGGCGCTTGGAGCTGGTGGTTGAATGATGGACCCCCGAAGCTATGTACACTTGACAAGTCACTGAAGGCAGTGTTGAAGCTGGTGCGGGCAAAAGGGGCGAACGAAGTATTTGAACCAACAAGGTTTCCCGGCCGCGTATTCCATTCCGAAGTAAAAGATAGACCTTCTTCCTCAAAGTTTGGTGATATTAGGAAAGGGTCATCTGCTGCAGACGCATCATTTAGGTTTTGGAAAAAGCTGTCCAGATATCTGGACTGATCATCCGTAAGAAGAGTGGCGAGGGGTGCAGGCGGCTGTGCTGTATGCTGGGGCAAGTCTGCGAGAGACCCATGACGGCCAGTTTGTAAGACGTTTGCTTGAGTAACACGTGCTAAGGGGGGGTGAATAAACTTACAACCAAACACCGGCTGGGGCTGGTCGGGTGTCGGCGGCTCCTGGTGGTGTAGCGGCGGAGGCGGCTGCATGTCGGCAGAGGTAGGACCAGCAGGTGGCAGATGATGTGACGAGAGCTGGAGTGAGGGATGGCGCGAGGCTGTATGAAGTTGTCGTTGAGCCATGACAGGCAAGATGACGTATGTAGAAGTGTTGCGGCTGATTCAGCGGATTACACACTAGCTTGGGTTGTCGCCGCGGGCTTATACTCGGATTATCGGGGCATGCCAGGCAATGGCGTTTGCAATGTTTACGATTCCAGCACGTAAATCCAACCCGGCCGGGACTGGTCTAGACACGGGAAATCAAGAATATCCAATACCCCGACTGCTGGGGCGGCTGGGGGCCGATGGAGATGACGGCTGCGGAATAGCCGAGCACGGAGGACGGCTGCCGGAGACCCGCTGAGGGGACCCGGGAATCGTCGTGGGGCCGGTGGCCGGAAGATTGGGAAGCGGCCTCGGTGGGTGCGTTGCGGTTTGATGATGTACCGCCGGCGTGGGTGAGGTGAGGTTGTTGGTGTTGACGTGAGTGGCCGGCTCCGCAGTCGTTTTCGAGGCACGTGAAAGTCGGGTCGTTGTCGTCGGGAGGTACCTTCAATGTACCGAGCCGATCAGATGGAGATGTTGAAACGTTTGAACGTGACAAGAAACTCGGCTGGTTGCACTAAAACTGAAGACCCGGACTCGAGCACGTGTATCGGTAGAGCTGAGGGCTGAGAACTTGGAGCTCGGTCGCTTTTTGGGAGAAATGCGAGGATTCCAAGGCAAAGCTTGGAGTGAAAAGCACAATGCGAAATGAAAGCCCGCTAAATGCCGGATGGAGGGACAAACTTGGAAACTGAATGTAATGATTGATGTATCATGTTAATGTAGAGGTAGAAAACTGAGGCCAGGCGGACAGGACGTCAGGTGTTACTTCAAAGTCGCAGACAGAAAGCATAAGTCAAGAACTCGGCTGGGATCGGTTTGGGGTTTGCGGGGGATCTGATCTGGAGAGCCGCTAATTTAAAAAGAAAACCGTTTTTGAAGGTTCCGTGCTTGGATTTCTCTCTTCAGCTTTTGTTGGTGCGGTGCAGGATTTCCCCTGGCTCGTGGCTTCCATCAGTCATCGGTCTTGTGGTTCCTTCGCCTAGACTGCCTTGGATGTGGTTCCTAGCTCCCGCTACAACGAAGTGGAGGCTGTCCGCAAGGTACCGCCCATAGAGCACCCTTGAGGTCCTGTTAGGCTGGTACACAGTACTAGTCCAGGCTGGGGAGGCCATGCCGTGAAGTTGAAAGACACCATTTCATGACGGATGAAATACGTGGTTTCAGATGAAGGGTTTGAAAAGACTACTCACTCTCTGCCCAAAGTGAAAGTGTTAATTCATACGTTGTCATGTATCTGACTAATTATGATCGCAAAGGCAGACACCAGAGTCAACAAGTGGCTGATCTGAAGAGGCCGGACACAAGACATTGCAAGTACCGAACTAACGGACTTTATTAGTGGGGACCAGCCGGGAGTGGAATTGCAAGGAGCTTGCGAGGCCGGACGTTGGAGTGCCGGGTTCCTCCTCAAGATACTCCGAGCATGAAATTCACCATGTTTCTCTCTGCCTCTTCTGTTGCCTCACCTGTTGTTATAGTTTGGACTTATAAGAGATAGGGTATGTGATGTTCTCATCCTGGCTTCACGGCGCCTGTCCACGGTGAAAAGTCTTTGAGCATAGGCAGAGCTTGTCGAGGGCGCAAAAATAAGCAAACGATCACATGCAATATCTAGCACGAGGTTTCGTGCCGCCCACTTTTGACGTCTTGCGCTACCCCGCCAAATCTCCCCTGACTTTCCTTCTGTCTAAACCCCGGACTCGTTGATTGGTCTCCGGGTCCATTCTCAGGTCTAGAAGAGACATCATGACAGGTACGCAGAGAAATCCGGGGAAGTGGTAGGGCAGAAGTGGAAGGACACCTCCAAGGACCAGGTGAGCACCGAGAATAGAAAGCCTCGTGTATCAAGCCGTTTATCCTGTCATTTCCAGAACCTCGCATGGCGGGAGAATCCGGTGCCTCGTTCGGTTTTCGATTCCAGAACGGCTTAAGGCCCTTCCATCACCTGGTCTTTCTTGTCCGTGTTCCGCCGAGGGTCGGAATGGTGGCAGGAAGTCAGTCCTTGGAAGGTGATTGGAGAAGCAGGTTGACAAAGGCCAGGCATCCAATAGCTTTGACGTGTTCTCCAAACTTTACAAAATGGAGGTGATGAACGCAGAGAGAGTCGTGATCGAGTTCAAGACTGGGGACAAGGAATGGTGGAACGAAGTCCCCGCATTTTTTGTAGCGCGCTATCAAGACGCTACCCCATTCACACAGCAACACCAACGCCCCCAACTCCCCCAAAGCTCATTACACGACAGCGATCTGCTTCCCCGATCCAATTCAGTCCTTTCCAGTTCAAACTCCAATCAATGAAGAGGCGCGTTTCACCTCACGAGGACATGTCTGTTCAGTGGTCTCCTTGAACCGGCCCCGCCCCTTAGAATCCCCCGGTCGCCGGTCCATGGCGTCGCCCACACCACGAGCAGAGACACTAATCCAGACCGGGCACTCTGCTCGGTATCAAGATCGTCTCTTCGTTCGTTGGCACCTCTGACACCCAATTCCAAAACCATCCCCCGAGCCTAGGCAATTCCACGTCGGTAATCCACACTTCACGTTAGACGAGCCACGGACGGTGCCGCCGCCCGCCACGGCGTGACGACATCCAGAGCAACCATCCATCTTTTTCACTTGTTGTCGTTGCCATTGTTGATGTTATCCTTGGTTGTTATCCGGCACACACATTCAATTTCAAGGGGGTAAACAACCATCCATGCGTCTTGGGACTTCTCGATTCGGTTATACCGAGGCTCATTCACCCTGTATTATACCTTAACCTAGGTTAGTTCACTTAAGTTGTACAACCAATCTCATCTCCCTGCCAACACACAACACCACAGAGTAGATACCTGAACACTTTGACAACTACGCAATCAAGCTGTAATGTTCTGAAAATCAGGACTAAGCTAACACGTAACCCAGCTTCATAGACTTTATTTCTTCTTACACAGCTTCACTATACATGTATCTGTAGCCGCCATGAGCCGCCCGTCTCAGAGAGCAGCTCCTCCTGCTGCATCTGGACCCCCATCATCCTTACGCCTCCAGCTTCCCACAGTTCAGTCAGCTTCAAACCTAAAAGGCTGGAAGAGGATCGAGAGTCGCATCCCCCCATTATTGCGGCCTCTCGTACGCGCCTATCTTCTGGGCTATGTGTCCTCGGTTGCCCCGAGGTTGTTTACCTTGGTTTCCAAGCATGTCATCAGGTTGAAAGCCGAGAAGAAACAACAGGATGATTTCGTCGAGTCTTTTATAAACATACTGCGGGGTGGCATGGACTGGCAACGATTTCCCACATTTTGCGCTGTCCTTGCCGGTGGCAGCACGTTACTCGAGGTATGTTCTGGCTTCTCACAACGTTACCGTATAGTTACTCACTCTTGGCCACATAGGTTTCCTTCAAGACTATACTTGATCGTTTAGCCGCCACATTGTCCGATGTGACACGAAACCGGTAAGTATCCGACCACCGTCCTTCTTTGTCACGTTAATAACACTCAACCATTGCAGACTTTCAAGATGGTTTGCCTCCTTCATCGCGGCATGGCTCGGTATCAAGCTCCTACAATCAAAGCGGACTCCAGGCTTCACCGAGACGATAACCGCGCCCACTGTCATAAATGGTGAAACCCCTTTGCCCACATCTGACGCCATTCTGGATTCAAAACAAGACGCATCTCCGCGGCAACCCATAAGGACAGTCCACTACGCCGGCCGGACCCTAGACTTGACCCTTTTCGCTGTCACTCGCGCCCTCGACGTGATCTTCGGGGAGCTCTGGTCCCACTACAAAGCCCGTCGCCATGCCTCCCCCTCCCGCACCGCCACCGGCAGGCTCACTGAAGCTCTCATCTCCCGCCTCACAGACCCGGCCATCTTCGCCCTCTCCAGCGCTCTCATCATGTGGACCTGGTTCTACCAACCCTCGCGCCTCCCCCGGGCCTACAACAAGTGGATCACCTCGGCCGCCTCCGTCGACGACCGCCTGATCGAGGCCCTCCGCCGGTGTCGGGCCGGCACCCTCGTGTACGGCAAGGACACGGGCCAGGCCCCGTTGCTCGGCAGCATGTGTAAGGACTACGACTGGCCCGAGGTCTGGGGCGACCCGGCCAAGGCCCTGCCCTTCCCCTGCGAGATCGTCCACATGGGCTGCGGCCCGAGCTGCGAGCCACACGCCCTGTCGAGGTTCGTCCGCTCGTTCAAGTGGGCCTTCACCATGTACTTGCCGCTCAACTTGCTGCTCGTGCTGCGCAAGCCGAACTGGAAGGCGTTGAAGAGGGCGTTGGTGTCGGCGTGTGGGTCGTCGGCTTTCTTGGGTGCGTTCATCGCTCTGTTCTACTACGGCGTGTGTCTGGCTCGCACGAGACTGGGGCCGTACGTTGTGGGAAGAGACGCAAAGGGTTGTCAGAAGATTGACGGCGGGCTTTGCGTCGGTACTGGGTGTGCCTTGTGTGGATGGAGCATCTTGCTGGAGAACGCGGGGAGGAGGAAGGATATGGCGCTGTTTGTGGCGCCGAGGGCTCTGGCTACGTTGTTCCCGAGGAGATACGACTTGCAGAAGCAGTGGAGGGAGACGGTGGTGTTTGCGGCTAGCACGGCGGTGGTCTTTACATGTGCGCTGGAAAATACGAAGAGGGTGAGGGGTGTTCTGGGAGGGGTTTTGGCGGGTGTGTTGAAGCCGTGAGGCAGAAAAGGTGCAGTGGCAATGCCTTCTTCGGATATCAAAAGGGGCAACCGGGAAGACGCTCGATATCGGTGGATTCTGCAGACTCCATGCTGCGATTATGAGTCAAACGATCCCATCAAGAAAGTAGTCCGGATACTCAAACTTTTGATCCCCGGCCTTGTCTTTGGTATCGACTTTGCTACGCCTTTCAAAAAGATCGGATGAGCACTCCAAGATAGTGAAGCGGATGGTCACCGTACCTCGATCCAATAAACAAAAGTTTCAAGCTCCATGAATGGTTACGGACATGCACGACTACATTCCCATATGCTCGATTCCGCTATATCGACGGGGAAGTCCACGAATCCCACAGATCATTTGCTTAACGTCCAGTTCGACACCAAGCAGGGTTGTTATCGTGATATTTTACTGCAGGAATTTCGCATCCACGAAATCACTGAACTGGGACCGAAGTCGACATACTGCATACACATCGCCGACATTTCCGCCATCCCCGTTTACAGTCACTTGCTGAAAAAGCATCAGGTAAGAAATATCGAGAGTGTCATTTCCGAATGATATGATATGACCAAGTACCTAACACCGTCTCCTCTGCAGAACTACCAAGCAGGAGCAGTCACACGAGATCATCAGGCTCTTGGATATCTCGAAGTCTTGAAAGTCTCGAATTGTTTCTCCTGAACAACCACACTTCCAACGGAAATCTCATCACCACTCACCAGTCGACAATACCGACAACAACCGCAAAAATGCCACGCAACAACATCTCCCCCAAAGCCCCCCTCATCGCTCTCTCCACCCTCTGCCTACTTATACTGAACCTTGGTTACGCTGTAAGGAATAAATGAAGAGAAAAACAATCGCTACTTAAGTTATTTTTTTCACCCATGCCTTCGGGTGACTGATGAACTGCCCGTGACTTTCTTGACTGTCGTGAACAGCCGAGTCTGTCTTCGCCTGCACCTAGATCGGCTTTTTTTGCTCTGATTTTCCATCCTGTAGCAATATTTCATCGCCATCAAAACTGCTGCTCAACTCTCATCATGCCGCTGTTACTGGTGGCCTCTTCATTTTCCTCTTCTGATGTCTGATCTTGTCCGCGTAGTCCTCTCTCACAAGTCGCAGCATCTCCTGGTAATTCTGGAGGACGTTCAAAATTTTAGTGTATCCGCTGTTGATGTCGCCGTTCTGACGTTCTTCGTTGCCTCCTCGTAAGAGGGCGGTACTTCAGATGGCGGTACCGTTGCTGTAACGTTCGCAGTGGAGGGTACCTGAGCCGGTGATGGGGTAGCGACGCCCGAAGACGGGGCCGGGGGGTGAGGTGGTGATGGAGCGACGTCCAACCGGAACATCCAGAAGAATAGTTTGAACATCCAGAAGAATGGCCAAACAAAAATAAAAAACCCACCAACGAGTACAAGACCCACTAGTAACGCTCGCATACGTAGTGGAGATGTAGAGATATCTGGCCATTTCTCTTCAACCATACTCTTCCAATCTTTATAGAGTGCTATACGTACGAATTCGAACAAACCGATGAACAACCAAATAGAGAACCCGATAGCGATCCAATGTACTGGCTGTAGCCCCCCGTCGTTTGTTGCACCGTCGCTAGAGGCACAGGCTGTTGTTGAGTTGGAAGTTGTTGTTTGGCAGGACGACACGAGTGTACTCGTGTTAGTGGTTGTCGGCGCCATTGTTTCGGTCGAACGGGGCTAGTAGTGACTCGCCGAAGATTCGTCCCAGTGTAGCCAGATGCGGTTTGTTTTCGGACGACTCGCTTCCCGAGCTTCGAATGATGTTTCCTGGAGGTTACTTTGTTAGTTTGGCGTTTGCGGTACCACGAGAGTGAAGAGTGTACTTACCAACTTCAGGACGACTCGGGGCTAAAAGTAACCCGGTAGTCGAGCTCGAAACGGGGGGACAATTTGGGAGGACCAAGCAGTTGATTGATAAGTCGAGACGATGAAGTCGGTAAAGCAAAGATGTTCAAGAATGTTTGGAAGTTGATGATTGATGAACAGAAGAGGAAAGAAAACGAAAAACCGTTGGGGACCAGAAGACTCAAGTAGTCTGGGGCTGCCAGAAACCTGGAATTCACGGCGGGGTTTGCAGCAGTATGTGCCTTCCTGAGGGGTTGTCTGGAGGAGGCAAGAGCTACGCTTTGAGACGCGACAAAAGGCAGGTGGGTTGGTAGCTCGGTGCCGAAACTTGACAGTGACGCCTGAACCTACATGAAAACTACATAAAGTCATCCTCCCAAGTCTCGTCCCGATCCTGGTTGCTCGACTCCATCATGTTCTCCTCGGCAAAAAGCTCGTCGTAGGCATGATCCTTCTGCCACTTGATCTCCGCCCGCTCCTTCTTCAGGCGATCCTCCTCCTTCTTCCGCGCCAGCACCGCCGCCTGGTCCTTCTTGCGCAGCTCCCTGAGGTGGTTCTCCTTCTCCTCTCGCAGGTCCGGGTGCTTCTCAACCTTGGTCTTGTTAAGACGGTTGACAATGGCGTTTTCGCGCTGCGCGATCAAAATGCGCTTCACCTTCTTCTGGTCCTTGAAGCTAACCTGGCCAACCGCCATGCTGCCGTCCTTCTTGAGGTTGGCCCATGGCGTGTAGATGATTGTGATGTTGTCCTTCTTGTTACCTTTACAAATAGCAGGGTTAGTCTTCATGGAGCTCCCATGACCTGACAACACATGAGCAAAAGCAAAAGCTTACCCTCGATGGAGTTGGCCTTGGTCAACTGACCGAGGTCGGTCAGGAGCTCCTCGGGAATGTTATCCCATGTCCAACCCTCTGGCAAACGGAGGTAGATATGAGCACTGGAAAGTTTGTCGACGTGGAACTAGGGTCAAGTTATGAGAAAACGAGCATATTATGATGGGAAAATTATGGCTGTTCATACCCTACGACGAAAAGTCAGAAAAAGCTGAATAAGGCTTGGCTAGGGTGATACTTACCAGACATCTTCCTCCCAGCCGTGACTAATCAACTCCTCGTCTAAAAATGGAATGTTAGATGTATGACAGTATAACATTGTGCGTTTGAGCATGATATGCAGCGTCCATCAACTCACGTACTCTCAAACTTGTCTTTCCCCACATAAATGAAAGCCGGGGGATTGACGACGGTCGAGGTGAAATAGAAGACCATGGTTGCTGATGTGTAAGTAAGGAATGAAAGATATTAAAGGTGTATCTTGAAACGGCGACAGTGAAATGGCACTTTCGTGCAAGAAAAGAAACCAAAATGCAAAAACGCGATTTCTTTTCTGGCTGGTGGTGGTCGAGTTTGGGGATCCAGGCGTTAAAATGCGCCCGCACTCAGCGAGGGAAGGGAGTCAAAACAAACACACAACCCTAACCCTCTTTCTCGAAACGTTACACAGCACCGCCGAGTGCCTGTGACTGGCCGCCCCTCCCCTGTCAATTGTGAATCCCCGGATGCCGAACCGATCGACGTTATCGGGGGGAGCATCCCGTTACTGAATTTCTGGCTATCAAATTTCTGCTGCTCCGTGCTTCGAGCCGGCGACCACCACTCCCGCACCCGCCCCAAAACCACCTCAACGGCCGCGCGCCGAAACGACCTCCCAACTCCGCCCCCTCCGGTTCGCGTCTCGAAGACAGCCGGTCCTTTGCGATTCCCCCACTCGACGCTCCGGGGCACCGATAATAACGGCGAACACAGTCAAGTCCAATTGACTGCGACCAACCCCACCAAACACAACATCACCTTTTACACAACACACACGATGGCGCCCCGGCTGCCCGCGCGCTGCTGGAGGCAGCTCTCCCTCGTCGAGAGGTCAGCCATCCACACCACCACCGCCAGCCCCCTCCTCCTCGCCGGCCGGATCACACCCACCACCGCCTCCTCCTCGCCATCGACCTTCTTTCCCTCCCTCCTCCCTCAGATCACAAAGCGCGGCGTCAAGTACGGCTGGAGCACGCTCCCGAAGCGCAGCAGGCCCACACGATTCAACCAAGTGACCCAGGGTCTTCCGGCGCCCACGTCGGGTCCCGCCGCTGCCCTCAAGCGCCGTGAGAAGACCACCCCGCTGCGCACCGGCGTGCTCGCCGTCAAGAAGGGCATGACCGTGTTCATGGGCCGCACCGGCGCCCGCATCCCCTGCACCGTCCTGCAACTCGACCGGGTCCAGATCGTCGCCAACAAGACGCGCGCCAAGAACGGCTACTGGGCCGTCCAGGTCGGCCTGGGCGAGCGCCGCGCCGAAAACGTCGGCGCCCCGCAGCTCGGCTACTACGAGGCCAAGGGCATCCCGCCCAAGCAGACGCTCGCCGAGTTCAAGGTGCGCAACCAGGACGGTTTGTTGCCGGTCGGCGTCCAGCTGCTTCCGGACTGGTTCCACGTCGGCCAGGTGGTGGACGTGCGCGGCATCACGCGCGGTATGGGTTTCGCCGGTGGTATGAAGCGCCACGGCTTCTCCGGTCAGGAGGCGTCGCACGGTAACTCCAAGAACCACCGTACCATCGGTTCCGTCGGTGGTTCGCAGGGCTCCGGTTCGCGTGTGTTGCCCGGCAAGAAGATGCCCGGTCGCATGGGCGCCCAGCAGCACACGGTCCAGAACCTGCCCGTCCTGATGGTGGACAACGAGCTCGGCATCGTGGTGGTCAAGGGCGCGGTCGCCGGTCACAAGGGTGCGGTCGTCAAGGTCCAGGACGCCGTCAAGAAGGCCCCTCCCCCGGAGGAGTTCGTCGAGGCCACCAAGAAGCTCATCAACGAGCGGTTCCCGGATGCGGAGGAGAAATTGCAGGCGGCGAGGAAGTTGCACTTGGAGCTCAAGGAGGCGAGGAGACAGGGCCTGATAGATTCGCTCATCAAGAATGGGCTGACGGAGAAGGCGGATGGAAAGGTTGCGGTTGAGGCTTCGGCTTGAGAGGGGCTGTCTGGTCTGTAGTATGTGTTTGTACTAGGTTTATGGAAGGGAATGTATGGTATAGCCTTCCGGTTTCTCTTTTTTAGTTCTCTCTTGTATGATACACACGCATCGTGGGGTGTTTAAATGTACAGCTACCGAACAATGTATAACATGTTGAACATACAACCCTTGCCCGTGATAAGGTCACATGCTCCATCCTATATCTTACATATCCCTCCTAAACAGTCCTTGGGTATTCGATCAGAGAGTCGGACCACCACATTTCCCCATGTGCAGATGGTGCCCCCACCAAGGCATCTTCTTCCCTAACATCACCCCAACACAATTACTTGGGCATCTGCCTAAACCCCCTAACCTTGGCATCCTCAGCATCATCCAGATCCAGCTCAGGCTCCGCCCCGCGGCCGTTGATAGCCCTGAACGGATCGCCCTCCTCCAGCAGGTCAATGACCTTTCCGTCCTCCGTCTCCAGACTCCACTCGGTCGTCTCGAACATGCCCCGGGGCGTGGGCCGGAAGCTGGCGAAGCGCATCACGCCCGTGCGCTTGGTGCCCTTGACGTTGAACTTGATGTCGATGCGGCCGTGCAGCTGGTTCATCTCTCCGGAAATCCAGGGGATCTGCGCCTTGAAGTAGATCTCGTCGCCCAGGTACTCGCGCGCGCGCGCGTTGGTGCGCAGGGCGTACAGCGTCGATTCCACGACGGGCGAGGAGAGTTTCTGGTAGTTGAAGATGGCGATCGAGGTGGCGGCTACGATGCCGAAGAAGATGGGGAAGGTGCGGGACCAGCGGAAGCGGGAGGTTTGGACGTCTGTTTTGGTTGGAGAGGTGGAAAGGGGGATAGGGTCAGTAAGTAGGTCAATTGGGGGCGGGCGGAAACGGACATGGAAAAGAAAGAGGTTGAAAGAAACAAACATACCAGGAAGTTCACGATCAGCTCGCCTCTCCATCAACGGACCATCGCCAGGCCTGGGTGCCGATGTGAGAGATCTCCTCTGGGTCTGGGGTGCACGGCCCTTGGCGCAAGGGGAAGGCCTCGCCAAGGCCCTCTTCAGGGCCATACGTTGTGTTATCCTTGAGAGCATTGTGTATATTTGTGATATGTGTGGTTTCGTGTGAAAGTTATTTTCAGACGAACGGGATGTGTTGACACAAGCTTCTGGAGTTCGTCCCGTAGACGGGAGCTAAGCTGCCCTACGAACGATAACTCGTTTATCGATAGGGAGTGGGCCGACACTACGTCGACTGCCCCACTATAATTTGATCAGTGCATAGCCTTTTGGCAATATTCTTGTAGCAGCAAGTACCAAGTTGTCGGGGTGGATAATGAGGGTTAGGAGTTGAGGCTTGGACTTCGGGGTCAAGTTGGGGAATTCATCCTCGTGGCTTGGCGGATAAATGCTTCCCTCCTCTTTCAACAACGCCAACAACCATTGTTGGCATCACGATGGCATGTTCCACAACGCTTTAACCGTCCATTGGGGGCCTTTTTTGTTCTATTCTTGATGAGGTTATCCCGTTTCTGTTGAAGGGCTACGAGTGCATCATCTTCTTCTCGTTACTCCAAGTTCGAACAAAACTCCTGCCGAGTTGCCGGTTCAGCTTGCTTATTCACACTTCTCTGTTTATATGCTCGATGACGAAGGCCGAGAGGTAGGTTTCCGTTTTTGGCCCTTTGATTCAGAGCCTGGTGTTACTATTCTATAGGGCTGAAAAGTGCGGTCTTTTCCTGTCTATGTTGCAGTTTGCTTCAACTCCAGATGTCGTGAGAGACGGACAGCCTATATCCTACAGCCGGGACTGGTTCTTTTTCCAACTCAAGGTTGCAGCCAGCCTTGAATCCGTCGGTCCAGGCCGTCACAAGGTCCTGTATCTGACAAGGCAAGCTCTGTTGCGTATAGCAACGAAACGGGTTGCAACCTCACAAGGCGAGCCGAGCCTCGTGCTGAATGCTTCGCTTCCACGGATCAGCGTGTGGCAGTTCCATGCAAATTAGGCAGCTTTCATGGAAGGGTTCCCGTGGCGTTGGCTGGGGACATGCAGTGATATCCCCCCATTCAGGAAAAGAGGAGGAATACGTACCCAGTCGAGCAGTCTCACTGCGCATCATGGAGAGGCAGTGTCTATTTTGTGTGCTTACATGTGGGACAAGCTGACAACCATCCCATTTGGGACTGGGACCCAATCCGCGTCCTCGGAGGCGGGTGAGAGAACGCTTCCCGCCCAACGAGAGAAAAGGCGAACCGGCACGACCGGTCGGTCTGCTCTTATATATGATGGCTTGCGCCGTTGTCAATATCTGGGGAAACGTGGACAAGTCACCAACGGCATTCAACTTTGTCACATCAGACTTTGGCTCTTTCTGTCTTTTCTCTTCACTTTCTGGCTCTTCAGAGAAGCATAGCCATAGCGGCTTCGTTCACCATGGCTTCAAATGGGCTTATGAAAGCCATCTATGTGGCTTTGCTCTTGCTTTATATCGACGCAGCTATCTCATTAGCGCTTGTCTCGTCAATGGTGGCGTTCCTTCATGGACGAGGCGGCCAGCCATTCCGTGTCCAAGATTTTGAACATGGCGGTCCGATATTCAACCTTCATGGAGAGCCTGCAAACCTCTTGACGGACCACGGCCATACGACAAATGGTGCAGGAGGTACAGGCGTGGTTCTTGTTGGTTTCGGCGGCCTCCTGGCTTTGTGGTTGGAGCATAGGTCCAGGGCAAAGGTATGTTATCATTGCCAAAGAATCATTATGGCTTACTGACGCTACGACAGTATGGCAAATCATCGCCATTCTACTATCTATGGGCCCTCATTACGATTCTCAGCTGGCTTCTTACTCTCACGGCTCTCATCTACACCTTTGTCCTGACCAACATGCATTCGGACCAAAGCATCGACATTGGCCTGGCGTCACGCACTACTCCAAGTCCGTACCCACGGGATTCTTGGACACCGGAAAACTGGTACACGGAGGTCAACAAGCTACACTTTACCAATTCGGCAGATCACGACATACTGAATCGGAAGCTGAGGTCCATTCGCGGATGGCGCTACAACCTCATTCCCTTCATGATCCTCGGTTTCGTTCTCATGCTTCTCGTCATCTTGGAGTTGTTGAGTTTCAGGAGGTCGAGGGGAAGGAAGGCAGACCAGCCCTTTGGACAACCTTATGGAGCGGCTGTCTCTAAGCATGAGTCTGCTCACTTGGTAGCATGATGCAGATTTCAAGTTGAGGACATAAGAGTTTTGCGATTGTGGTCACTTGAGCGGTACAGTCGAGATGTTATAACCTATGTCAAATTCATTAGCAAACAACGGGCTTCAACTAGACAGATGGATGGAAGGGTGTCGATAGAGGAGTAATAAAAAGAACCCAGTGGCATATAGTTCAAGAGGAATACATCGCATATGGCCGCCAAGATACCGTGGCTTCACATCGAGAAACAATGCCTAGAAAACCACGTACCTGCATTGCATTCGAGAAGCTGTCAAGACGACGCCGATGTGACAAAGATATAGGGGTTCAGGGGGGGTCAACACTCAACAGGCAGGGGTAGCTCATCAGTGGACCTTCCGATAAGGCATTGATAAGGATTTTTGGGGACGGGCAGACCGACAGCTCAGCAGTCCGATGGCGGGCATCCCGGACCTCACTAAGTAGCTGACCAACAGTGACCAACAGCGAGCAAGAGTGACCCGGAAGGACCACGTTCGTCCACTGAAGAAGAGGCACGACGTCACAATCACCTTTGTCGCTTCTAGCTCAATCTGTCCATTTCTTCCTTTTACACTACGAGTCATCCATCCTCAACCGGCTCTTTGCGCGCGCGCTATCGAGACAGCAACACAATACAAACTAGCGAATAACGACACCCACCTGAACCAAGGAACGAGCAGACAGACAAAAGCCATGACAGAGGGAGTTGAGGTTTCGCCCGCGGATGCGGCAGAGGCGCGCGCCCTCGAACAGGCTCGCATTCGCAAGGAACGTCGTGAGGCCAAGATCAAGGCCAATGCCGGAAACCGTCTAAATAGGATCACAGGATTGGGAGGCGGTGTTGAAAGAGGTATGTGTGTTTCCATTCATCCATCTTTGCCCCAAAGCTGACATTTATATCCTCTCTTCAGACCCTGCTCCTACGGCGCCAGTAGCCAGCAGCAGCAACGATGACCAAACATCGCCAGCCCCGACCTCCACCTCCGCACCCCGAGTCCATGCCGACCCCGAAGAAGTTGACATCTCCGCTTCGGAACACTACTACCAACCAACCACCACTCCACGAATCCCCAAGCAGCAGCAGCAGCCACAGCCTACACAAGGCCTTTCCCCTTTCGACCCGAACGGCCTTTCCGAAGAGAGCCTTCGCCAGATGATGCTCGGCCGTGACCCCGCCATGGGTCCCGGTGGTGCAGGCGGCGACCCCTTTGCCAGTCTACTAGGAGGAGGTCCAGGCGGTCCTGGCGGTCCTGGCGGTCCTGGCGCTGAGGACCCGATGATGCAAATGATGCTCAACATGCTCGGCGGTGGCGGTGGAGCTCCCGGTGCAGGCGGCGCCGGCATGCCACCTTTTCCAGGAGGAGGGTTTCCCGGCATGCCCAGTATGGGCGGCATGATGCCTCCCGGAATGGGCGGTATGGGCCAGCAAGGAGTCCCACCTACCATGGCAGTCCCCGACCGGTACTCCTCTCTGTGGCGACTGCTACACACGGCCGTGGCGCTCGGTCTCGGCCTCTACATTGCGTTGTGCACCTCGTTCAGCGGCAGCAAAGTCGACAGGGACAGCAAGAACATTCTCACTGGCAACAGGCACCACCACGCGGGGGCGGGGGATCAGGTGGCTGTGGGCTATGATACGGATTCGGCGAGACGGTTCTTCTATGCGTTTGCTACGGCTGAGGCGCTCCTGCTGACGACGCGCTTCTTTTTGGAGAAGGGTTTGGGAAAAAGTCCGGCGGGCGGCGCTTTTGGTGGTGGTATGTTGGGCATGGCGGCCGGGTTCTTGCCACAGCCGTGGAAGGGGTATCTGGAGATTGGGCTGAGGTATGGACAGATATTCAGCACGGTCAAGGCGGATATTCTCGTTTGTATCTTTGTGCTTGGGGTCTGCTCTTGGTGGAGGTCGTAGGCTCGGTTCCAAGGGACGCAGAGAAGAAGATGTTTCAGAATGCTTATTTCAACTGGTTTCGGACATAATGGGACGGGTTATAAAGGGATTGCTTAAGCATAATCTACATGTGGTTTTGCGAAGAATAATGGCGCCGAATATCTTAAAGAAGGCTAAGGGAAGGAGGTGCTCGTTTTCTGTATCAGTGTCCCATTTCCACATAATTATCCCGTCGAAACATGAAGGGTTTGGGGAAAGTTAGCAAGACAATGTCCGGACTCTTCCACAGAGTACTTACGACAGTCAAAACTACCGCCAGTCACTGGCAGGAGTCATCATGATATTCGAGTCCAAGGTATATTAATTTGTGCTCAAGACTACGAAGGTCATTCATCCCTCAAAGCAGCAGAACCCACTCCGTCAGCAAACTCCACGTCCAAACCCATTACCAAACTCCTCCATCAACCCCGCCGCTCTCAAGTCTCAACCCCTTCCTTCACTCCCCTCCTCACTCCTCACTCCTCACTCCAGTCCTCACTCACTTCCTCACTGCCCCTGGGTACTCCCCACCCCCCTCCCCTCCTCAACCCCCCTAACCTTATGATCACTCGGCCTAGCCGCCGCCTCATAAACAATATTCTTGGGCGCCTGTCCCCTCGTCATCCACTCGCCCTTAAACCCAATATAACTGATCCTGGTCTCGTCCTCCTCCCCCTGAGAAAAATTATCCGGGAAGAAAAGACACAAGGTTTGAACGGCGTTGAACCTCGCTCGCTTGACGGGAAGTTCTTGGATTTCCGAGGTCTGGGAAAGCTCGAATTCTTGTGTCGGGGCAGAGTCTTCGGCTTGAGCAAAATCGTGGATGTCGGCGTTGGCGAGGAGGCGGAGGGTGCGAGGGGCCGAGGGGGAGGGGGAGGTGCGCAGGAGGAGGGCGTGGAGTTTTATTTGGGCTGTGAAACTGTTTCGTTGGGGTTTTGTTAGTGATTGGGACGGTGTGTATAATGCGGTCATTGAGGTACAGGAGAGGTTGGCATGAAATTTCATGAATAGAAGTTGCGCGTGACTGAGTGATGAATGTAAAATAAGGTAGTGTGACATACGGAACGTTAATAATCAGCTGCTCATCAGCATCGCTGACCACCTCGGGCTCCGTCTCCAATCGTTCGGCCCACGTCTTCTTGATGATGGCCTTGCCGGAGCCGTGCACCTGCTCGTTCAGCGTGGTGATCTCGTCGAAGTTGATGTGCTGGTACAGCGAGAACTGCACGGCGGGGGTGATGTCGTCAGAGTGGTCGTGCTCTGCCCCGCCCACATGGTGGTGGTGGTGGTCGTCGTGTTCGTCGTGGCAGTGGTGCGACATTGTGTTGATGGCTTTGTTGTATTATGAAGATTTACCGAGATTTTTACGGTCGAGATTTCGGTGCCTCGAGTTATCAAGCTTTTTTTGATGATCGGATTTGATGACGGAGTGGTTGTTGAAGTTTGGTGAAAGTGAGGGGCTAAGACAGAATGTTTCGTGGGCCTGCGTGACTGACCTTCAGTTCTTGCAGTGGATGAATTCGAACAGCAACTCCGGTTCAACGACAACGATCGACATATTGCTTTGGGGAATTGAGAGCTGTCTTGAAATGTAACGAAGTCAATTTTAATCTAGAACCGTGTACGAAAACTGGATTGAATGCCGAAGCTTCGAGTATTTTCCGCACTTTCTCATCCAAACTTGAATCGTAAGCAAACGAATTACAACACTGAAGGTGAGATCACACGTTTGAATATCACACAACATCACGTCAGATCAACCACAGAAAACACTTTCGAGTTGCCAAACAGTCATATTATCAACTATCTGAATCCCATCCGCTTCTTCACCTTTTGCTTCTTCTTCACATGAGAGGGCCTACCTCCATGTGGACCTGCAACAATTTGTGACATGGGCTGCGATGCGAAAAACTGCGACGACTCCGGCTGAGTGTTCTGCGTGAAAGCAAACCCCCTCGGCTGGCTCGACTGAATGGCAAACGGCAGAGGTTGACTTTCTGCCTTGACGGCTTCAACGCCGCGAATCCTCGCCAGCAACTTCTCCCTCTTCTTGCGCTTTGCCTCGAGCTTGCGCCTTCTCCGGAGGCCAGCATCGTCTTCCTCGTCGTCTTGACCTGGCTTCCATGTGATGACATTGGGGTCTTCACCGAGCTCCCAGTGAGAGGTGACCCGGGTTCTACCGCCAATTCTCCTGGAAACGGGATTCATGGCCGCGTACTGGCGTAGCCTCACGCCCACTGGATCTTCACCGTCCGGCTGATCTTGACTCTGGGTCGCATCATAGCCTTGAGACTGTGATTGCGACTGCGAGTGCTGTACGAACTGGGAGTGCACTTGTGACGAGAACAAAGGAGGAGAGCTGCCAAAAGGCATGGAACTGGCAAATGGCTGGCTCTGACTCGATCGGCCATCCCAAGTCTCCGCTGCAGCCCATTCTTCAGGTACTGCCGCTACTCCGGCCTCAGAGAGGAGAGTCTCGGCAGCGAGAAGCTGCAGCTTGGGAGTGAGAGCCCCTTGGAACGCCTTTCCACGGTTTGAGGGAAGATGAGAGAACATCGTCATCAACCTCTCAAAGGCCCGGTCTATATCATCACTCAAGACGTGACGACCATTTGTGGGAACCAGTCTCCCAGGAACATCTTCGAGCAACAAGTGTTGATGGGATGACCAGTGCGAAGCGAGTCGAACAACGTCTTGGACACCTCTTGTTTGTTTTACTAGATTGAGTCTTTTTCGCAAAGCGTTAGCAACATGTCCCGACAAAAGTTGAAGAATGACAAGTGTGTGTGGTGAGTCCTGGATCAGAAATAGAACAATGTATAGGTGTATTTTTGTAATCATTGTTGATCATAAACAGCCTCTCTTTCGAGAAAATCATCATATTGGACGGATACTGTGCAAAGGGTGAATGGTTCCAACTTACAGAGAATGTCTAGGCATATAGCCATTGTGTGTCTCACGACTAATGACCTCGGCGATGCGAGTAATGTCATCTTCATTCTGCGATGGGCGTGCCTCGTTCGAGGTTGAGGGGACCACTAGCCTGTCGGCCAATGCCCGCCCGTAGACCACAAGACTGAGGGTATCTGGTTCCCTTTTCAGAGTTCCAGATGAACCTTGGCAAAGTTCCGGGCTTCGGGAATCGCTGACCAAGGAACGGTCGTCAAACTCGTCTGGTAAGACAAATGCATCGCGCAGTTGCTCCGGAAGCCTTGTCTTCTCCGGTGCAGAGCCAGAACGGGCTATGCATTCATCTGGAGGTCGCACCCGCACACCAGGCTCGTCAGACCACATGCAGAGCGAGCAGCTCAGATCCAGATCGTGTCCCAGCGTAACCAGCTGGAAGAACCTGGTTTGCCTCTTCGCGAGAGCACGAGCGAGAGATGCCGTAAGCTTTGCTTGGCCAACTCGTCGCTCGACCGGAAGCATAGCGACACTGATGGACTTGGATGAAGCTTTGAGGCGAACTGACTCGCGATGGTAGCGAAGAGGTTTCCCTGAGCTGGGGCTGATGAACCAAAAGACGGTGACTTCGCCATTTCGACTGGAACGGATCGACACGAAGCAGGCCAGAGCACCATCTATGAATGTGCCAGGAGACACCTCGAGCCTCAGTGTCGGATCTTGGACGTCTCTTCGGTGAGGTGAAAAGACAAGCGGCTCAAGCCGCAGTCTAGGACCATCTTCTTTGACAGAGAGCCAGGAGATGGCTGTGTTCGTGAGAAGGAAGGCCTGTGATGGATCCAAGTGCGAAGGGGCGAGGTCCAAGAGACGTTCGCCTTTCTTTGCTGACAGCAAATGAGGCTGGTCCGCGGACTTGCGAGTTTCCGTGTCGAAAAGGCAGAGAGTAGTGCTGTTTCCGAGGAGAAGCAAGCTAGCCCGAGACAGGCGTTGCCTTGGCCTGGCGCGCGTGGAACTCCTTGATCGACTTTCATCATCGGATCTGTCCCTTTTCAGAGACAACCACATGATTCTATGTGGCTCCTGATCATCTGCTGTCCTGCCAGGGAACTTTGGGATGGACCCTAGGTTGATGTTGCCGCACATTCTCAGTACCGGCTTCATCGCCTTGGGACGTGCACCTCGACGGCCAACAATGTCCCATACGCTCCAATATCCAGCTTGATCAATAATGGCAAGCTGAGGGACCTGATTATCAGAAAGCGGATTGAAGGAGACATCCGAGTGAGATCCGCCCCCGGATCGATCGGACGTGATGGTGAACAAGGGGTTGGCAACAAGTTGCGTCAGGGTTGAGGAAGATGGTTGGATGAAGGATGAGCATTGCACCGGCAGCTTTCTGAGTTCGGGCTCGCAGACCGTAGTTGAAGTGGGTTTCTGCACAATGAGCCAACGAATCTGGTCGTATTTCTTGCTGTCATTGACGAACTTGATCAATGAGATCGGAACGCTGTCCTGACACCAGTCTCCTTCGAGATGGTGGTTCGGGACATGAAGACGTATCTTAACGTCCTCATCTGTCCAGCTCCACTCTTCACGGGCGAGACTGATCAAGCGAAGAATGTGCCCCGACTCTCCGCTGGCAGTGGCGAGCACCGTGTGTCCCCTAACTCTATCAGGGTCTCTGACATCGGTGATCTCTCCAGTGGCCAGGAGAGAGGCAGTGGTTGGTGGTGCAGGATGAGTGCGCGAGTAAGTGTTGCTGATCTCCTCAATGAGCAGCGTCTCGGTATCAACATCTCCGAGAAAAGCCTCTGGGAGGGTTTTTAGGAGCCAGTTGTTCTGAGACTTGGCAAGTTGGGAAGGACCGAAGCTGCCGAGGTCAGGAAAGGCTGTCTTGGTGGGCGCGGACCACTGATTGAAAGGCGTGACTTGTTGGAATTGGGGAACTAACAAGCGAGTCGGTTAGTCCCAGAATCCCCAAGTGAGGCGCAGGTGAGGAGCAGCTTACTCTCATCTCTAGCACGATCTTTGCGAAGTTGACCAGTGCCTTGGTTGATTTGAGCGGGAATGTAGGTCAACCGCCCGACGATACCACCAGCATGAGCGCGAGGGCGACTCAAAGCATGCGTGCGGCCGACAGGGCGGATAGGACCATGTCGATCAGCCATTCGGAGCTCTCGGAGTGAGGGTAGCTCGCGATGACGAAGTGCTCGGCGGGATCATTTCTCCCCCGATACCGAATGCTCGGTGTTTGCAACTTGGTCAGGCAAACAAAAGGAAGATATTAGAGGTAGGAGCTCAAGTGCGCCGGCGCATTGAGTCCTGACCGTGGTGGTTGGTGGGGGATGTTGGAAGCAAAGAAATGCTGTGGAAGGGAAGAAAAGAAGAAGAAAATGCGAAACGCGACCAGCTTCTCTTTTTTTTTTATCTTTGCAAGAGAAAATGCATGGGTCCACCGTGAACTTTTTGGTGGGGCCGATTCATCATTGAACGTTCTGCAAAAAGGTACGTACCTTTGAAGCTGTGACAGCCAATCAGAAAGAAGCCCGGATCAGAATCCAATTCCCCAGGAAACCATGCCCGAAATGGAAGGGACGTAAACATGTCCAAGAACTTGAGAAAGTTCCCCCACCTTCAAGAGCAAGCATCACCAACCACGTCGTCCCGAGTCGCGTCGCAAGGCTTTCGATCGCATCGCATACTGTCGCAATACTACATTTAGCAATAACTTTAACGATAAGCATCAAAAATGTCACGAAAAAGCGTCATGTCGTCCACGTTCGAGCCGTCGCTCTCGACTAGCCGACAGCCCCTCGGGCCATCGCTCGCCGATACCCTACCCAGCATCAACTTTGGCTTCGACGAGCTGCGCGATCGCATGGCCAAGTTCACGGCAAAATTTGACGACTTCATCGAGCAAGGGCGCAGGCGCGTGCTGGAGGAGAGGAACCAGTTTAGGATGAACGTGGCAGAGCTTCAGGGTACGTGTCATGCACCCAGTCAGACCAAGAGGGCGCATATTGATGCTAATATTCTGCTTCCTGTAACAGAGGACCAGCGTATGAAGAAAAAGGACATTGAAATCCTCCAGCTCAAAACCAACACCTACCAACAGACCATGGCCAAGGAGGCCGCCGAAACACGCGAAATGCAACAAGCCATCGCTTCGCTCACCGAGCAGCGGGATAAACAAGCCGCGATGCGCGACGCTTTGAAAGAACAAATTGCAGCTACACAGAGGGAGATTGATGCGCGTCTAGCGGCGCAAAGGGCGCACGCAGCGCAACTAGAGGCGCAGGCAAGATACAACGTGCCAGAGCTGGATTTCTGGGTAACAAACCTATGCATGCGGATCGAGGGTGCCGGAGCAGAGGACAGGCTCAAGTTTGTGTATACGCACATTGATGAGAGGAACTGGGAGCGAGAGGCCTGGTTCGAGTTGAGTATGAGTGGGAGGGACTACGATGTGAGACATTGTAGGCCAAAGCTGGAGAGGGAGAAGGTGGAAAAAGTGCTGGACCGGGTAAACGAGACTAGGGAGCTCGTGGTACTACTGAAGGGCATGAGAGAGTTGTTTGTCGAGGCCATGAAGTCTTGATTTCAGTTCAGCTGGTCTGAAGATAGTTTGGATAGCTAGATACCCCGAGTATTGGACGTCCGGCTGTAGATGCTGATGACATGGACTAATGACCTTTGGATGATCGTCATGAGTGTCGCCTGCTTAGGAAGGAGGGTAGGTATCGTACTCTACCTCACGCTTGTGAGCTATTCAGGTGTTGTTGCCCGGTGAGCCGGAGTCGTCGATCGGCTGACAACGGTTAGAACCGATAAGCGTGACTTCCTCGCTCCGTTGAGGAAAGAGCCCCTGTAGAAGCCCGCTGTAGCAGCTCGTTCCTTCCTGGGCTTGGGGCTTACAGCGGAAATTGATAGTACAAGAGCCCGCCAATCTCTTCCTCACATCTGTGTCTTCAGGTTCCGACGCGTCAACCCCAATCACCACAACACTTCACTTCACCTCTGTCCTCTTCCACCTCACCCCACTTCAACTTCAACTCAACACATCACCAAACGTTGCGCCACGCTCTTCAAAACACAAAAATCACTTTCATTATCCAAGAAAAGAACATATCATCATTACAACATGGAGAAGAGCGAAAAGCAGGCCGCCGCTCAACAAGCGGTAGACATTCTCCACGAGATTTCCACTATTCTGGTAAGCCAACATTGGTACCCTCCCTTGCGAGCCGACTGCTAACCATTAACCAGAACTGTCAGTTGGATCGTAGAACACTCTCCATCTGCATTTCCATGATTGAGAATGGCGTAAAGCCCGAGGCGCTGGCTGTAAGACTGATGATGTCCAACCTCACGTGGCCTGTCAACAATGAGCCAACTAACACCCCATGATAGGAAGTGATCCAAAAGCTTCGCGTGGAATCCCGAGTCATCCAAGCGGACATCGAGGCCGCCGCGGCCACCCCCAACGCAGCCCGCCGAAAATAGATGATCGGCGGGGAGAGGGTTTTACTCGGTTCTTCGAAGCGTGGACCGTTAAATGAGGAAGACGACCAAGATCAGATGGACATCGACTTAGCCTCTGACGGCAAGAATCAGCGTTATCTGGCCGCGCCGAACGATGCCATTTCACGGTACCATTTGAAGCTCACTATTTACACCCTTCGATGGGTGATTATGGGGTTCAAAAGGCTGAAGACAAGATTTCCACCGTTGTGCCACTCTGACAGCAAGATGGACCCGATCGCGACGGACTTGGTTCGCCGACTACCGTGCTGTTCAGAAGGGAGGAATTTAGCTCCGAAATGAGTCGTGGTCGCAAGGCGTCACGAGCAGTCAATGGAAGCGGGAGAAACGGCGCTTTGCCATTGGGATTGAGAAGGGCCAGAAGGGCCAAAAGCGCACCAAATCGAACAGAGAGGATCAAATATTATGAGGAGATGCTGCGATTCGTGAGAGAGCGGCCCATGATCTCGACATCGATGCGGCCCAGCCCGACGTCAAGTTGGGCGGATCACGATCGCTTAGAGGGCTGGGACCAAAATGAAGAAGAGGAGGAAATGGATCCGATGGAGCTCTGGGAAACAGAAAGGGAGAATAATAAAGACGAATCGAGGCAAGAACAAGCACTGGTCAAAACGGAGGTCATGGAACTCTGCGAAACAGAAGGAGAGGAAAACAAGAACGACTCGGGGGAGCAAGAACAACAGACACCTCTGGTGAAAACGGAAGTCATCCAAGTACAACCCTCCAGCAGCAGTAATAACTCCGATAACAACGAACGACTACGCCGACCAGATCAGACATCGGAGGGTGGAAATGAAGAGGCCAGTGGGATGAAAGTTGAAGTCACGGAAATGTCCGTCAGCAGCAGCAGGAGCAGCAGTTTCGAATGCGACGAATCACCATACGGAATGGAGAATCGGATTGAAAAGGAGAGGCGCAGGTCAAAATAGAGGTCACAATCACTTCCAACAATAGTAGCAACTCATCTCCGACCCGGATTCGAGCCACAGCGAGGCATTTGCTCTACGACGACTGACGACTATGGCACACACTCTTCCCATCCCGGGTTCACAAGGTTTACACGATTCACGATATAACACCCGCGATGGAACCTAGATCCATTCCAGATCACTTATCCGAAGGCATGCGTGGTGTAGATGGATGGGGCTTAGCGATTGTTAGTTTTTTCTGTTCACTCAGTCTTCACAACGTAACCAAAGAAATCAAGAATAAAAAACAACTCAGCGACGGACGGGGAGAACAAGACCGTTTATTTTTCTATTCCTTTCAGCCGGCAGATACATAGGACTGACTGAGTTCAGACGAGCGTGTCTTCATTTGTGACCTCTGACCTGTCTGTGTTTGGCTGTTTACTTGATCCCACCATTCATGAAAAAAGGTCATGAAACCTCTCGTAGAAGAATACTTAGTTCCCGTCATCATCTAAATCGACTGACTGCCCGCACCACCTGTCATGTAGAATGACTTTCTGTCTCTATGTACTCTGACAATACCGAGCAAAAACATCCTTATACCTACCTATCAGGCAGGCCCTTCCATCTCAAGCCCCCCATGTATGTCCAGTCTCAACCTTCTTTATCTTTTGAAAACTATGTACAGATATTTCCCGTTGGCTCAAAATAATGAATGTACTTTGGGATCCAATTTTGGATTGACGACCTACCTAGGTGATACATATCGGCAATCAGACTGTCTTGATCTTTCACGTTGCAGACAGTCGATCTACCTAGATGGTGTGTTTGGATGGTCAGTCGATTTGGAGGTCCGTACTGTAGTGGGAGCAAACAACATGTCAAGCTTATTTATTTACTCCCATAATAGCCTTCGACCGTTCCAGTTATATTCAAAAAGGAGAAAACTAAGCCATGTACGCCTTCCATGGATCGCAACGATTCTCCACAGCACAAGTATTCTTTTCTTTTTTTTTCTCCTGAACATCTAGAATAGTCTCGAACCGAACTCCTGCTTTCATGCTCATGCCCAAATAAATGGTTCCGTCGTACAACATCCCGAACAAGAAAGATACCTTTGAAACCCAGAAAAAAAATATGCTGTGTAAGGTATATCATGATAAAGAGATATTCTGTCCGTGCTTTTCCTGCTGTTTGTTTCCCTGCCTTGAGGGTTTCTTTTTCTCCCCTTTTCCATTGACCATCCATTCATTGCTCATCAAGGGGATCATCTATGACCAATCAAATCCAATTCAAACCCCCCGTCCTCTCCGTCTTCCTCAAGATCATCATAGTCACCATCATTCTCTTCCTCACTGTCATCGTCCTCATCTTCCTCCTCATCATCCTCCTCCTCTATTAGATCCCTAATAGAGGTGTGCCCATCCCCAGGAACAGGAATCAACCTCCTCGGTGGCCTCCCCAAGAAACCCAGCACGTCTTCCAGAGTCACCATGTCCTCTCCCCAACGACTTTCCTGGTCGTCATCGGTGTAGTAGTCGTCCGAGTTGTAATCTGCGCCTGTTGTTGTTCCTGCTCCTGCTTCGTTTATTGACCTGCCTCTTGTTCTTCTTCTTGTCGTCCTTGTCGTTGTCCCGGGGATAGAGCGGTCTGGGATCGTAGTGGTATTGGCCGCGCCGGAAGAAGGAGCAGATGCTGAGTAACCGCCGAACCCAACGAAAGCGGCGGCGGAAGCAAGGACGGCGGCGGCTGTGGCGGCGGGGGAGGGAGGAGCGAAGGAGGAGGGGCGGGGGAGGTAGGTCGATGGTGAAGGGGTCATGGGGAGGTTGGCGGAAGTGGATGTTTGGGGTTGGTCGGCGGAGGAAGAGGATGGAGATTGTCGGTTTAGGTTGGCGAAGAGGCCTGCTAGGGCTGAGCGCCGTGGTGGTGAGATGGGGTCGGAGTGGAAAATACTTCTGTTTTGTTGTCTGTTTATGTCGGCGCATTGAGGATCCAGTCCTCGAGCAGCTGATAGTCGTCTACCGCCGGCTGTTGCCGCGCTGTCAAGGGCAACTGGCAGATCGCTCACACCCTGCGCTCCTTCGTTGGCATCACTCGACCCAGTGGCAGCCCTTGGTTCCTCCTCATCCTCGTCGTCGTTAACGCCAGGCATATGGAGCAGCTTATGCTCGACCGTGTTATACGAGTGACAGACTGAACACTTCAGTCCCAACCAGTGGTACCTTGTCTGGCTTTTTGCACTGCAGTCGTTGCACGAGATGACGGCCCGGGCGTCCTGGTACTCGTCGGGCATGGGCTGGGTGGCGATGGCGATGTCGAGGTTACGAAACTGGATCTCCATGTTGACGCAGCTCTTGTTGCAGACTGGACACTTGTACGATGTTTCCCGGTACGCGCTGAAACAATGTTTATGGATGGTATGGCCACATTTCATGATTGCAACCGGTCGCGGAGAGTTGAACAGGTAGTCGCCGCAGATGGGACAGTCGCAGTCGGTTGACCGTTCGATACATCGGTGCTCGTCGCGCGTGGAGACGCATGCTGAGCATTTCTGTTCACCAAGAACCGTCAGTCCATGTTGGGCCAAAGGGGCCATTTCTTCACACTAGCTCAAAGCGACTCACCTTGCAATGGAAGAAATCTTTGCCCAGGCCCAGCCCAACTCGGCAGAGCCCACAATCGTTACAGTGATAGATAGGTTTGTTCCGATCGTCGTTCCACAGTTTGCAAATATTACAATAGTAAGAGGCCGCCGACTGGTTACAGCCAACGCAAGTATGCGAGGCCTTTTGGGCGCGACCGCACAACATGCACAGCATGTGGCGTGTCTCCCGCCGCGGCAGAGTGTGATCTTCCACCTCATCGTGACAGAGCCGGCACGTATACCACCGATCACAGGCAGCGCATTGCAGCTTCACATTGCGCCGGTAGTGTTTGCAACCGAGCCTGAGAACGGGCTGACCGTTCTCGTCCAGATCCTCTGTTTCTTCCTCGGGTTGTATTCCCTGCGCGATCGCGTATGCGAGATTGACATCGAGTTCTCGCACCCCATATTCGTCGCGTTTCGGGGCGGTTTTGGGAACATGGGTCGGCTTCAGATCCTCCTCTGTAACGTGGATGTTCAGGGCATCCTCGTCACCAAATCCGCCTTCGCCCGCGAGAAACTTGAAAGCCGTTTGCAACGGGCCAAACGAATCACGATCCCGGTTCGATGATTGCTCGCGGCCATAGCTCTGCGCGCTGCGGGCGCTCTTGACGCTGTGCACACTACGCACGCTCCGACCGCTGGGCGATTCTGGGCGCATGCCCATAGTACCGTCATGCACATGTGGAGACTGTTGATAATACTCCTCTGTCATGACCTGATGTATCAGCTGCGCCTTGAGGGCCTGCGAGATGTCGGCCTGGTTCTGAATCGCCTGTATCCTCTTCCTCAATGCGCTCTTGCCGTCATCTTCTGGTAACTCCCCGGTCTGGGATCGAGCGTCGGAGTCCATATGGGAGGGGATACGGGGAAGCCCGAGAAGGCCCTGTTGGGCTGCTTGCGCAGTCCATTCTGGCGCCGGCGCAGAGATGGGTGAAGTTAACGACGGTCGCGCCGGCGGCGTCGAGTCGTATGCCGCTGCGGGTGTTGGCGGAACTAGGACTTGTCCAAGATGCCCTACTTCTGGAGTGGCAGATGCGACATGGGCGGCTTCCCCCAACCTCGAATGCGAACTTGATGCGGCGTTGGTTGGTGTGGTTGTGGTTGCGACAGCCACCGGCGGGGCTATGGGTCTACCAATATTCCCATCCAGACTCCTTCTATAGTTCTCCTCTTCGTCCTCAAACACAGACTCGGGAAGCGCCGCCCCATCGGATCTTGTTCTCTGGTGTTGCGAAGTGGAAGATGGCGTGGGTATATCGGGCTCTTCAGCGGCGAACCCTGAGGAGAATCGTCGAACTTGTCTTTGTGCTCCTCGAAGCAAATCGGAGACCAAGGTAGCCATAGCAGATCATGCGGTCGGCGCAGACCTCGTTTTCTTCCCTAGGATCGGCTTCGTCGAACGTATACGTATAGCGGCGGTAGGGAGGACTGGAATTGGCGGACGATGTTGAGAGACGGAGCAAGGGCGAGCGCGGTGGCGAATACGGAATGGGCGGAAAAGGAAGAAAGCAAATAAGAAGGCAAACACCAGCGACGTATGTATGCTGAAGAGCAAGAGGAAGCCAGTATATACGAAGAACTAAATTATGCTAACAAGCGCGGAATGACAATCAAGAAGAGTAAGGATGTTGCCCTGTGTATTCGTGGGTATCATGTGTAAAAGTTCATGTTTGGGGAGAAGATGTTGGACGAGGAAGCGGAAGTGAAGGACGGAAATGTCGGTCGAGCTGTGCAGACTGAGAGTGGCCAGTCGTGTTCAGCCGTGTTCAGCCGTGTTCAGTCGTGTTCAGTCGTGTTCAGTCGTGTTCCTGCTTGTCTCTTTCCTCTGGACGAATAAACCTCGGATTCCGGGCAGATCATGTCGTCAATTTGCCCGCCATTGTCTTGAAGCAGGTCCGTCCGGTGGAGAATCGATACGATGGCTCTTGACTTTCTTAGCATCTCGCCATCGTTGTTGCCATGCCAGGCTGTTAACGCCTGCTGTTTTGCGCTTTCACGCGTCCGCCTGTACGCCAATGAAACCCGCTGGTGAGATTGTCCGTCTCCCGCATCCGTAACACTTTTTACGTACTGCCAGTCTGCCACAGCAATAACAGTTCACCGACCTCACCTGTGCAGTGCCTTGTTGCGTCGCCCGCTCGGCTGATCACTTTGGCAGACATGAACATGTTCGGTCTCTTACACCGGGGGGGATGCCGTTGAGGGCTGGGGCCTGGCTGGCAAGCTGGTGGGGTGATTAGCGGACCGAACGGACCACAACGGCCCGGACCTCCCGGAGTGGACGAGTAAGACCCGGACACGGTCACTGTCGGGCAATTTGTCCGTCTCCGTGATCAGTACTTCTAAAAATGCCCTGCTGGAAGAGAACTATACGGACACCGTTTAACCCATCCTCATATCGGGATTATGACCTCGTGAGCACGTTCGTTCGGTCGGAAGCATGTTGGCAACAGGTTGAAAAAGAAGGAAGGAAAGTCATGAGGACGCTGTCGTTGGTTGTCAACGGAAGAAGAACGGACTAAAATGTCAGAACCACGACCACAACTGTGCATCCCAAACCCAGCGCGGCAACAGAATCGGATACAGGGGGCTCAAGCGAGCTGCAGCTGCCAATGCGGGGCCAGCCTGTGGGGTTTCAAGCCGTTGCCGTCGTCAACCTGGAACGGCTTGATGTTGTTGCACAAGCAGACAACAAGACGAAAGGAGGAACTTCCAGCTCGGCACATGCTGTTAGTGCAGCGTGCTATGGTAACCGATGGTGACAGGGGCAGAGGAACCGGATTTGGCTGGTGATCAACTGATTCACAGGGACCCTTGTCCTCGTATTCAGGGTCCCATCCAACTTGGCGCCTTAACATGCATCTCCAACCCCAAGGTAACCATCGCTAGTCATGGGTGCAGTGCTCGAAAAGGAAACTCCCGTCCTGGGCTTGTTCTTGATGGTGGGTTGCTTAAGCTCCGTGCAGGTGAACTGATGGAACGGAGAATCGATCTCAATGTTGACATGATTTGGATGGGCGATAAAGGGACCGCCCGTCGTAATCTCAATCACCATTTCTCTGAAACCCCCTTTGGGACGGGGGCTGTCCCAGGCTGGCTGAGCTGGGACTTGACCTATATGGACTTTTACACCAACATTGGTCTTGGCCCCCGCGTTTCCGCGTGACGCTTCCTTCGGTTATGGCCCTGTCATCTCACAAGTAACGTTGACGGAGAACTGGTGCTGTGGTGATCCTGCTGGATCATGTACCTGACCGGACTGTGCGTATCCGGTGGTGACAAGAGTGAGGAGGTGACAAGTACCCCTGACGTCGACTGACATGCCGGCGTTAAAGCTTGTTGTTCCATTCTTGTCTTTCTTGGCTCGCACAAGTGTCGATGATCCGCTAACAGAAATGCAAGTACCTTATTTGACGTTTGGTTAAGGCAGGCTGTGCATCTGCAGCCCGGGCATCCAACCGTCACCTCTCAGGGCTGGCTACCTAGCACCACATTTGCTTTTTTCTGAGAGTGTAACATCACGGCTACTCTTTTAACCCGAACGTCTTGAAACCTCTACCTGTGCTTATTCTTGATGGCAGCACCGCCTCAGTCCTTCGTTGAGTCTCCTCGTCCATGACAGATTACCTGATTCGAAACCGTCTCCGAGTCCATCTTTCCTCCATCCGTCTTGTGACCCGACAAACACCTTTGTTCGCCAGCCAACATCTCCCACTCGATCCAGTCCGATCATTGCCTTTGGGTTCAGCAACTCGCGCTGCGATATACTCGCTTCACGCTTCCGACCATAACCGCGATTCTAGCCAGCCGTCAAGGTTAGCCAATGCAAAACCAGACAGGTGAAAGCTAGAGCTAGTTTCCTTACCTTTCGTCTGAAGTTTTGACGAACCACGCGCTACAACCCAAGTACACGCTCTTTCGATCCGATCCGCCATGCCATGACTGTCATCGCTTCAGTCTAGCCTTCAATCTCTCCCTTGTGGTCCGAACTCTGGTGTCGACGGGTTCCATCTCATTCGCCATAAACCGCGTATCAGACAAATTGGAAGCCGCTACGGACAACCAAACAATACTTCTATCATTTGGAACCATACAGAAGGCATCCTTTCTGTTCCCTTTCTACTTTGGGTTCCTCCTAGGACATCCATTTTTCCATTCAGCTGGATCACTACTTCCACTTCTTCTTAGCTGAGCTCATTCATTACTGGCTACAGGCCTAGCCCCTGGTGAAGGTGCCATTGGTCTACATTACGTTGCCACTGTCACTGAATGATTTCCTAACCGAGTTGTGGTTGCCACCATCATCTACTACACTACTTATTTTTCCTCCTTGAAGGACGCAGACACACAGACTTAACAGAATTCTTGGAAAGCTCGATTGTCAAGATGGCCACCTATACCGCCCCAGCACGGTCTACACGGGAAGGTACTGCCATGAATATCAACACCACCTCCATGCCCCCTCCAACGGCCGTCTCGACCACTTCGCCCTCTTGGCCTTTGGGGCCTTTTCCCGGCAGACCTCGAGTGGATTCCCACGCCAATTCGCAGCCGCTCCCGCACCAGCTCCAGCATCCGCTTCAACGTCCGCTTCAGCATCCACAGGGGCCGCCGGCACAGGGATCCTCGCAGCAGCAGCAACAACAGCATCCGCAGTGGCACCCGCACCCGTTTCCGCAGTCGCACCGTGCCTTTGGACCTCCGTCGAGCAGCTCTGCTATCACCACCACAAACAACTTGAACCTGAACTACAACAACGGCAACGGAAACGTGAATGCTAACAACGTGAGCGTAAACCGGCCACCAATTCGCCGTCCTCATGCTGCCACGACCGCCGGTCGATTTCGAAGTGCCACCAGAGTCCCTGACCTCCCTGTCTTGAACAACTTGCGCATCACGGCCAACACAGGCAGCAACACCAACGCCCACGATTCCAGCGACTCTGACGAGGATTTCCGCTCTTCAGGTGCCCGTCCTCCTCAGAGACCACAAGCCCACCGACGCTCCATGAGCCATCCCTTCCCGTCTCTGTTCTCGAGCAAGAAAAAGAAGCCCTATCAGATGCATGCTGGCGATTCCGAGGCAGAAACGGTAGACGAAGCCGGTTATGCGCCCAAGCTCGGTACCATTAAATCTGTGCGAGGTCATAGGAATGTTCCCTCCACGGGTAACAAGGACTACGGCACGGGAAGTTGCATGACATGTGGTTCCTTGGTGCGATGGCCTAAGGAGCTCACTGTTTTCAAGTGCACCATTTGCTTGACCATCAACGACCTACAGCCATCCAGTTCAGGTCAGGGGCAAGGGCAGGGCCCCAGACGGGATGCTTCCCGGAACTCACCTCCCGCAGCGGAAGAGCGAGTCTTCTCTTATGGTAAGAAACTCTCTATTTGATACGACTCTTTTCCTCGCTAATACCTGCCTAGAAAAACCAGTTTCCTTGGGTCATACAAAGTCACTGGCTTCACAATGTTTGCGTTCCTTTCTTTCGTCTGCTCTACGCTCAAAATTAGGCCGGCAAGCAGATGTGCAGCCAGACTCTTATTTTACCTTGGCAAAGGTTCCTTCTAGAGATCAGCATGAAAGTCCGCTCTCACCCCCAAGGAGCCCAGGAAGGGGACCGCTGGCGAACAGGGCGGCAGGCGTGAGTCCCCAGCCGCAGCGTGATGGGTTGATGGTCCCAAACACTTGTCTGAACCCCCAACGGCGTTCTAATGGAACGCCTCGGTCATACTCGTCGTCATATCCCGAAAAGCGACCGGCGCTTCCTGATCTCGGCCCTCAAGCAGCTCTTCCTCAAGCGAGCCCACATATCGCAACCCCTGAAACAGATTCCAGGCGGATGTTTAAACGGCTTGAAGACTATATAGTCAGCTGCTTCACATCATACCAATGTCTGAATACTTCGTTTTCGACGACTCGCCCGGCTTACCAGCCTAGACCTACTGGCGAACCAGAGCGTCGACGTCGGCCAACGCAATCGCAACCTCAGCCCCGACCCCAACCCCCGCCTATGCCCCAACGCGAGGCCCGGAAAGACTCAGTAACTGCAGATCAGTCCTTTTTTGAATTGGACGCCAAAATGCTCTTGCTAGGGGACTTTGCTGAGAATGGTCTCTGGTGGACGGGAGGACATGAAGAAGTGGTACCAGCGAGATCATCGTCTAACCGGAGCGATCGCGGCGCGTCTGCAGTAAGCCCAAGGAGTCCTCGCATCGACTGGACGGAGCTAGAAGAGTGGTATACGACAGTGCTTGATGCTGTTCGGTCGTGGCCTCTGGTCTACGATGAGCTTGTGAGCGAGGATTCAACACTTGCTGTGCCTCCCGAAGCGCTGAAGGAGATCGAAGCACAGCTGCTTGTGGGACAGGACCATGTCCATAGGTCGCTTTTGAAGGCTAGCGAGACGATTATGAAACGACCCGGACGCCCGATCACTGCGCCTCATGAGCTACGGTTTATTCTGATTCTTGCCGCTAACCCACTGCTTCATACCTATTATAAGCCATACCCTGGTGAGTTCAGGCATATGGACTCGTTCTGGTCTAGTCAGGGCGGCCCATCCTCTGGAAGGCATTCCGGAATCATCAAACGTATCGTTGGTCTGCTGTCTAACACTCCCAACGAGTGTCACAATCATCTTGTCAACTGGCTTGCGAGGTACCCGGAACCGCTTTTCATAAAGACAAAGGATCTCATTTCTAGCTTCCTAGCTTTTCGACTGAACCGACAGAACGAGAAGAAGTACGATGCCAAAGTGGATATTACCGCCGGTTTGATCCCGAGTCTGAACGCTGGCAGGTCTGCGGCATCACTTCATGCCGCATTGGGATCATCACAGGCATCAGGAAAGAAGCAGAAAGAAAAGAAGAAGATATACAATGACGACTGGCAAATCAAGGCATCGGCGCAAGTCCTCGCGTGGATTTTCGCAGCCAACAACACGAGCCACTCTCAACGCAGCCTAGCCAATCGCACGGAGGGACCGGCTGCGAGCACAAGGGATCGAGTCCAGATGCGTGGGCAAATTCTTGCCACAAGCGATTTCTACACCACCCTTCTCGACGACTCCGATCTCGTGGCAGACTTTGAAACATGGGAGACGAAAAAGGGAAAGTTTGCATTCTGTCAGTTTCCTTTCCTTCTCAGCATAGGCGCCAAGATCCAAATTCTCGAGTATGACGCGAGGCGCCAGATGGAGGACAAGGCGAGAGACGCCTTTTTCAACAGCATCTTAACCCATCGTATCATTCAGCAGCACCTCGTGCTGGATGTCCGCCGGGATTGCCTGGTGGATGACAGTCTCAAGGCTGTGAGCGAGGTGATTGGTAGCGGCGGGGAGGACATCAAGAAGGGGTTGAAAATCAATTTCAAGGGAGAAGAGGGCATTGACGCTGGCGGGTTGCGGAAAGAGTGGTTCTTGCTCCTCGTCCGTGAGGTCTTTAATCCCGATCATGGTAAGTTTCCCTCGGTTGACAAGTAACTCTACTCGTTCTAACCATTGTTTTAGGGATGTTTGTCTACGACGAGGACTCCCAATACTGCTACTTCAACCCCGCCTCTCTCGAGCCATCCGAGCAATACTTCCTAGTCGGCGTCGTCTTCGGTCTAGCCATTTACAACTCCACCATCCTCGACGTCGCCCTACCCCCCTTCGCATTCCGCAAACTCCTCATGGCCGCACCACCTCCCACGCTAGCCACGTCCCAGCCTCGCCAACCCATGACCTACAGTCTCGACGACCTCGCCGAATACCGACCCCGCCTCGCCAGCGGCCTCCGCCAGCTCCTCGAGTACGACGGCGACGTCGAATCGACCTTCTGCCTCGACTTCGTCGTCGACATCGAGCGCTACGGATCCACCGAGCGCGTCGCCCTCTGCCCCAACGGCGAACGCCGCCCCGTCACCAACGCCAACCGCCGCGAGTACGTCGACCTGTACGTGCGCTACCTGCTCGACACGGCTGTGACGCGCCAGTTCGAGCCCTTCAAGCGCGGCTTCTACACCGTCTGCGGCGGCAACGCCTTATCACTCTTCCGGCCCGAGGAGATCGAGCTGCTGGTCCGAGGCTCGGATGAAAGTCTGGATATCTCGGCGCTCAAGTCGGCTGCTACCTACGATAACTGGGGAACCAAGAATCCCGTGGAGAACGAGCCGAGGGTTAGGTGGTTCTGGGAACTTTTCGAGGAGGCGTCCCCCGCGGATCAAAGGAAGCTGTTGCTGTTTATCACGGGAAGTGACAGGATCCCGGCGGGAGGGGCGGCGGCGCTGTCGATACGGATTGCGTGTCTGGGCGAGGATTGCGGGCGGTATCCGACGGCCAGGACGTGCTTTAATTCGTTGGCGCTGTGGAAGTATGGGAGTCGGGAGCGGTTGAGGAAGTTTTTGTGGACGGCGGTGTTGGAGAGTGAAGGGTTTGGGTTGAAGTGAGAGAGAGGGGGGGGGTTATGAAAGATGATGTTATGCTTGGTTGGTGTGTGTGATGATGAGAGAATGTTATGTGAAAGGTGGGTTTCTCTATAAGGGATACGGGGGTGTTGAATTTTTTTTTTTGGTTATCTTGCATATCCATCCTGGCCAGACTGGACCGGAAGGAAGGGGGAAAAAAGGGGAAAGAGAAAAACTTGCATCATCATCATCATCGGCATTGGTGGCATCAGAGAAGATAGGAGAAGGTGAGAAAGGTAAACAGAGACAAATACATGCGTATTGCATCTATCCTTCAATGAGCCAAACACCACTGTAGCTACTATTGCTTGCGCCGTATGTATGATTGATTACTGGACATCATGAAACGGCAAACCCATCTTTGACTGAGCAGACCGAACAGACTGAACAGACTGAACAAACTGAAGCCATGGCCGAGATAGCAATCAAGACAGCAGCGCCAGTATGGATTTTTTTTCCATTTTACACTCATTCTTCTTTAAATCCCCGTTTTACTTTTTTTTTTCCCCTCTCATTTACTTTTCTTTTCTTCCTTTTTTTTTTTTTTTTTTTTTTTAAGCTCAGAATCACAGAGCTCTTATAGAAAAGCGTACCTAGGTAGCAGCATCTCAGCAATGCAAAAAGTTACTTTAAACGGTGGTTGGTGTCCTCAAATGCTCCTCCTACATGTGCAATAACAGTTTTGTAAGGCATGTCGTTCGAGATGAAGACGCTCGTTCGGAAAGGAGGATGGCCCCAAACAGTTTGTGTAATTTGTGATTACTGTGTTTACTTATGCGAGTTAACTTTTTTTTTCTTTTCCATTCAAGCTACGTACGTACCAATAAGTAACAACGCCTCGAAGAGTGAGTTTAAAGCACTTCCTTCTATCACTCCTTGCCCCCTCTCCCCCCGCCTTCCACTCGCCAGAGACAAAATAAATGCATGTCTAAAGTAAGGGTATAGGTATACTGCCCCAGTCCTCCACCCCCGGATAATGCACAATGCCACTCCAATGCAAAATGCAGTCTCAATGATTCTCTCCAATCTGTTGATACAAAAGTTTTGACAAAAAGAGAAGAGCGAGGCTCGCCCATGTGGGTTAGGTTAGGTTATACAGATCCTGAAAGTGTTGTTTGTTTGTTTGTTCCTCAAAGTCGTGATAAAGAAAAAGAGATATTGTTCAGAAGGGGGTATCTTATCCACTTTGCTTTTCTGGTTCCTGTTGGCTTCCCTCCTTTATTTCCGTCTTTCTCCTTTTTCCGGCTTTCTCTCTTCCTTCCCAACCCATCCGTTCTATTGATGATGCCTTTCAAATTTCTTCCTGCAGCATCACCTAACGATGCAAATCCAACCCCAACATCCTCTCATTCAACTCACCACTCTCCCTCCTCCTTTCTCCGTCCCCACAGAAATCCTCCGCCTCAGTATCTGCCCCTCCCTCACAACCAAATTCACTCTCGGTCTCCCCATCAGCTTCTCCCCCATCTTTTTCTTCCATCATCATCCCATCACCATCGATGCACATGATCGTGCTCCCAACCGAGCTACTCTCACTCCTCCCCTCCGTAACGCCCGACGCCCCGGAGCTCGTTGACCCTTCTCCCGACGTCCTCGGCCTCTGACTCTGCCTTGCACTGCTGATCATCGCCTCCCTCTCCTCCTCGCTCAGCAGCCTCATCCGCAGCTTCTCATCTAGCATGCTGACCAACCGTTCACTATACTGGTCCAGCAGGTTGGCGAGCATGCTCTCGCTGAGCGCCTTCTCTCTGTCTCTGTCGTGGCCGCAGTAACTGTGACCATGGTGATTCTGGAGATGAGGCCTCCTGCTCCGGCTACGAATCGCCCGCTCGCCGAGGGCGGCCGCCGTAAGTCGCAGTTCGGCATCGAGTTCGGCGAGGATGTCGCCGCTGATAGCGTCCGAGCTTGCCAGCTTCTTGCGGTAGGCTCGTAGTTGGCGGCAGGTCTGCTCGGTGGCTGCGCTGAGGGATCCGAAGCCGTAGCCAGTGGCGGCGCTGCTAGGCCCCCCCGCGGATGTACTGGGGGCGGTGTTGCTTCGGAGGTTCGACAGGCTGGTCTTCTTGCGGGCGGATGAGCGGATGGTGGAGGATGCTGTACGTGTTACGCCGCCGTTGATGGGTGGGGGAGACGCGCAACGACGGTATATACCGTTGTCCTCGGAAGGCGGGCTTTCGGATATGCTACCTGCTCCTGAAGACGTCCGGCGTAGAGCGTTGCGCTTGATTCGGATAGACCCAGTACCGTCGGGGCTTATCCGCTTCCCTGATGTTACCGGTGTGCGTGTCGTGGAAGTCACTGTGTGCTGTTGAGAGGAACGCCGAGATTGTGCTCGACTGGGTGAGAGGTGACGCTGTCTGCTGCTGCCGGCATGCGATGAAGATGGTCGTTGAAATTGTGCTCGACTGGGTGAGAGGCGACGCTGTCTGTTGCTGCCGGCATGCGATGAAGATGGTCGTTGAAATTCGGCTAGCTCGGCTTTTGATAATACCCTCCTGAGTGGTGGTCGACTGCGCGCAGTTGTGCTGGTGGTCTTATCGGGAGAAGGATCGCGGTTCCTGGAGCCAGTCGATGGAAACTGTATATCCAGCCCCCAGACCATGATGGTCCCATCTTCTCCAACACTGATAATCTTCCTGCCAGCTTGCTCACCCTCAACCATCACCACACCGTTAATGGCTTCCGTATGACCCCATTCACGGCCCATGAAGGCCCCCGATTGAGCGTCGTATACCCGGATAGATTTGTCTGTGTTGGAGATGCCAAGCAAGAAGCCCATATCCCCCGTCGTTGTTTGGCCATATCGTAGCGATTCCAAGATAACGGTCTCAGACCCTCCTTCGTCGTTGCATTTGAACGAGTTCAAGAGTCGTCCGTTGTTGTAATCAAAATGACAGACTGAGCGATCCAAAAGTGATACAAAAATTGACTTTTCAAGAGGCGTTACCACCATTGAGGATGGCGAAGCCCGTAGCGTAATGACCCTTGAAGGAATGGCTGCCATGACATCAGGGTCACTCTCTTTCGTAACCAAATCGTGGATCTGAAGGGTACGGTCCAGCGAGCAAGTAAGAACTTTGTCGCGGGAGGGAATCAAGACCTGAACGACCTTGGCACTAAACTCCAATGTCTGAAAGTGCTCAAATGCACCGGAGGATGTTCGGTGGAACAATTGCGCTGTACGGTCTCTGCCGCAGGATGCGATAAGGAGCTTTGATTCGTCCTCAAAGATGGTGATATCCTGGCAATCGGAAGAATGTGCCTTCGTTTCGAGTAAACAAGCTCTCGTAGAGGCGTCAATGATGCGAAGGACGCCGAGCTTGTCTCCCACAGCAAAGAGACTTCCATCTTTCGTGGCTCTCACCACCACTAGCTGATTGACCGGTTGCTCGCCATCGATGTTGTTCTCTACCTGGTCCACGGGAACGTCAAGTGTTAACTTGATCAGGCCATCCATGTGCCACGTATTGATCCTTCCAGATGCTGACCAAGTGACGAAGGATGCGTCCGCACCATTGGATCCAGGAAGCTCTTGTATTCCAACAATGTCGCCGGCGCCAGGTATCGGAATGTGGTGAGGATCGTCGGATGAAACGGCTGGAATATGATCAGGACTCCAAATGTTGATTGTGCGGCGGTTGTCGATCGTTACGAAGTTTTCGGCGAGGAAACCCAGGGCGACGAGGCCGTCAGATGTATGAGGATTGTGAATGACGGGATCAGGGGTGCCTTCCAAGACACCATCGAGTGCGAGGGTTGCTAGCTGACCATCTTTCCCACCAATGTAAAGGGTCTCTTTCCTCATCGATATGCAGCTAACGGGGAAGTTTAGGTCCAGCAGTCGTGTTAGTTTCATTTGCTTGTTTGTATCGTCCAAAAGGCACACACTGCCCGTTTCTGAGCAGATGATGGCCCTGTTTTCATCAAGTGCAAGAGCGCAGCTGAAGGTGGCGTCTAGCATGGAACCCAACAGAATATTTCGGCCAGGTAATGGTTTCTGGGCCAGTTGGGCAGCTGAGCAGGCCGCCTCCTGTTGGGGAAATTTCGATTTCATCGGAGAGATGGGCGGTGGTTCTTCAACCCTCCAGACCTTGATGTGACGGACACCCAGTGTTATCAAATTGTTGCCCATCCACACCATGCCCTTGACGTGAGATGTACAGCGGTTTTGCTGAAAGAGCCTGGCAGCGCCAGTTCTTGTGTCGATCTTCCATATATAGAGGAACCCATCGTTGGCAGCGCCTAGAGAGGCCAAAAACCTTGTGTCTGGTGACCATGCTACCGCTTTGACTCCAAATGCGTGTTCACTGATGGATACCAATGGAGTATCGGAAGAGGCATCTTGGAGGTTGAAGATGAGTACGCGGGGAGCATAGCCTGTTTCGCCGACGGCCAGGTATCGTCCATCGCGGCTGAGGCCAAGGCAAGTGGCAGCCTTTATGCGCTCGCGACTTGTCCAAGTCTGTGATGAGTCTGCTGTCTGATAGGCCGATTCCCTCTGTGAAGCGGTAGTCCTGTTCCTACTGTCATTGGCTTTCGGTGTCGGATTCGAATTCGCTGCGGTAGTGTGGGAGACGGGAGAAAGCGCAAAGACGGGGACTGCCGAGGGACGGGCTCGGTAAAAGCGTTGGGAATAATGCTCGCCGGATACGTCAACAACCACAACAGCTCCGCCAGCAATGTAGGCGAAAGACGAGTGAACGGAATCAAAACCGGTGGGCGAGGAGCAAGTGGTGCCTATGACACGCCTGAGGGACAAACAAGTCTCATTGAGGGTGCGGGACCGTTGAGGACCCGGGGACCTAGAAGTCCTGGTGACAAAAGGAGAGCTGGCGGGCGTAAGCTTGTGTCGATTCGAGGGAGTGGATGCCATCTCGTAGCCATTGGCCGTTGGGGAGGCGGACTGGGGTTAGTATGTCTTGAAGTCCGAGATGGATTAGGAGAACATGAGCCAGCAAGTCGTCCTCGATATCGGTGGTGTATAGCTGAAGTCGGCCTCGGCGGTGGATTGCTAAGGAATCGACCGTGCGGTGAAAGATTGATAATGATAACTTGACTGGAAACTTTCTCGTTGTTGTCGTCGTCGGTATGGTGAAAGATATTCCAAAATCTTTTTGCGTGTGTAGTGATGAGGTACCCCTTGGTAAGCGGCGAGGAGGAGGACCAATGGTGCCTTGATCTCCAAGCTCGAGCTGAGCAGCCAAGGCGGGTTGTAAGAGAAGCGATAATGATGACGGAAGTAGCGTAGACGATTGGGAAAGTCTGAGCTTTCCGTCCGAACTTCCAAGTCGGCCGGGGTCAGTGCAATGTGTGGATGTTGCCTTGTTTGTGAACGTTCCCGCGGTAACGCTGCAAGATTTGACTTTGTTAGCATCTTTGCACAAAAACACACAAACAGCGCACACACCGCAAAGAACCTTTGCTCGAGCAAGCAAAGTTCAACCAGATTGAGATGGTCCGGTCAGTCTTACAGTGAGGGAACGAGCCGGAGAGAAGAAATTGCAGTAGCAAAAAGAAAGAGAAAGAGAGGCCCGGGACAGAGAGAGGGAGAGCGAAAGAGTGATTGGAATTGAATTGGCTTTGGCGGGGAAAGGTCTTCCTGCCCTGGATGACGACTGGGGTAAGGCTTGAGGGTTGGTTCAAAGTCTGCAGTCTTAGCTCAGGCCGATGAGGTCGAAATGCGGCCAAAAGTGGAAATATCGTGATGCCCTATCCAGCCCAGTCAGGGAGACAAGGTTCGTGATCTAGACTGAGGACGACATTGTGTAGAAGGTATACAATGATCGGATGGAAACTGGGAAGGGGGTTGAGATGGAAGAGAAGGTGAGATGAGATGAGGACTGGGAAACAGCCTTGGAGGCTAGAGTGCAAAAAGGGAGATTGATACTTCCCACACCTCCATCTCTCTTTGCTCTTGCCCATTCCTCATGAGAGAAAGGCTCACATTTCCCGTCATCATTGGCATGCTGGCGAGTGCTGGGATGGGCCCGTGGGCTCAAGATTGAAATTTCCCATTTGGGGTGAGGGTCCCTCCCATTTGGGTTTATGGGTCGCCTAATTCACGCTACAAAGGATGATCATCACAGTGATCGGGGACCGCTCCCTGGCCGCCTTGCAAGCGCTGTGGTCGCCGCCATTCGCTAGGTGTCACGGCGGGCAATCAAAGTCAATCTTGGTGTCACCCTCCCATCCGCTCATTCGGGACTGGTCTGTGCAATCTTGATTACCGGGAGCCAATTGCAATACATCCAAAATAACCGGTGGGGCACTTCGCTTAAGGATCCACAATCTCCACTCTTTACAGTTGTCACATCCCGTCTCGACCGCTGCAACCACCAAAAACCGCGCCAAAACGTGGGACAAACAACCACCATTCAACTTCACGTCTTTCGAAACGACAACTCACGGCGCATCGACTCGTGAAGCCCAACTGCTACCGGACCCTAGCAAGCAAGCTTGGCCATCTCCCCGCAAAATACCAAAACGACGAAGAGTGCAGAAGGCACAGAATGTTGCCTTTTGCTTTTTGAAGAGAGAGAAAAAGAAGACTGCGAAACATGGGACAGACTGGGGGTAAATGGACCCTTCATCACAAGTGAAGGCATTTATCATACCACAAGCATCACCAACGTGATGCGGCCTTCCCGCAATGGATCATCCCAGGAAAAACTTGAAAACCAAACACGATGATCGGGTCATCCTCCATTTTGTACAACCTCCTTCCCTACTTTCCATCATGCATTGAAAAGGATGTATATGTGCAAGAACTGGTCTGACTTTTGTATGTGAATCTCGTCTGTAGGATCTCGATTGCTTCTACGCCCAGGTAAATCCACCACCCCTATTCACCCCAGTAACCGTAACCCCTTATGTTGCCCCCGTGCCCCTTTTTTCTTCAACCCATGATGTAAACAAAGAGCCTTCAGTTCTTCAAGACACCACAACACAACAACATGTACACCTTTCCACCCCATATCCCCTAACCACCTCACTAACTTCTTTCAAAGGTCTTCGAAAACAAAACCCCCTCTCTCAAATCCCTCCCCCTCGGCATCCGCCAAAAGTCCCTCCTAGCAACATGCAACTACCCCGCGCGCCGTCTCGGCGTCAAGAAGCTCATGTCCATCGCCTCCGCCCTGGCCATCTGTCCGGACCTGGTCATCGTCGACGGCGAAGACCTGACTCCCTTCCGGGACGTTTCCAAGCGGCTTTACGCCCTGCTGCGCTCGTACTCGTGGAACGACAGGGTCGAAAGACTGGGGCTGGATGAAGTCTGGATGGACGTGAGTGATATGGTTGAGTACAATCTTGAGTTGCTGAACCGGAATGATTTGGAGCATTCGTGGTTTTGTTTAGACAAAGAAGATCCGGAGAAGGGGTTTGCGTTTGATGGGAGGGGGTTTGCCGGGTGTGTTTATGGGCGTGATCACTTCGGTCTCGAGGGGACTGATGATGCCGAACTGCTAATAAGGACCAAACTCGTCCTCGCCTCCCATCTGGCTCTTTACCTCCGTCTGAAGATCGAAGAGGAAGGATACACCACCGCCTGCGGGATATCAACGAATAAACTCCTCGCCAAGCTGGTCGGTAACGTGAACAAACCTCGGAACCAGACTACCCTCTTATCTTGCGGGCCCGACGGCGAGGAAAATGTTAGAAGATTCATGGGAAGCCACCAGCTGAGGAAAGTACCCGGGATCGGAGGGAAGACGGCTGCTGTCCTCTCCGATTTCTTCATCTCCGGGTCTAAGCCCACCCCAAACTCAAACTCAAACTCAAACTCAAACTCGACTATAAACCCAAAAGAAATATCCATCGCCGACCTCCTCTCCCTCCTCAAAAACCCCCCTCTCACCCCCTCAAAACTCGACTCCCTCCTCTCCCCACTCCCAGGGGGCCAAGGAACAGGCAGCAAACAAATCCTCTCCCTCCTCCACGGCCACGACCCGCTCCCCGTCAAGCCCGCTCGCTCGCTCCCCACGCAAATCAGCATCGAAGATACTTACCACTCCAGTCCCTTGACTTCTCTCGAGCAAGTACGCCAAGAGCTGGTCAAAATTACTCAGTCGTTGTTAAAAAGACTGAGGACTGATTTGTGGGATGACGACAAAAAGAGGTGGGTGGCAAGGCCTAGGACACTGAGGTTGACGACTAGACCGAGGACGACGGACCCACCGAGGGAGAATAGAGGGTATGGGTATGGGTATGGGAGGGTTTCGAAGAGCCAGGGGCTGCCTGGGTATGTTTTCAGTAGTCTCAGTGCCGGGGCCGGGGGTGGGATAGGAAACGGAAACGGCGAGGGCAAGGGCAATGGCGACGGTGAAAACACGGCGGCGATGGCCGCGCAGATTCATGTTACCAAACGACTGGTGACGGAAACGTTACTACCCATGTTTCGCGAACTTAACCCACTCGGAGGCCCCAAAGACAAGACAAGAGGAAGAGGGTATTGCATCGGGTTGCTAAACGTTTGTGTGACGAACATGGACTCTGTGGAGACATCGGGCAGCGGGGGAGGAGGAGGAGGAGGAGGAGGGAGGGATATCAAAGACATGTTTACGAGCGCGAGGGAGTTTACTGTTTATGATCATTCCGCTGCTGATCAGGCCGGCTACGATGCAAAAACAACACAACAACCTGGAATCGAAGAAACCATAGACGACGACATGGTTGCGGAGGAGGTGGATATGGATAGTGACATCACCTCCCCCCCAAGAGGGAACAAGAACGACGACAACGACAACGACAACGACAACATCAACCACCAACAAGATCCCGTTCTTGACGTCTGCGACTACGAGCAAGATTCGAGAATACCAACAACTACCTCTAACGATTACTTCCACATTGAAGATGACGACGACATTTGGGATGACCAAGAAGACAACACGTGGAATAACGATGGACAGTCTGAAGAAGAAGACATGATGGACCATGACTACCCGAGAGACGCAGGTGGTAGTGGCGAGGGCATAAATTGCCCCCTATGTAGCCATTTCATCCCTTTATTCGCTTTATCCGCTCATGAGCGGTTTCATAGTATGGAAGGGGAAGAAGGGGACTAGCTAGGTAGACTTGATAGAGGTCATTTATTCTTCTTACAACTAACCAATCGCCAAACAATTCATGAACTTAACCTAACCTCCCATTCCACTCGTGTTATGCTATGCTGACCTGTTTCTATGCCATTGATGTTATGCCATTCTACTCCAACCATGCTATGCTATTTCCCCCCTTATCCATCCATCTATCCATTCCCCCCTTTTTTTTCTTTTGAAAAAAACCCACTGGGTATCAACTGTTAAACCCCCAACCCCCCAACCCCCATTTTGGTTTTCAGACATAGCCACTAAGTTGCGCTCAGCGCAAGAAGTTTCTCTGTCTTGGGCCAGCCAGCCAGCCAGCCAGCCAGTTCACTGTTCAGCCATTCAACCAGGAGAAATAGTCTAAGCACTAAGGATGTCGAGGAGGTCGATGCCGTTGCCGCTGTCGCTGCCGCTGGACGACCGCTGAGTACGACGAGGATGTCGAGGATGAGAGTACCTAAGCTCCAGTCCTTGATACCCGTACTGCATGAGCGGGAGCGATAGCCGAAGCTAGAGCAGCACTTCCTGCCATAGCGTCCTCTTCCTGTCCGTCACCACCAACACCACCGTTGTGAGGCTGCTGGTGATGATGCCCCTGATGGAGTCGTCGTTGTTGTTGTTGTTGCCGTTGCCGTTGTTGCTGTCCATTTCTCAGCGACTCCTCCGTAACCTCCATGACAACTGACAATTCGTGCGTCTCATGCGTCTCATGAGCATTGACCTCCTTCTCCTTATGGTGCTCATGCTCATACCCATGCTCATGCTCGTATTTCCTCTCCTTTTCATTTCTCGGTCTCCCCTCCTCGTGTCCCTGGTGCCCCTCAGGACTCTCCTCCTGCTGCTGCTCCCCTCTCAACCCATCCATCTTGCTCCTACTCTTGCGGCGGCTCTTAGACAACATCTGTTCTCTCAATCTCTTCCAATCAGCCTTCCAGTTCTCGATGCTCCGGACCAACTCCGGGTCTGCGGCCTCGACCGGAGGGAGAAATTCGTTGACTAGGGTCTCGATGGCGCGGAGTTCGAGACGGAGGTGTTTGAGTTCGGATTCTTGGCAGGAGATTTCGTCTTCTCTGTTTGCAGGTTGTCAGTCAGTTCTGTAGGTACCTAAGGGGATAATGGATGGATGGTCGAAAGGGGATGAGGGATGAGGAATGAGGGACGAGGGACTTACAAATCGATGACTTCCTTCTCTAGTTCGAGGATGCGAGAGGCGGCGGCTTCTGCTCTTTCTACCAGGAGGGCGTGGACGTGCTGTTGTTGGCGTTTGTTGTTAGCATTTATACATACATGAATAGGGGTTTTTGAGTGTGATGAGATGGACTTGCATTTGACTCCTCTCTTCTCGTCTCCAAGCTCTTCAGCACTGCCTCCAACTGAGCAGCTAGCTTCTCAGCCTCGGCCGCGATGCGCTCTGTCTCAACAACATCTCGTCGCTTCTTCGCCTCCACTTCCACTTCCACTGCAGAAACAGACAACACTGCTGCCATACCAGCGCCACCAGAAGGTTTAATCTCAGCAGCCTCCGCCAGCTTTAAGTGCACTTTGGATGACGGCGAAGGTGACTGCGCCCGTGACTCAGGCGGTGACGGTTCCGATCCCGAAAAGCTCTTAGCTAACCAGCTCGGGGCAGCAGCAGCGGCCGCTGACGACGCAAAGGCGAGCATGTCCTTTAGAGGCGAGTGAGGCTGTTCCTCCTCCTCCTCCTCCTCATTTTCCTCTCCATTGCTCTCGCTTTCACCTCCACTTTCCTCTTGTCTTTGAGAAGAAGGAGCCTGTTCACGCCTCGATGCCCTCGCCGAAGGCCCAACAGGCCGTTTCACCATCCTCAAACCACCAGTAACTCCCGCAGCACCAACACCATCACCACCACCACTAGCCATACCCCCAACTCCAGTCCCCGTTCCCTTCCCGGTGAGAACGGCCTCCATCTCATCGACCTTGGCGTGCAACTCACTGATGCTGGCATCACTGAGGACACTATGATTCGTAACCGTCGGTTCCTTGGCCTCCTGCAAATGGTGAATCAAATCCGTCAACCGTTCCACAAGCACATCTTTGCTATCTTGCGTGAGGTTGTCGTCTCCTGCCTTGTTAGCTGCTGCTGTGTCGGTGTCCACCCGCACCCGCGGGTGCTGGTTCTGCTGGTCGTCATCGCTTAGTTCGTCGTCGGCGTGAAAAGAGAGGTTGTTCTCATTGTCGTTGTCGTTGTCGTCGTCCTTGATAGCGAGGTGGTGAACCGTACCACGGCTGTCGTTGACGTGAGTGAAGAAAGTGCCGGAGCCGGAAGCGTAAGAGGAACCGGGGCGAGAGCCGGTGATGCTGGCAAAGCTGGGGGCTCGAGACGATGAGCGGACGGCCTGGAGAGGGGCGGAGAATTGGCGGCGGAAGGGAGAGAGTGGTGAGGAGGGTCCTAGGCCTAGCCCTCCGACGAGATGATAGAGCGTCGAAGCTGCTGGTGGCGGTAGGTGACGGGGTGATGGTGAGGGTGAGCGGCTGCCGTGCTGGAGACCATAGCGGTTTCGTCGGCTCTGATGGTTGTTGGGTGGTGTCTGGGGACGTGGATAAGATGGATGTAGTCCTTTGGGAGAGGTCTGCGTAATGGAACGTACCGGACTACCTGTAGTTGTTGTTGTAAGACTTGGCAACGGGGGGTGGGATGGGGATCTGGGTTGCGGTGGTATCGAATCTAGGTCCGAGTCTAGGTCTGAGTCCGGGTCCGCATGGGCTGGTGCCGCAGACCGTCGGTGGTCTTGGTCATCATCATCGGGCATCGTGATGATTGAAGGTCCTCATGGGATGCGATATGCCAATGCCACCAATGAGGTGGTATGTTTATCGAATAAAGGGGCGTATCAAATGTCAACAATCCATTGAGCAGTGAAGGTATCGGCGATGGTTTTGTATCATTTCGACATGCCGAACCCAACGTCCTGCTTGGCTTCCTTTTACAGGTTGGAATATTCGGTTTGATATCGTTGCTGGACTTGAAGCCCAAAACAGTTCGAGAAGATGTCTTGGCAGTTTTACAGGCTCAGGCGCCTCTGCTCCGTCAACGTAGTGGAGCGATTCCACCGTCGTGTCGCTGTGCCGTTGGGTGCCAGCTATCGGTAGAAGAGGTACACAAGAAATTCCACGTTGTGGGCGATTTCTTTGTTTTTTTGGATTATGCAGGAAAGCTTATTCAACAGAGAGTCAAAGGTCACCAGACAAAAAAGAGGGACTTTGTATGTTGTTGTTATTTCAGTGTTATCAGTTGAGGTTGTCATGGGCGAGGTTCCCTTGCTTGTAACAGTCGCACTTGAGCCACAGAGTGAAACATTTTCTGTACGGGCACTGGACGACGGGCACGGGCAGTCGCAGGGTGGTCCGAGCTCCCTGTTCCCCGGACAGCCGATCTCCAGTCTCCGGACGGTGAGCCCCACAAGGTGAGTGGAAAGCCCCCGGGACTCCGGGCCAGGTGAGCCCGGCGAGTCATGGACAAAGCAAGAGAAACAAAAGAGAAAGAAGCGAAAGAGCGGACGAATCGGCTGTCACTTTAGCCGTCCGAGATGCCCCGCCATGATTGTCTTTTGAGTCTTCACGGACAAAGAACTTCACAAGAGAGGTGAAACACCATTGCAAGCTCCCACGTGGAAGGAAAGCTACGCTTTGATATCGTTGGCTTGTTTACTGTTTAATAGTTCGTCTGAAACTCCGAGCACGCAGTTGAGCATGACGTCAAGTGGAGGTTGAAGAGGTATCTGTTTGTCAAAGCTCCTGTTCGTGATAACAGCAGTGACCTATGAATGCCATAATGGGAGTGGACTGTATCTTTCGACTTTCCATAGGTATTTTGAGACGGTATTTGAGATGTCTTTGAACCCTCAATCACATGTTCAACTCATCTCTCGGCTTCTCCCTTTCCCTGGTCTCAACTAGTACCATAATGGATCTGGAGACCAAGAACCCAAGACCGTAGTCTCGCTCAAAGCCAATCCAAAGCTCTTGACAACTTTACCAAGGAGATCTGATTTCGCAACACCAAAGTGTCCGCGTCTCGGCGGCTGACTGTCGGGAACTGAAAGTCACCCCAAGTTCCTCCATATCTCTCCCATGTCACATCAACTCCTCACTGTGCTTTCTGTCTGCGGAACTGAGGGGTCCCCGTGTTTGCCTTGGGCATGCTTGAGTGTGGGGTAAGCTACACTCAGCCTCGAGCCGGCTTCCGCCGCAGCGCAACCCAAACTGAACCCCAGGAGGCTCATCAAACTCAGAGCGAGGCCCAGATGGCTCATGATTGACGACTCCCCTTTGGGTTCATCGGCAGAGGTTGGTGTTGAAGATGTCTGTTTTGAGGTTGCTATATCCGATATTCTCCGCCTTTTCGGTATGGGTAGAAGTTAAGAAACCTATCCAATAGAATCGCCGGATATCAGGAACAGGGGAGAGAGCACAAACGCAATGGAACCTTGACTCGAGGGTGCCGTACGATACTGGCATCGCAAAAGTGACCGCCGCCGGGCGAGAGGGAGTTGAGCTTTGGAGCAAAAAGCCAAAGACAGGCGAGCCTTGTGCTTCCATTTCTGTGGACAGGAGGGACGGGAGCTGGTGCAAGGATGAGATGCATCGCGATTGTTGGTCGTTAGGACACGGTCACTGTGCAAGTACATTGCGGTAGCTTGCAGTAACAGACACTGTTATTGTGTCTGACATCCAATGCCTGGGGACCCCGCCAATTGCCCTGGTGTCGACCGTTGACCGTGTTTCCCGTCCCCCGGCTCCATGGAGCCCTTTTTGTAGTGCGGTGACTAAGAAGCTGAGGCACATGAACAACTGAATGACTCTCTTTCCGACTGTCTCCATTCCCTATAACCCGAGTGCCAACCTACCTAAAACATTTTCCTGCGCTTTTGCTTTTCCCTTTCTTGAAGGTTTTTCTTGGATTCTTCTTGTCATATTTCTCTCCCTTTCTTCTCCCAAGGGAGCTGTTTGTGAATTGGCGACAACCCCTAAAGACGCCAACGCCAACAGGATATCGTTTCCCATATCACCACCACTACCACCACTAACAAAATCCACTTGCGTCATTGTCGCCGGAATCCGCTTGCCTCGGTTGTGCCACAGGGAGCCCAGCTTACCAGAACCCTAGCTGCCGATACCTCGCGCCCACAACTTCCGACGTGGTCTTGTCCGGTACCTCGAGATAGCCGTAGCCGTACCCATCAAGCCGTCAACCCGCACCAGGCACCGTGCAGTTCCCGCAGCAAAAGTCCATCTTCCTCCGACAACGAACCATTAGTCACTCTTCTTTCTAGCATCTAGCCAACCCTCATTGCCCAAGAACGCCCTGACCGAGAATACCCAATTGCGGTCCGACTCATCCGGCACGACAAGCAACGCTTCGAAGCCCAGTTTCCCTTCTGCATGGTGCACGGCAGCCGACCTGCACTTCAGCACTCCACTGCTCTCTACGACATCAATTGGCGACAGCGATAGCGGCGAAAGCCCATAACCACCAGCCAGGATGTCGTGGAAGATGAGCGAGAAGCTCATGGACACCATCCGGCACTATGCAAGCTTTCCTGCTACCGGCGTCAGCTTGCGCCAGATGGTCCAGTTCGGCGAGAAGCCTTCGACTGGTAAGGGGAGAAAAAGACACTTGGTCCAGAAAGCGCCTTGCTAATAACCTGTACCGTCATACTTCCAGGAACCCTATTCCGCGCCTCCCAGTTCCTTGCTGAAGAGCTCCCCATCCGTCTCGCCCACAGAGTTCAGGAACTCGACAACCTTCCAGATGGCCTTAACGAGATGCCTTCGGTCAAGAAGGTCCAGGCCTGGTACGCCCAGTCGTTCGAGGTGCGCACACTCATTTCACTTCCCACCATGTGTGAATATCTAACCGGACAACTCTAGGAAATCACACAACTGCCACGGCCACACCTACCGAGAGATGTCAGGGAGCGGTTGATGAGGCCGACGAGAAGCGGAAAACACGCCTATCTACCAGAGGCGACACCAAACCCAAGCATAGAGGAAGGTCAATACACCTCACACAACGGAGGAAACTACGCAAGTGGACTTAACCACAAAAAGTTCTCGGCTTCAAGGAGATACTTCGCTATGGTCGATGACACAGGGGACTGGCCTCCCGACCTACACCTTTACAACCAGAAATTTGCGCAGACTCTGCATAAGATCAAGAGGCGGCACGACAGTGTCGTCACCACCATGGCCCAGGGCATCCTTGAATATAAGCGCAAAAGGCAACGCATGCAGATCGACCACAACATCCAGTCTTTCCTCGACCGTTTTTACATGTCGCGCATAGGAATAAGAATGCTCATCGGGCAGCACATCGCCCTGACGGACCAGAACCACTATCGCGATCCCTCATATGTCGGTATTATCTGCACCAAAACCTATGTCAAGGACCTCGCCCAGGAGGCCATCGAGAACGCCCGATTCGTCTGCGAGGATCATTACGGTCTCTTTGAGGCTCCCAAGATCCAGCTGGTCTGCAACCCTAACCTCAACTTCATGTATGTGCCAGGGCATCTGTCGCACATGCTCTTCGAGACGCTCAAGAACTCGCTGCGCGCCGTCGTCGAGACCCACGGCCAGGACAAGCAGGAATTCCCCGTCACCAAGGTCATTGTTGCTGAGGGCAAGGAAGACATCACCATCAAGATCTCGGATGAGGGAGGCGGTATCCCCCGTAGCGCTATCCCGCTTGTCTGGACCTACATGTACACCACCGTCGATCGCACACCGAACCTGGACCCCGACTTCGACAAGAGCGACTTCAAGGCCCCCATGGCCGGTTTCGGCTACGGACTTCCCATTTCGCGCTTGTATGCGAGATACTTTGGTGGCGACCTTAAGTTGATCAGCATGGAAGGGTGAGTTCTCTGGGTTGCGGTTTTGAGGCGTGATGCATTCTAACCTTTTGGAACAGATACGGAACCGATGTCTACCTGCACCTCAACAGGTTGTCAAGTTCGTCAGAACCTCTGCAATAGCAACCAGCAGTCATGAGGGGTAGCGGAAGCCCAGGAACCGCATCCCAAGGATTGACGCTGCCATCGTCACTGAGATACATGAAAAAACGGCTTAAGGACCTCGAGGTCTCGGAGCGCAAGCAGGTTGGCGACACCGAAGCCACAGTCCACCCTCCTCCATCTCAGCAGCCCGTGCCTTCGTCGGCCTTCTCCTCGGGAACCGGAGTAAGAACCAAAGACAGTGCTCTTTAGAGAGAGACAAAAAAAGATCGAAAGGGCTTTTTGTGTTAATGCTTTGTTTTTTGCTGCAGGTGGGAAGGACGGCGGGGTTCTCTTTTTTTCTCGTTTTGTCAACTCTGTCGTTCGGCTGGTTCGGCTTTTCGGTTACTCGAAGCGGTTGAGACGGAAACTTATCTTTGCCCACCGAATAGACAAATAATGTACGAAAGCTTACGAAACGAACACACACACGCAAACACACCCACGAACCGGTTCACAAGAAAAAGATAGCAACATATACGCGCGCAACATATAACGACAAATACGCAAAGCATGGGAATTGGCGCTATATTGACATCGGGGCGGGCGGGCGGTTTTCACGGAAATGGGTGAGGGGGAGGGGAAGAATGGGAAGAACTTAGCCATACGGTCACATGTCAATCAACTAGGCGCGCGCCGAAAGGGAAGGGATTGTCATGGTCCATGGAAAGGAAAGAGGAGGTGGATGAGGGGTACTACGATGGAGAGTGAGTGAGTGGGTTGACAAGTGGGAATGTTACGATGGACGACCACCCTACATACGCAGCGGAGAAAGGCAAAAAGGGGGTCGTCACACACGGAGGAGAGAGAAGAGATGAATGACAACAAATATCCTTTTACACACATTCCCTTGCTTCGTTCTCCCCTACCACAACTGCGCCTGGGTGTTGTCTGACTTTCATCACAACTTGCGTCTTGTCTATAACAGAAATATTCGAGTATACATACGTATGGCACAAAGGCATTGTATCTGTTCATCATGTTATAGTAGTAGGAAGTATGTCTGTATGTAAGTGGTTGGACTACACACGAGTGGGTAGAAGAGTCATGAAAATAGATCCTACTGTATATCAATGGGTATATCATGCAAAATAGATATTCTGTTGTAGCAACTACTTTCTGTTGTGGCTCTAGGTATAGTAAGTATGGATGGTTTCAGGACAACGCAAGAGAAAATGCCATACTCCTCTCCTCTCCTACTCTTTCTCCTCTCCTATACACAGAATCGTACCGTGTTATGCCGTCGACGCTTCTTGATCTCGAAATAATTGTACAATTACCCTTCCAGGTTCCCTTTTTGATCCAGTTTCCTTCCTTCCTTCCTACTTAGGTATCTCTCTTCAACAAACACAACATAACGCAACGCTTGCTCGAACAACAACAAACCCAATTTTTACTTGATTACCACTAATTCATTCAGCTTAGTCCTAACTAAGCCTTATACAACAAATCCAAAAACCCCCTCGCCAAATCCACCACCACGCTCTTATTCGGCAAACTCCCCGCAACACCATACAACGCCGCCGTGTCTCCCGCCGCCTTTTGCTTCCCCGTCTTTCCTTTCGAGGTACCCATCTTCAACGCCTCCACCTGCCTCACCCTCTCTTTTTCGCGTTCCTCCTCCACCACGCTCTCCAAATCGGTCGCTAACCGCTCCCAATTCTTCGCCACCGGCGCCGTCACCGCTACATGGATAGCGGGAGGGTTCTGCAGCGCGTTGAGGTGCCACCCGCGCGCGGACATGCCGTCGGCGATGTCATAAATATTCAAATCCCCCCTGGCTTGGAAAGCCAGGACGGAGACTAAGGGGTTACCGAGGATTTCGAGTTCCTGCTGCAAGGTAGGGTGACCGGAGCGGATATGTTCGGCGAGTTTCTTGGTTGCGCCCACGATTTGCGTGCACGACTTGAGATAGCCTTCTTCGCCCACGGACATGAGCGAGGCCCAGCAGGCGGCGATGAGAGCACCGGGGCGCGAGCCGGCGATTCCCGGGGAGGCGTAAACGCCTCCGGACCAGGAAGGGTCGACGAAGTATTGATATGCCCTCAACTCGGCGTTGCGGTAGAGGACTGTGCTGTTGCCTTTGGGGGCAAAGCCGTATTTGTGCGTGTCGCAGGAGATCGAAGTGACGCCCTTGAGGCGGAAGTCGAACGGTTGCGAGTCGAAGCCGGCTTTGTCGAGGAAGGGAACGAGGAAGGAGCCTAGGCAGCAATCGACGTGCAGGGGGATCTTTTTGCGGAGGGCGAGCTTGGAGAGAGCCGAAATGTCGTCGATGATGCCGTGCGGGAAGTTGGGGGCCGAACCGACTAGCATGATAGTGTTGCGGTTGATCAGCCGGGCCACACGCTTGGTGTCGACTTGGTAGGAGGGAGCAGGGCAGGAGACGAGGTGGAGTTTGATCTTGAAGTATTCGGCTGCTTTGCGGAAGGCTGTGTGGGCGGTTTCGGGGATGATCATCTCCGGCTCGGTAACGCCGCGCTCGTGGTAGGCCTTTTGGCGGGCGCTGAGGATGGCCATGAGGATGGACTCGGTGCCGCCCGAGGTGGAGACGCCGGCGGCTCCCGGGGGCGCATTGAAGAGGGAGAGAACCATGGCGACTACTTCGGCTTCCATCTTGCGTACTCCCGGGAAGACGTCCGGGTGGATCGGGTTGGCGACGGTGAACTTGCCGTAGGCTACTGTTTGTAGTTTCAGAAGTTCGTCCTCACCGCTGTAGACGGCACCCGAGACGAAGCCGTCTTCCCACCGCGTGTGGTCCATGGTCGCGAGCGCTTCGAGCTCCTTGCGGATGGCCCCCTCGGTCCAACCTTCCTTGGGGAGAGAGAGGTACCGGGTCTGGCCCGCGGGAATCATCTTGGCTTGCATCTTGGTGAGGGCATCGTCGATCTGGGCGCGCACTTTGGTGCGCACGCCGGGCAGGCGGAGGAAGTAACCGTAGAGGATGCGGCGGGCGTCAGTGAAGAGCTCGAAGAGGGTGCCGAAGAGACCGCGGCCTTTGAGCTTCCACAAGGCGCGGCGGGTCCAACGGAGCAGGAAGAGGAAGAAGACGATGTTGCGGATTCTGTGGTTACATTGATGTTGTTAGTCGGGTGGTCAGAGATGTTATGTATCTGATGGGGTGGTTGGCTTCGTGTAAGTCGATGACTATGCGACCGAGGTAAGACATCCACATGCAATTTGCGATTGCGGTTGGAAGGGCTGGCTGATGTTACAAACCGAACCGCCTTCGCTGCATGAGGAAACAACGGACTGTTATTTAAAGATGGTAGAGAGGAATCCAAGACTCACAAGTCGACATTGAGGTTCACCACCTGCATCGGATTCCTCGGCCTCGACCTCTTGACGCTGTCAATGCTCTGCCGGAGGCTGACAGGCATGCGCGAAGTGCCCGGCATCTTTGCTGTTCAATGTCTTGATTACCTCAAGCAAGAGGTTGTTGACTTTGACAGACAGGAAAAGGGTTATGAATGTTGTTCGTTGTTGTTGTGATGTAATGACCCGAGGTAATCCGAGAACCAGAGAGGTTCTGAAAGAGAGAAAGAAGTGGGAACCCGGGGTACCTTATGAGATCACTTATTCATGAAGTGGCTCAAGTTGCCCTCCATTCAGTGGACGCGTGTGAAGTGCTTAGTGCTTGCATTAAGAGCCTGGCAGTTCGTTTAGCAGCTTGCGGGGGTCCCGTCAAGTCAACCGCAGTCAACCGAGGGAGCGAGAGAGCTCGGCGTGGGCGCGTGGCAGCCCAGCGTGGCGATTGCAACCATTCAAACAGCGAACAGCGTCGTCTTGGTGATGTTTTCCCCGCTCACTTACTCACTACCGCTCCGTCCGCGGGCCCCGTTCGGTTCCAGGTTTTGTAGCAGAACTTCCGGGGAAGCCGGCATCACTACTATCAGTCCAAACAGCCATCCAGACAAATGTTTTGTTACCGAGTGGAAGCTCCCGTCGGAAGGAAACTGGAAGCGAGGAAGAGGGTTGGGGTAGAGAAAGAGAGACCGAGAGGCCAAGGCTCGAGACATCGAGGTACTTCTCTTTTCCCCACCGCCCCGTTCCCTTGCCGTGATCCGAAGACATGGAAGTCGAGATATCGATCAAATCACACAATCACATGCATAAAAGGGACACCACCACACCACACCAACAATGGCCTTCTGACGTAGCACCTTGATGGCTCTCCTCGTAGCAGGTAGTAAAAGTCTTGTTCAACAACCACATCAAATCGCCGTTTTCTTCATCCTTCCATACAGTAGGTAGTACGCAGCAGTAATCGTCCAAACATGACCGCCGTTCATTTGCCCCCCTTCGTTCCACCCCCATATTCCTAATTCTAATATTACGTTTACTTCGTTCTTCTCATCTTTATATCCATATCTGTTCAGTAGTATTCCTTCCACACCATGGGCTGGCTGCCTCTGCCTCCTCATTCATCCCGCCCTGGAGGAGAGGTTTTATATGTTGTCCAAATTTCCTGGTAAGCAAATAGCAGAAACATTGTCTCCCCAAACGCCCCATCCCCGTCCTGTACCAATTGGCATGTGTGCTATGATGAAGGAGCTCCTCCCCTCCTCTCCAAGTGAGGAGCGCTGCTTGTGTTCCATCCCTCCCGGCTGGCTCTGGAGCCCATGTACTTTGTTAGGCTGTTTGTGTGCTGTAGGTAAGTGATGATGGTGGTAGTGCTGGTGGATTCATGAGGCAAATTCTCCTCCCATTTTTCGAACGCCATCTCTGCGAGGAGACAACCGGCCGTATTCAAGGAGAAAACAGTCGGTGACACCGTGACGCGCCCTCCCTCTCCCATATGACGACCAGTAGGGTTTATTGCTTTTTGTTTCCAGCATTTTATATCGGTCGCTCAATGAGATCGGTTCGGTTCGGTACGCGGGTTGTGTTCATGATACTGAAGAAGCTGAATGTGCCTTCTTTCGCCTGCTATCCTCCATCCATCCCTTGACCTCCGCCTGCCCTCTCATGAGTTCTGGAATGCGGCCTTCCACTGAGCGAACCTCTGCGACTCGGTTTCACAAGTATCCTCGCCAGCCTCGCCGCAAGCATAGAGGCGCACCGCAAGGTCTCCCTCCTTGTACTCCTGCCCACCCTTCTCCTTGCTGTACGAGTTCAAGATGCGCTGGGGCACGAGAGCGAGCTTGGCCAGGATTGTGGGGTGCCACTGGACGATGTGTTCCTGTTGTCCTCAGGTGTTAGCATATCCGTTTCCACTCCTGGCCATCAGCGCTTTCGCCGAGAGTTTGGTGCCAAACTTACCAAGGCATGCTGCTCCGCCTTCTGGAAATTATAACTCCTGTAGATGGGATCGAACCAAGTCTCGATGAAAAACTTGGCCCATTCTCCATTCTTTACCACGAAGCTGCTCGAAGACAGACCGTCCTTGTCCTGTGTCAACACGAAATCCACGTCGTGTCCCTTGAGGTGGCTGAATGTCTTGATGATGCTGTCGGGCGGCACAACGGGATGGTCCTTGATCATCAGCTCCTCCAGCCTCGATGGCTTCATGACGTGCTCCTCGATCTTCAGCAGCGGGTTCATGATGAAAGCGTTCTGATCGAGGTACCAGATGTACGACGCATCGGGGAACTTGGTCATGGCATGTCGGACGGCGGGGAGGCTGGCCCACGAGGTAGGTGCGCCGCGGAGGTCGTAGTCGGAGGACTTGACGAAAAAGGTGCCGTAACCTGAATTCGGTGGTGGTGATGGTGAGCTGAGGTCGGGATAGAGACAGCGGGAGCATGCATCTGTCTTCGCATGTCGCTCCCCTTGGCGCAGATTGGGGGGGATTCACATACCATGCTTCTCGGCATATTTTAGCCTGTTTTCCTTGACCGTATCCAAGTACCCCTTTCCATACTTGCCCTCGTTGAATACTGTGACTATCACCACCGGCGGGTTGCCCGACGGCTTGTGGTACGCCGGTGGCGCGTGTCGATTACGGCGCCCTGTTTGGAAGAGCCATAGTAATGTCACGAATGCCAGGCCGGCAAGGACAATGGTTTTCAGACGTCTGCTTCGTATTGTCGGAAGAGCGGACGTCCGGGGCCGGAAAGGCGGCGGGTTCGACGACTTTCGTGGAGGGTATGCGAAATGCATCGCGGGCAGGTGTGTGATGGGGGACAGACAAGTCCAGACCCTGAAACTATGGTGTCGGCTTCGTCTGCTGCTTCGGCAGAATATTCCACCCTCGAAGGGGGGGCAGGGGGGAATAGGCGGTTTGGCGGGCGGTGGGAAAAGCCGAGCAAGTGGAAGCTTCTGTCTGTAGAAAGAGGAGTAGGGAAAAAAAGATCGACGCCGAACAGGTGAAACTAGGGGTTCGGCCGTTCGTGATGCGCGCGCGCCTGTTCGCGACGGTCCAACCAGCTGATTGGGACCAATCGACCAGATATGACTTTTGGCTCACGATAGTGTGAGGTTTGGTTGTCGTCGGCCGGACTTGTTTCCTCAAACAAGGTACCTCTAGGAGTATCAACCTAGATCGGATCGAATCGTTTATAACGGGCCACCTCGCTAACACGGACGGGAGGGAACCAGGTCGGCGTGATAGTGTTTGGTCGCGGCTTTTTGGTAGCACGTATCGTTATCAGGATTCAAACATGGACATTTGGCGAGATTGGCTGGCAGCTTTGTGCCCCGAACACCATTCGTATTCCACTGTGCTCGACGCTGCACAAGACGGGAGTCAAGAGACTCGACGGGTGGAGGTGGTTATTTATTGAAAAGCCTCCTTTCGAGATCGAAAATCTGGACTTGACTCGACTCGCTGCTTTTTGTTGGAACTTCGTTCAGTTTGGGCAAGTTGAAACATAATGCAGGAACAGCCTCTAAATTAGGTGTCATCACTGCCGTGTAGTAGCCCCACTCTTGCACCATTCAGGGGCTTTATCGTTCCAGCCCTCAGTCCAACAAGTTGCTCACTCCTGCCAACAGGAAATTGAACTGCATGTCAGCTCATGGTCTCATAGCTGATGACTTCACACTTGGCATTTCGGGAATGTTCAATATCAAGTCATTCATTTACAACTAATACTATCCGCTGAGCAATGCGTGATTTATCCGTGAACGCTGTGGTAAAGTAGAAGGACCTCATCCGGTCACCCTCATCAGACAACCCCCAGGTATCTCAATGGCATGTTCCAATCTCGAAAGACAGCAAACTCCCTTCTCCCATCCGTCCGACGGCATAGTGCACACCCGAAAGCATGCGCCCAAAGACATGTCTGCCCGAGAGCAAGTGGATATCCACCCGAAAGCGTGAGGAGTAGCGAAAGGTGGAAAGAGCTCCAAAGAACCCAGTCCAGTAAGGCTCGGATTGGCGCTCCATGCCAGTCCCAAACGAGAAGCGGACAAGACGCCCTCTTCTCAGGGCGACAATGGAGCTCGATCTTTGCACACAGACTAGTTGCCACGACATGGAAGCAGGAGCCAGTGACAACTTAAGAGTGTGCAAGCGGTTTCGGGGGTAGGCCATGGCGACAGCAGAAGCGGCGTTGTAGGCGGGAGGGACGTGGGATGAACAAAAGCAGCTCGAATTCGATACTCGTTTACCTGTCTTTCCTCGACTCGTCGTCAACGTCGTCGTCTTCGTCATCGGCGTCTTCATCCTCTTGAATGTCAACAACTCTGTCACGGGCCTTTTCAAGGACTCTCGCGCTGAAGTGACGGACGAACTTCCATGCAGCCTGTTCCTCTCGTTAGCAGCTTGTCCAGTGTCTTCTCAAAGTGTTGAAACTTACACCAAGGAATGTGAGGACGCCAATCATCACAAGCATCCAATTGACCGACTCAACCCTGTCTCTGCCCCTGCGACGTCCACCTACTGTACTGCGAATATTAAGCAACTGCCACGGAGACATGGCAATGAAAGTCTTCAAGAACCCAAGCAAGCCAAGCGAGAGGAATCCCTTTAGAAAATGGAAAGACCAAGTCGCCGGTTCATCGTCAATGGGGCGCATAGCCTCGACATCTGAGATGACATCGTGAATCGTATCCACCACGCTTCCCAAGGGGTCAACCCAAAGATTGATGATGGGGTCGGCAACAAAGCCTAACACGAACACGGCCAAGATGAACACCAAACCGGTAAGAACCACACTTCCCATCGTACTCGTCAACCAGCGGCCCCATCTCAGTCTCTCCAGTCGGTACTCGAATTTGCAGGTAGGACACTGCCAAAAGTTCCGGTCAGACAAAGGCGACGCTTGCCTCCATTGCTGAAGGCAGCCCTCATGGACGTATTTCTGCGTGCCTTTGCATCTGCAAGGGCTGATCAGACGGCCCAGCTCCGGATCTTCCGAATAGTATCGAACACGTGCTCTCGAGGTGAAGCGAGCAGCGAATGACTCGTCAATCTCGGTGGTGGGCTGGACCACTTCCAAGCAGATGCGACAAGTGCGGGGTTTGTACGTTGGTTGTTTTTGTTGCTGCTGAGAGCTCGGTTTCGATGCTGATGAAGTTGATGATGAGCTGTGCGGTGTCTCGTGGGTTGATGAGGCTTGCGCGCTGCCGTTTGAATGGCCGTTGGGGTTTGCGCCCGAAGGCCATGACCAATTTGATGATCCAAAGTCCATGTTTCCCCTACGAGGCTGATGATGCTTCCGGGTTCGGTGTTGCAACTGACAAAGCTGTGAAATCAAAAGGATGACGAAAGGGTAGAGGGGTACGGGGTGACGGGGGGATCCAGATTGTTAAATAGCGAGAAAAAAGGTGGAAGCAGCAATGTGGTCCTGACGAGTAACCACTCGCTCTTAACCCCAGCGTGCCCAGCTCGAGCCTTGGGGCAGCACTGCCCACTGAAGAAAGAGTGGGCATCATCATTTCGTAACTTACCGCTACCGGCCTCTATCGCATCTTTAATTGCTTCCACCGCCGTGGAGCAACCTGCGACTGTTCAGCCAACCTAGGCGCGCATGTCGCCATGATGCTTCTCGAACAAGAGAGTCCAAGAAGAGAATGCGAAAAATCTCTGATGGGGCTGCAAAATGTTAAGAGCAAAAAAACACCGTGAGTTTCTGACCTTTCCTCTTTCGGACTAGTCACTGTCAATGACAGTGTGGGGTCACAGAGCTCCCGCTTGCCGTTGCCTGCCAGCAGCAACAAAACAACAGCGAAGTGCCTGCCTTGAGGCTCAGCTGGTCCGAGCTCTATCAGGCTGAGGATGAGCTCTCCAGTTGCTGCCAGTGGTCCACAGCTCCAGTTCGACGCGCAACTTCCCCGTGCCTGGGCCTTGAACAGTGACAGCCTGTGGTGGGAACTCTGGAACCTCAAGCTTGCAGCCAAACGACAACAGCTCTCTAGGTAGCCTGCCACTCCTCGACAACCAAAACATCAAACCACCAAAAGCACCCGACTAAATCCCGTCGCAAATACACCCGTCCAACTACTTGCCGAGATATTTGGGAATAAAAGGACGAAATGGCGGACAGATACTCCTTCTCCCTTACCACTTTCTCGCCCAGGTAAGCTTCCGTCGTCATAGTCGCTGATGCAGTGGTGATGGTGATAGCTGCTAACACTTGCGCAGCGGCAAGCTGGTCCAGATCGGTCAGTCGCCTCAACCCAACCCGACCTCATCTTCCATTTAACGACCTCACAATCTTGCGCCAATACGATCCCGACCTTATCATGCTGACTGTTTCTCAGAATATGCCCTTAATGCTGTCAACCAGGGTGTAACAGCTCTCGGCATCAAGGGTAAGCTCCCCCTCCCCCACCACAACCGTCACCAGCATCATCACCACCTCTCGTCACTTCCTTCTACTATCATAGCCCATATCTCTCGCGCCCAAATATCAGTTCCAGATACTAACTATTCCCAACAGCCACCAACGGTATCGTCCTCGCCACCGAAAAGAAGTCCTCCTCCCCCCTCGCCGACCCCTCCTCCCTCTCCAAGATCAGCCTCATCACGCCCAACATCGGCATGGTCTACAGCGGCATGGGCCCCGACTACCGCGTGCTGGTCGACCGCGCGCGCAAGGTTTCGCACACGGGCTACAAGCGCATCTACAACGAGTACCCGCCGACGCGGATATTGGTGCAGGACGTTGCGCGCGTCATGCAGGAGGCCACGCAGTCGGGCGGTGTCCGGCCCTATGGTGTCTCTTTGTTGATCGCCGGCTGGGACGAGGGTATTTTGCCTGAGGACGAGCTGGAGGAGCAGAAGAGCAAGGACGAGATTGTGGGTGACGATGGCGAGACCAAGAAGAAGGCGACGGGCAAGACGGGCGGCATCCTCAAGGGCGGCCCCATGCTGTACCAGGTCGACCCCTCAGGATCTTACTTCCCGTGGAAGGCGACGGCCATTGGCAAGAACGCTACGACTGCTAAGACCTTTTTGGAGAAGAGGTATACCGAGGGCTTGGAGCTCGAGGATGCGGTGCACATTGCGCTGTTGACGCTGAAGGAGACGATTGAGGGAGAGATGAACGGAGACACCATTGAGATTGGTATGTTTATTATGCGACGGATACACGATGCACTTCTTTCTGCGGCGGCTAGGACTTTGACTAACACATGTTTACACAGGCATCGTCGGACCACCGGCGGACCACCTCCTTGGCGTCGAGGGTGTCGAGGGAGCAAAGGGCCCCCGCTTCAGGAAACTCTCTCCCCAGGAGATTGAGGATTACCTGACGAACCTATGATGATACAAGGCAGGAAGGAGAAGCAGGCAGGCAAATAGGCACATGAGCGTATTTTAATGAATGACCATTACAGCAAGTTCCTTGTACAATAGAAAGGAGACCCGGGAATAGAGAGCCCTTTCATGACTAGGCAGGTTTGGACTATTGGTGAGTAAACCTCGCGTCCCAATCATGACTTGAGAAACCAGGTACAGCTTTGTTTATGAAATCAGTCAAAATTGGTATCATTGTTCAAAGAAGGATTTACGCTCTTCCAGCTAAGCAAGCTAACTAAAGCCAACAACGCCAACGCTTGCTCCCCCTCACCAACTCCCAACAGACAACATCCGCTACTCCTCCTCACCAACAATCAAGAAACTCGCCCACGGCCCCGCCGCAACCGCCTTGATCTCCTTTTTAGTCCCGCTAACTCCATCGTCCAGCGACAAAGGCACCTTCTCCCACTTCATAACGTACTCAATCTCCTCTCCCAGCCCCAACTGACCACACCAATTCTGCCCAATCACATACACCTCCCCTTGGTCCGTCAGCGCAATCATGTGTTCCGTTCCCACGGCCACGTCCACGATACCATCCACCTCGTTCCCGTCCGTGTCGGTGATTACCACAGGGACCGGACCGTCATTGTAGTCGTGCCAACCGTCGTCGGCCTGCCGTTGGTCGAAGAAAAGTGTTTGGAGAGAAGGGGGTAACCGTCTGGGATCCCCCCAGACGTAGAGGTCGTTGCCGGCTGTTAGGCAGGCGAGCAAAGAGGAGGTAGGGCCGATAGAGAGGTGCCGGACGGGGCCGGTGGGAAGTTGGGAGAGGAGGGGGACGGGGGAGGGGTAGTGAGCTGGGCTGTTTTTTGAGGGGTTTTAGTTGTTAGTATGGGTGAAATTATGGGATGGGAAAGGAAAGGAAGAGAGGAAGAAAAGGAAGAGAGGAAGGAGAGAAAAGACAGAAACATACCACTCATCAGTAACATCCCTCCCCAAACACCCTACAAACCGCTCATCGCCCCACGTGTACACCTCCCCCGTTGAAGAGAGGGCTGCGAACCCAGTGGAGTGAGCAAGCAGCTGGACGATGTCGGAAAACCCGGTGAAGGACACTTTCTTAATCTCGGTTGGTCGAGGAACCACTTCCGAACAGTACCCATACAAGTCAGGAGAGACGAATTGTTCCTTTGGCGACGGCCTGCGGCTTCGGTCTCTCTCTTCTGCTACCGGTTCGTCTTCCCACCTGTCGTGCTCGTGTTGTTTGAGGTGGAACCCTAGGTCTAGGAGGAGGTCACAGAGGGTGGCGTATTCGTTGATTGTGGCTGTTTCGGCGTTGTAAACTGTTTTTTGTTGTTTTTTGGTAGGGTCAGTCAGTAGTAGATGGCAATGGGTAAAGCCTCGGCGGGGTATTCAGGTGATCGGGGGATTCTGGGGTTTTGAAGAGCAACGGGGGACTCGGTAGGAGAGGCAATCATCATGTGTATGTACCTGCTACATGTCCGTTGTTCGCATTGGCGAAGGTTCTGTAGATGTTCTCATCCACGAAGCGTAGGGCGTTGTGGTCCCGTGGGGCGCGGCCGGCATTTGTGATGAACTTGTTTTTCCTCTTTTGGTAGACTGGTGAGATTCATATATTTCTGGTTAGCGAGGTGAAGCCATACATATGGTCAAAATTGTAATATATCAGATAACATTATGGAGGGAGCATAGATTGAAAACACTGATCACTGACGGATACCTAAACCACCTACCAGTAGTATGGAAACTAAAGCTCCGAACGGTATGAATGTCTCTGTGGCGAAACACGCAAGTGAACTCCCAAAGGTCGTCAAGATCGCCTGGGTACATATGTTCTTGTTTTTCAAATTGAAGCTGCAACGATTGGTTGCTTCCAGCTGCGTACAACTGCATTGTTCCTCCTCGTTGTTTCATGATGAAGAAAAAAAAAAAAAAGGTTCAAGTAAAGCTACACAAATGCAATGTATTGTAGCAATGTGATTCCCACGTGAAAGGTCGGTTTGAGGGTTCGTGAATGAACGGATGCCGATTCCGAAGATGGGTTGCGGGGGAGTGATGGTTGAGATCATGTGCGAGGCCCAAATTCAATGCACGAAGGGATCTCTCTGTGTTTATGTACCCCTAAAGTTCCCCCAGCGTGCTTGTCGAGGGTTCGGAAGCTAAGGCAGGACGCCGCCAGAAGTTCGTTCCTGTCTTTTTCAAAGAGGGATGGTGGATGGTGTCCATATCGGAGGAAAGTGCATTTGGGGAGATCTCCGCTGTGCCTCCTCGGGCTGGAGTATCAAACCAACCTTCCCACTTGTCAAGGTGGTTCTTGCCGTCATCATGGAAGTTATCCATTTTGTCGTGGATCGTGAAGTGGAAGGAGCTGCCTGCGGCGTCCGTCGTTTCGTTTTCAAGGGTGGTGTTACGATAACAGCGGCCAACACCACTGCTACACTAACAATAAATTAGGGCCTTCGAACACCATGCTACTTTCCACTTCTCCTTCCTGCCATTCAATCATTTACACACTGGTGTCACATACCACTTCTTTAAGAGATTTTACTATACTTCAAGTCGAATGAGTGTGGTACGACAGGACTTCAGAGGATTCAACCCGGCCTTGGAAGACGACCTCCAGCATCACCTCAGACTGTCCTGTAGGCCTCGTGCATGAGAAACGGGCTTGAAGTCGATTGCAGCTGGCACGCACGCACCCACCGTGACACAGCTTGAAGTGCGAGGCCCAACTTCAACCTGCAAAGAACATGTCCACCTTCCAGATATCTCGAGCCCAACCCAACCTTCAGCTTCCTCTCCGGTCTGGACTCGTTCCTTCGCTAGGTGGCCTGAACCACAGGCTTTCACTGGGCTCTAGTTGAAGGTTGCTGGCCTGTAAGGGCCGGTTTGAGTTTTCTTCTAGAGGCACTCTTCCTCCTCCATCAACACCAACGTCAATATCCTCAGTCCCGGCATCTTCATCCTCGTCGTCCCCTGTCTCTATATATCCACCGCATCGCTATATCTATCATTCTTTATCCGGCATACCCCGACTCTCTAAGCGGAATTTCCATTCCCGCTCTTACGCCTACAACCAAACCGTTGATTCCTCAGCCACCATGAATCTGGACCCTCGGAAAGACAACCCGGCCGAGATGGATGTCGATCGCGATGGTAGCTCCCAGGACTCAGACGACGAGTCGTTCAAGAGTGCCGTTGACGAACCCTTTGACTTGAAGGAACTCTACCAAGATGCCCTAGAGGAGCTGTCTGAAGAGCTAAACGATGAAGTGTCAACCCCTGCTGCCTTGGCCGCGAGGGCTTATCAACTCGAAATGTTCGAAGCAAGCCTCAAGCAGAACATCATCGTGGCTGTATGATACCTCTGTACTTTGTCTTTTATCATACCCGTGTCCCTTCTTGGCTCTTCTCTAACAGAATGGTGCTTACAGATGGACACTGGCAGTGGCAAGACTCAGGTGTAAGTGGTCTAGGCCTCACCACGGGATATTCTTACTAACAGTTTATAAGTGCTGTACTTCGCATAGCCAGAGAGCTCGAACAAAGTGACAAGGTTTGTCAACACCCTCCGCTATGTTTTCCTTCGGACCAGAGCCTAATATGTTTTTATAGCGAGTTTGGTTCCTGGCGCCAACGGTCGCCCTGGCCCGCCAACAACAACAAGTTTTGCAATCCCAAATACCCTCCGCCAAGGCCATATTGCTCTGTGGAAAAGATGGGGTGGACAGCTGGTCTGAGCAGGCTGTCTGGGATGCCGTCCTGCTCAACGTTCGTATCGTGGTGTCGACATACCAGATCTTGTCCGATGCAAATGCTCACGGCTTCGTCGGCTTGGATTCCCTGAGCTTGATTGTCATCGACGAAGCACATAACTGCAATGGGAGCCATCCCATTTCCAGATTGATGACCGAGGCTTACCTGCCTGCAAAGAGGGTTGGTCTACCAGTCCCTAGCATCCTCGGTCTCACGGCAAGCCCGCTGATGTCAAACAACCTCGATGACATTGAAAAGCTTGAACAAGTCCTTGATGCAGTCTGTAGGACTCCTACAAAACATCGAGATGAGCTTCTTGCACACGTGAACCGCCCGGAGATGCTCGTTGTTTCATACGGCGATTCTGAGGGCCCTGGTGCCGAGCCAACACCAACCGACCTCATGATAAGATTCAGAGAAGCATATCACGGACTTGATATAAGCAAGGACCCAGAAGTCTTGTTCCTCAAAGCACAACGCACGGAACGGGCTAGGGAAAGGCTTCGTCAGGCTTTTACCAAGAAGGACACGCTCGCCCAGAAAGAAATGAGAGGGTTTTACAACAGGGCCGTCCTTCTGTGTGGGGAAGTTGGGCCATGGGCGGCAGACTTTTACCTTTCAAGAGGAATTTCCCAAATGTTGGCCGAACTGGAGTGTGAACCTCCGGCCCACTTCCGGTACATAGGCGAGGCATTACGATCTATCCCCATTCCGGCTATTTCAGAAGAGCCCAACCAGCTCTCCCCGAAAGTCCAGACTTTGCTGCAAGTTCTTGCTTCCCATGAGCAGGACCCGGTTGGTATTGTCTTTGCCCAGGAGAGGGTAATGGTCAGCATTGTGACGCATGTCATATCCACCCATCCGCTAACCAAAGACCGTTACCGCACTGCTTCCATGATTGGCACTGCTAGAGTACCAGGAAAGACCAAAAATTACAAGGACATGACAAAAAGGGAGGACATGACATCCCTCGAAGGGTTTCGCGAAGGCCGCTTTAATTTACTTGTCGCGACGAGTGTCCTTGAGGAGGGCATTGACGTTCCCATCTGCAACCTCGTCATTTGCTTTGACGAACCACTAAACATCAAATCCTTTATCCAGCGTCGTGGAAGGGCAAGAATGGGTAGCTCTACTCTCTATCTTATGGTTCAAGACGCCTCTGGCCAGTCCGCAACTGACTGGCGTGATCTGGAACGGCTGATGAAAGAGAAGTACGAGGACGAGATGCGTCAAAACGCAGAACCCGAGTTGGTCGAGGATCCGAGACTTGGCGATTATCCAGTTCTGGAAGTCGAGGGTACTGGCGCTCGCATGACTATCCGAGATGTCAGATCCCATCTTCATCACTTTTGCGCAAAGGTCTCGTCAAGATCCCGACATCTCCAGAACGAACCTTACTTCGTCATTCGTAAAGTTTATCCGGACCCAGCATCACCCGACCGACGGACATTGCTCAAGGCAACTGTTCATCTGCCAGCATCTGTTGTCCCAGATTTACGTCGCCACGAAAGTCTTTGGACTTGGACGTCGGAGAGGCTTGCAGTTATGGATGCCTCATTTCAGGCATACAAAGCTCTTTACAACGCCGGATTAGTCAATGATCATTTGCTGCCTACAAAGGTATCTGACTTTCTGACCGACTTTGGGTACGACCCGGGTCATATTTGGGTCAAGACACAATTCGACCCTTGGCCAGAGGTAGCTCATGCCTGGCAAGAGGGCTCGTTCTTGTACAGCCGTCGCCTGACAATTCTGGTTCCGGGTGTGGAAGTACCCCTCGAATTCGAGTTTATACTGCCCGTGCCAGTTCCCTACATGGCGCCTCTGAAACTGTGGTGGAATTCCACTTCTGCTTTGACGCTCATCACCGATCCAGAGATGCAGGAATTCCGCAAAGAAGAAGTAGCCAGTGCTGGGCCAGATCATTCATATGCTTTGCTCGCCATGGCTTTTGAACACCGATTCCCGCTCAAGGGCAGGCAATATCCGATTCGCCTCGTATCAACCCAAAGGAAACTTGACGTCGACGGAATTGCAGCTCTCGAGTTCGACCCTCGACTGTATGAAAGCTTCCCTCAGCCTCCTCTTGTGAGACTGGTAGACAGGAAAGTGCCTTATTTCGTCACCAAGGTCCTGCCGTCCAAGCCACCGGTCGAGCTCATATTAAAGCCAAGTCCAGATCATGCAGACCTTCCAGAGAACGTTCCATACGTGGTTTACAAGCCCATCGGCAAAGCCGTGGGTCAGTTTATTCCACCTGATGCAGCTCTAGATCATGACAATTGGACTCCGAAGAACGGAAAGCTGTACCAAAAGGTCCTCCCTTCCACACGTATTCAGATGGATGACTTCCCGGCCGTGTTCGCCCAGGTGGGTGCGGTCATCCCAGCTTTCACAAGGGCAGTGGAAATGAGTTTAGTAGCCGCGGACCTGATGTACAATCGTCTGGGTTGTCTGCAACTTGATAACTTGCCTCTCGTTACTACCGCACTAATTAGCAGTGGGTCTCGAGCCCCGACCAACTACGAAAGATTGGAGTTCATTGGCGATACAATCTTGAAATTCTGCGCCTGCCTCTCTGCTTCGGCGTTATGTAAGTTCTCCTTACAAGACCTCTCACAGCAATTGCTCACTATAACATAGTTCCAAACTACCATGAAAGGTTGCTCTCCCAATGGAAAGACAAACTCGTGAACAACGTGCGACTCTGTCGGGCATCTCTCGATTTTGGCCTTGACGAGTACGTCATCAACTCTGTGGCCTCGAAGAAGTGGCGGCCCAAGTTTGTTGAGGATTATCTGGATGAGATGAAGTCCCCGGAATCGGCAGAAACCCGGCAGATGAGCTCCAAGATGGTAGCCGATGTTGTCGAGTCCCTCATCGGCGCCGCATACGTGTGTGGGGGTATGTCAAAGGCACTCGAGTGTATCTCCCTCCTTATCCCCACTTCCAAGTCCAGCAAGTTCAAGTGGCAGAATATTGGTGTTAGCCGTGACCAGCTTTTCGAGCTTGCTCCCAAAGATGCCATCCTCCCCAAGCAATTAGAGCCTCTAGAGAAGGCCATGGGCTACACTTTTACCAAAAAGTCACTCCTCATCGAGGCCATGACGCACCCGTCCTGCCCAGGTCTCAGTGACAACGACTCCTGCTACGAACGCCTCGAGTTCCTCGGCGACGCCACCCTCGACGTCATCGTCGTCAAGCGTCTCATGGCCGAGACGGGCCCCAACGAGCTCGCGCACAACGACATGCACGAGTACCTCTCCTCGGTCGTCACTGCCGACATCATGGCGTTCCTGGCCATGGAGTGGGTCATCAGGCAGACGGACATCTTCGAGATCAACCCTGCCAAGCTGGACGCCCTCGACCTCCTTCCTTTCTCCAAGAGCAAGATAACTTCTGCGAACCTGGTCTCCAACAAGGAGGACTGGCCCTTCTGGCGGTTCATGCGTCACAACTCACAACACGTCGCGGCCACCCAGACCGCCACCAAAGAACGCTACCTCGCCCTCAGAGACGACATCCGCGCTGCGATATGGAAGCAGAACGAGTTACCCTGGGCTTTGCTGGCGCGCATGGGCCCCGCCAAGTTCTACTCGGACATTGTAGAATCTTTAATCGGCGCCGTGTGGGTCGACTCCGGTTCGTGGGAAGCGTGCGAGCACGTGCTGAACCAAATGGGCCTCTTGCCGCTGCTAGATCACTTACTCAAGAACAAGGCGCATGTGATGCACCCCAATGTCGAGCTGCAGATCCTGGCGCCCCCGAACAAGCGGGAGACGCGCACCGAGTTTGTGATAATTTCCAACAAGAGGGGCATCATCAGTCGCGGGACGGAGTTTGAGGATGAGCCGAGTGCCGTTGATGATGGGCTTGTGACGGTAGAGCCATATGATGACGTACCGGCACATGGCGAGGTGTTTTCTTGCAAGCTGTTTGTTGGAGGCAAGCAGGTGGCGGATGTGACGGGTGCGGGGACGAAGGAGGAGGCCAGGGTGAGGGCGGCGGAGATGGGGTGTTGGGTGATTAAGGCGGAGAGGAAGGCGATGGCTGAGAAGAAAGCTGAGAAGGCTGAGAAGGCTGCTGCTGCTGCTGCTGTTGATAATGAGGATAAGGGGGATAACACGGAGAACGGAGACACCAACGCCAAGAGCGGGGAGAACGGGGGAAAGGAAGAGGTCCCCGATCACCGTGATGCGGATGGGGATACGGTTATGAACTAGAAGAGTCAAGAGACGGCCCCTGTTCACATCACGGATAGGGATATTACGGATGAGGAGATGGTGATGAACCAGCGTTTGTTGGCAAGTCTTTCGTTAAGGTAGGTTCTCTTGGCCGTATAAACTCGCGAAATTGAAGTTCGGGAAAGCACACACGGGTAGGGTTAAAGGTGTCATTCAACCACATACATGCGTTTTTTTCTGCTTCTTTCTTACATTTGACACCTTTAACCCTACCCGCTCTGTGCTTTCCCGAACTTCAGTTTCCCGAGTTTATACGGTATATCTGCGGTTTGGATATTTATGCAGCGTTTTGGGACACTTGACTTTCAAAGTCTTTGGATAGCCGATACCTCAGTTAGAAAAATGCCTTTGTTTTTGAGATTTTGAGAGTTTCTTACTGTTCTTGCAGCTGTTTATGGCTGGCGATCAAGATTTGTCATTTGTAACGAAGCCTGAGAGAACGACTCGGTTGTCATAGACATCATGATATAAACCCATTTTCGCTACAGTATACACAGCTTGACTCTTTTAAAAGATCATGGCATCCTCGGAAATCCCATTACCTTGACTGATAAAGCAACATGATAAAAAAGCTTAACATGGTAGCAGATGCCTCTAATCTCTTTCCTCCCATGACATGACTACCTAGCACGATGAGACCTAACCATTATGGACAAATAAATAGACACACCACGCTCCTTTAACTACCTTATACCATTATCATGTCACACACATCCCACATCCCACACATCTCTACAAGGACTCTACTCACTTCTTCTTAGCAGGCCTTCCCCTCCCCTTCGCCGCCGGCTTCTTCGCCCCAACATCCTCATCATCGTCCTCATCACCATCACCACCCTTCTTCGCCGCCGCCTTCTTCTTGCTAGCAGCGGTGGTACTTTTCTTCGCAGCAGCAGCCTTCTTCGCCTTAGGCTGCTTGATATACTTATCCTTGGTGATATCCACATCATCATCTTCATCGACTTCGGCGGCATCATCAACCAGGGCGGCGTCACCCTCGTCATCTTCTTCGATGGCTTCCTCCAGGTCGGGAACGTCCTTGGTGAGTTTCTTGGGGGCCAGGACGCTGCTGGCTTTGATGAAGGGGACGGGGTGGGAGGCTGCGTTGTAACTGTGAGGGGGAGGGGAGGTTAGTTAGACGAATGTTGGATATGGGGATGAGGAAATGGGGGGAAAAGATAACTCACATCCTCGTAAAAGCAGCCTTGGTCTGCGACTCAATATTCACCGTCTCCTCTGCCTGATGACCCAATCCCAACTCCTTGATCGAGTCAAAGTCCTCTCTCGTCAGGTAGTAGCTATCCATCAAATCGATGACTTCCGGCACGCACTCCTTGCCCTCCACCTCGAGACGCTTGACGAGTTTGTCCCACAGCACGGGCATGTACTGCTGGCGAATTTCTTGGGCGTCGCCCGAGGACTTGAGGCGCATGTGGGCGTGGATCTCGCGGTTGAAGCGGCTGAGCTTGCCGTACTTGCTGTTGTTGCCGAGCCAGGAAGTGAACTGGGCCTGTCCGGCCAACTGGCCGGCGATGAGACTGGAGGGGCGGACGGTACTGAAGACGGCGTGCGTGGGCATCAAGCTCCATTGTTGCTGAGGACCGTGGATCATACGGTCTACTAGATCACCGTCGCTGATGCTCTCAGCTGCTTGGTCGACAAGTTCGAGGTACTTGAGGTTCTGTTCCCTTGGAGTGTAACCCTTTTGGTTCAAGACCATGGGCCTTGAACGGAGGTAATTCTCCTGGATCATGAGGTAGGAGAATTCGTGGTCGTTGAAGTAGAGCTCGATCTTGTCGTTCAGAGTTGCCGTGCTGGAAGGGGCGAACATGCCACCACCGATCAGTTTCTGGCAGATATCCCAAGGCTTGAGAATGACGTGCTTCTCCCAGGCCTTGCTCATTTGCTTGCTCTGGTCGAAGTCCATGGTGGTCTGATCCAGCTTCGCTGTCGAGATCATGTTGATAATCTGCCGAATATCTTTACCACTGCCTTCGATAAGAGCATTGACGACCGGTGGCGGGATCTTGAGGCCTTCTCTGTGGCAGATAGTCATGATACGGGATCGGATCTGGTCGACTGTGGGACGCTGGAACTTGATATCGAAGGCGACATGATCGAAAGGCTTCATCTTGGGCAATCTGCGCTCGTTGCAGATCAAGATGAGAGGCACCTCGGTCTTCCTGCAGAACTTGGCAAGGGCACCAACACCACCACGATCACCAGCAGACATACCGTCGACCTCGTCCATGACAAGAACAATCTTCTTCTTACCAGCATCAACCTGCTTGCCATCTCCAGAAAAGAAACCTAGAAGAGATGTGTTGGTCATGACATCGCTGACACCGTTCTCCACAAGCTTCTTGCTACGAGTGTCACTGGCGTTGCTCTCGATCACATCGTAGCCCTCCAGCTTAGCAGCAAGATGGGCTGCAGTCGTCTTGCCGATACCAGGAGGACCAGAGATGATGATGGCACGGTACCCACCCGAACCATCGGCGCCTCTCTTTTGGAAGTCATACTTCCTCGCCTTGGGCCAGTTCTTGAGCCAGTTCTGGATCTTTTCCACGTTGGCTTTGTTGCCGCAGATCTGGTTCAACGCTGTGGGGGCATACTTGGTTGTCCAGAGCTGGGACAACTGTTTGGGCGGAGCAGGGGCGGGACCAGAAACACTACGAGCGGCAGCAGCCTTCTTGGCCTCCTTCTCAGCTTCCAGTCTCCGGACCTTCTCTTCGCGATCTAGTCTCTCGGCTTCTTCACGCGCCTTCTTCTCTTCCTCTTCCCGCTTCTGCTTGGCCTTTTCAGCCCCCTTTCCGGTACCACCGCCGGCAGGCATAGTCCTGATAAGGTAAAACAGGCCTTCCTCGTCAATCGTCTTGATACCGTGCTCTTTGATCTTCCGCAGTTTGCTTGGTCCGGCATCATCGCCGAGAACGACAAAATCGGTTTTGCTGGACGGCGCTCCTGTGACCTTGCCACCATAGCGCTTGACGAGTGCTTGGCCGTCCTCACGCGAGATAGTCTTGAGTAGTCCGGTGAATACGAATGTCTTGCCCGCAAGACAATCAATCTCACCCTCAGGAATCTCAGCAGCGCCCGCCATGGGGGGTGGGCCCGCATTTCCACCTCCTGCACCCTTAGTCTTCCAGTCGAACTTGAAGTTAGGATCCTTGGGAGGAGCATCTGGTGCTTGGATTGTTGGGATATTGTCGAGGATCTTCTTGACGTCTTCGGGTTCTTCAACCACCGCGTCCTTCTTTGCCCTTGGCGCACGGGGTTTAGCGGGGGCGGCTTTCTTTGCTGGCTTGACTTCTTCCTCCTCTTCGTCTTCCTCGTCACTTATAACAACCGGTGATTTCCGCTTCCCTACCGCAGTAGTTGCGGTTTTCTTGGTCGCTTTGCTGGGTGCTGGCTTCAGGTCTTGGTCGTCGGATTCGGCTGCTACTGCCTTTTTGGCGCGAGATGCAATACGCTTGGGCTTGGGGAGGAGCTCCTCGTCACTGTCCTCCTCAGCATAATCATCGTCCTTTTTCCTCTTGTTGCCGCCCCTGACTTCTGCCGCAAAGATGTCATCACCAGCATCGTCGTCGTCGTCCATGTAGGCATCACCATCCTCGTCTTTGCCGTACTTCTTGTAGGCCGTCGTGGGTTTCTTGGTGGTCGAGGTCTTTGTGGTCTTGGGGGGTTCTGGTGCTTTGGCAGCTGGGGTGGCCTTCTTCCGGGGGCTTGTTCGAAGCGCAACTTTGGGTTCTTCTGGCTCGGACTTTGCTGGTGTCTTTTTCGGTGTTGACTGGGAGGAAGCAGCTGTCTTCGTTTTCGAGGTTGCAAAGTACTTGGCAGCATCGGTTTCAACTCCTTTTACGGGTTCTCTAGAAACTCTATCAGCTGGAGTAACGTGATAATGGAATTGAAAAGTATTTCATGGAATACTCACGCTGCTTTCTTCTTTGGCGCGGCCTTGGTTGGCTTCTTGACCCTATAAATGCTGGTTAGGTGCTGGTTCTAAGAATGATACCTTTCACTGCGCTTACTCGACAACGTCGTCATCTTCGCTATCCTCAACCACCTTTCTCGGTCCTGCGACAAGATTGTTAGTATGGTGATAGCTTCTAATGGCGATCATGGTTGAAGCTTACTGCCCCGCGTCTTCTTCTCCTCTTCCTCCTTGGGTGCTGGCGTTGCAGGCTTAGCAGGCGGCGCGCCACCTTTTGGGCCAAAAAACGAGCGAATGTCGGCAGGCATGATGCGGCTTGTGAAGAGAAGTAAAGGAGACCAAAATGGAGACCGAATGTTTCAAAAAGTTGGGAAGATGCAGTAATCAGATGACAGCAACGGGCATCTTATAGCACAGCACGCTGGTGATGGACTGGCGGAGTTGGGAAGTTGGACTTTTTTGGTGTGTAAGTTGTCTAGGCAGCTGTCCTTCTGCCTAACAATTGTCGTCGAATAAAAGGCCTAGAAGGGTAAAGAGCTAACTGGTTAACTCTTCTCCCTTGTTAGGAAGTAACAATTGAATAAGTGAGACGCGAAGGTGAAATGGACGACGCGAGTCCCGTGTTCTGCTCCCTGTCGCGACTGGTGGGGCCTGGTCATACAAGAATTGGCCTGCTTGATGTCTTGAGCTACGCCTGCGCGGGTGCATTTCTTGTGGTGAGCTTAATTGAATCCCGTCGCAAGCTCTGTCCGCTGTGTCCGGCAAATTCCCGGCCGGCACCGACACTTTTTGGTGGGTCACAATTTTTGGAGTGCCGTCCGTGCCCCGTCCGCGCCCGCAGCACCTTTGCAGTTGGTCGCTCTGCCCGGTCCCCGTCTCTGTGTGCGCGCTGCTTCGGGGAATCCGTATCAATCGTCGTCGGCGACCGGCATCCAATTGGACCCTCCCTCCGTCCTCCGTCCACCACTCGTCCCCGGTCCGGTCCACCCCAAACCCTCCAACACCATGAAGAACAACGCTTCCTCGGCGCTCCTCAGCGCCTTCCAGGGCCTCAGGATATCCTCGTCGGTGACTCCCTTCCGCGCCGCCTCCCTCGCAACCTCCGCCGTCCGCCGCCCGATTGCGCAGACCCCCGTCTCTGTCGCCTCCCATGTCCGTCTATTCTCCGCGACCGCCGTCCAGGCTGGCTCGTGGCTCGAGCCCAACCTCAACAGAAAGAAGAAGATGATGAAGGGAAGGCCCAGAGTGCCGACCGGTGGTTCGACCAAGGGAACAACAGTGGTTTGGGGAGATTATGGCCTGCGCATGCGCGATCACCACCGCAGAATTAGCGCCCAACAACTCAAGCTCGCCGAGGACACCATCAAGCAGAGGTTACGTGGTCAGAAGTACCGCCTGTACAAGCGCGTTGCTTGTAACGTCGGTGTGTACGTGAGCGGTAACGAGGTGAGTAGCTGAACAACCCTACAACCCGGGAATGTCGGATTCCGACCGTTAGGGGACACCATGCTCACATGCATTTCCGGTATAGATGCGTATGGGTAAGGGTAAAGGTTCGTTCGACCACTGGGCGACCAGAGTTGCCGTCAACCAGATTATTTTCGAGATCAGGGGACAATTGCACGAACAGGTCATCCGCGATGCCTTTCGTCTGGCCGGACACAAGCTTCCAGGTAATAACGGCGCACGCTAGTCCATATCTTTGCGAGTTGGAGACGAGTAGAATACTGACAAGTTGCAGGTCTATATGAGTTCGTGACGAAGAGTGACCCACCAGTGGTTGGTATCACCAAGTTGGAGAATGGCCTCACAGTGGAGGACCTCAAGAACCCAAAGAAGAAGCTCTTGACACCTGGGCTCACCCAGAGTGCTGCGAGCACATCAAGCACTGCTGCTCCTCCTTCGTAGAGGTGGAAAACCCTGAGCCTATTCTAATTGTAACATTATGTAGAACAACAGAAAGGCCAATGTGCAAAAGAGCGTTGCCATGGCCATTTCATGATTATGATGACGACGCGGCAGGGATTACTGCTTGGACAGCAATGCTCTGTCGGAATAGTGAAACTCTAGACACTGAGATTGTGACAGTAGGGCTGGACGGGTGATGGTCTGCCTGGATGGGTCAGGACGTCCCAAGGACTCAACGAGAAATAATGGCTTCTTAGACATGGCCTTTCAACCATGACATTCAAGTCTTCATAATCGTCCATAAACGATGCAATATCTAGGACCAGACGTTACCAAACCCAAAACAAGTAACGATGCTGCCTAGAATAAGGATGGTGAAATTGGGCAACTGTCTGCCTGTATAAGCGGGCGATATGGTCCGTGCGGCCCTCCCCTGTCATCTGTTAATTGATTTTCTGGAGGGCGCGTCAACTCGACGCGTCTCCCGAGCATCTCCAATCCAGCATTTCCTTCCTTGGTCAACCCATCTGCCTCTACACAATAACACCACACCAAGATGGCGCTTATTGTCGACAAGCACAGGCCGAGGTCTCTCGATGCCCTCACATATCATCCCGAATTGTCGGAGAGGTTACGGTCACTTGTAAGCAAACCATCTCGCTCCCTCCGGCAGAAGAAGCTCCCCGCTGATGACGTCCCTAGGCGCAAAGCGGTGACTTCCCCCACCTCCTCGTTTACGGCCCCTCTGGCGCAGGAAAGAAGACCCGAATTGTTGCTACCCTAAAGGAGTTGTACGGCCCCGGTGTAGAGAAGATCAAGGTCGACGCCCGTGTCTTCCAAACCAGCAGCAACCGCAAGCTCGAGTTCAACATTGTCGCATCGGTGTACCACCTCGAAATCACCCCGTCCGATGTCGGCAACTATGACCGAGTAGTGGTCCAGGACCTCCTCAAGGAGGTGGCCCAAACACAACAAGTAGACCAGTCGGCGAAGCAGAGGTTCAAGGTGGTGGTCATCAACGAGGCCGACCACCTCACCAGAGACGCCCAGGCCGCCCTCCGTCGGACCATGGAAAAGTACTCGCCCAACCTACGCCTAATCCTCCTCGCCAACTCGACAGCCAACATTATCGCGCCCATCCGATCGCGATGCCTGCTCGTGCGGGTAGCGGCTCCGACACACGAAGAGATCTGTAACGTCCTTGCTTCGTCGGCGAAGAAGGAGGGTTGGCCGGTTGTCAAGGGTCTACACCAGAGGATAGCTGAGGAAAGCGGAAGGAATCTTCGCAGAGCACTGTTGATGTACGAGGCGGTACATGCGCAAAAGTGAGTAACGCATCCCAGCCTGAAGCCCTATCACGCCTTGCAGTTGCTAACACTACACGCCGCAACAGTGAGAAAGTCACAGACACCACCCCCATACCACCCCCAGACTGGGAAGCCCTCATCGGGCAAATCGCCAAGGAGATCATGGAGGAGCACACACCAGCACGAATTCTCCAAGTTCGAGCAAAGCTTTACGACCTTCTGACGCACTGTATCCCCGCGACGACCATCCTGAAGACGCTCACATTCAAGCTCATCCCCCTGATCGACGACGCACTCAAGGCGGACGTGATCTACTGGTCCGCTTTCTATGAACATCGCATCAAGACGGGTACCAAGGTCATCTTCCACCTGGAGGCGTTTGTGGCCAAGTTCATGAGGATATTCGAGATGTATCTGATGAGCATGGACTTGTAAATTCGGTCTCTGTTTCGGGTCTCAAAATGGGCATTTTGGCGTTCGGGGAAGGGGGCATTGGCGTCGTGTGACCAGCTAGAATTAGTAGGGATTTGTTTGGCGAATTATGACGGTTGTTGCACACCCACAAGCATAAGGGGATAGAAGAGACTTGCTCTACATAGTCAGGTGTAGGGTATATTGTAAGCTCAAGTGCCGAAGTTGTAGAGGAAAGCTCGGGTGCTTGATTCGTGAATGGTCTCATCTTATAGGCTAAAAGTGAGTGGCTTCTAGAGGTGGATATGATGACTTCGCCATCCAAAGTTCTGTAATTCTGCTTCTGATCACCAGCTGCCAAAAGGGAGTCGAGATTGGACATTCGGAAGAGAGAGAGGAAGGAATTCAGGCTCGATCGACGGTGTGGAGATGTTCCAGAGAGAAGCAAGGAACAAACAAGGTCGCCAGGGGCACCATGTTCCGAAGCTTTCTGCAGCATCTAATTGAGTAAAACGGCCAATTTAGCCCCATGCACCACGACCGTTCCCGCGAACAGGGCGTCTGGGCGTGCAGGGGGCAGCACACTCGAGATCACTCTTGTCCAAATCGCGTTCGTGTCCTTTTGGGGGACAGACACCAGTGAGGCCAGCTCTCCACAGGCAAGCACAGGACGCCCGGCCGTTGTCAGCCCACTGAAGCTTCACTGAAAGTTGACCTCCGGCTTCAAGTTGGAATCCATCCGAATCTCCATCATCATCATCGATCGTCCTCCACACCGCAACCCACACAACCACAACAGCAACGACGACGACTAGGTCACCGACCAACGGACAACCAACCCTAGACCAGGACTAGAACACCAACGGTTCCATCACCACCACCGGCCCCTCTCCCCGAGCTTAGCAAAAGCTACCCGCTGGGCTACACACACGGCGCCGCTGCGGTTGCAGCCTTCACTCTCCATCGATATCCAATCCACACATCAACTGGCACGCCGCCATAGGGGCACATCGACGACAAGCTCGCAACCATGTCGCTCAACATCTTCCGCGTCACCGGTATGTTTCCTCTTGTTGGAGGATTGGAATTGAGGTCCTAGAGAAAGTTGCTAACTGGAGGCCATGGTACAGCGGACTTTAGCCACTTGGCTTCTATCCTCATTCTTCTCCATAAGATGACGCAGTTGAAGGTATACACAGCTCTAGCTCTTGCCGTCCACCCAGATTTCTCAAGACAGGCGAGCGATGCTAACCTACTACTGTCACAGAGTTGCGCCGGCATCTCCTTCAAGTCGCAAGTCCTCTACTTCATCGTCTACGTCACCCGCTATCTCGGTATGCCATCCCTTGGAAGCTCAATCACATAGGTAGACCATTGCGCTGACATGTATCTCTTGCAGACCTCTTCTGGACGACAAGCTACTACAACATCATCTTCAAGATCCTCTTCATAGCTTCCTCCGGTTACATCATCTACCTCATGGTCAGCGCCTACAAGCCGACCAACGATCCCGGTCTCGACACCTTCCGCGTCCAATACCTGCTGGCTTTCGCCGCCGTTCTCGCCATCCTCTTGCCCTACCAGTATAACTTCTGGGAGATCATGTGGGCCTTCTCCATCTGGCTCGAGTCCGTCGCTATCCTTCCGCAGCTCTTCATGCTCCAGCGTACCGGCGAGGCCGAGACCATCACCACCCACTACATCTTCGCCCTCGGCATCTATCGCGCTCTGTATATCCCCAACTGGATCTACCGCTACGTTACCGAGCCGAAGCACAAGATTGACTACATTGCCGTTTCGGCGGGCATCATCCAGACGTTGCTGTACAGCGACTTCTTCTGGGTCTACTATACGACTGTGATGAAGGGAAAGAAGTTCAAGTTGCCTGTTTAAGTTGTGGAAAGGGTCAATGGTTGGGGTAACCGGGAAAACTGAGCAACACAATATATCGATCAGCAATTTACCTGGATGCCCAATATTCGGCTATCATCAGAGGGGTGATTGCTCCAAGTTTTCATTCGTGCATGGCACGGTACGGCAACAAATATCGAACCTCGACCGCATCCTCAGCTTCAGTCCATACTCACCGAGGGCGTCAAACCGTTGTAATGGCAGAGGGAAGAGATTGAGGAGGACAGCTACACCCAGTGCGGCGGGCATGCGTCGTTCGACTTGGACGAAAGGGGATAACGTGACAATGAAAAATAAAACTGGATTGCATGTTAGGCCGGCGTTTGTGGGGTGGAGGTGGCTTTGTTGATAGCGCACAAGTGTGAGAGGGCGCATAGTCGTCTTCGCGCGGTAAGGCAAGCACACATAGCCACCATGGGATTGGATTCTGACTTGGTGCGCTTCTAGAGGCGATATACTTATGTGGTTTAGAGAGGTCGAACGACTTTAGGGTACCAGAATCTTAAAAGTGGCTTCTTTCTTCAGGGGCAATAGACCCTGTCTTTGAAACATCAAATGTGGTGTTCGGTAGGTCAACCAAGAGGTGACACCCCTTGAACCCCTTGCCTGGCTGTTACACGGAAAATGGGTGCGAGCCGAGCCGGGGTTTGTGGTGAAGAACTGCATGAACAAAGATGTTTCGAGTTCTCAAACGACGGTAACGGTACCATCGGAAGCGAAGTCCCCTGCGCCTCGGCATTGCACGATGCTGACAGTGGTACTATTTCAAAAGCATGCCCCAAGAGCATGCTGTCGACCGAGAAGGGCTCTCCAAAACACGAATCTAGCCTTTAGGGAGTCCTACCCTTCATGTCACTGGATGGTTGGATGTGAGGAGATCAATTATCCTTGTCCCAAAGCATGATAATGGTTCTTCCTATTCTGGTACCGACTGAACCTGACATATTTGGTCATGATACACCAAGACTTTCTCTTATCCTGTCACCCATCTTCCTCGGGAGTGACGAACCCGCTTTCCGTGCTACTTACAGAACCGAACGGACCACAGAACAAAACTTCTGGGGATCCCAGTTCACCCTTATGAGGTTCATCATGCCGTCTTCCTGCTCACAGCGGTGTCTGTGTCTCTTTTCTCTCCTTCCGCTTCCCCGTTCGGCCTACCTACCCATCACTAACCAGGCGGCATAGACTAGCTTAGCTGGGTGATGAAAGCATGATGATGGTTAGGTAGCCCACAACAAACCTTTCTTCTCACTTCGTCTCTTCCGCAGGCGGCAGACGTTTTATAGCCATGGCCGCTAATCACTCGTTTAACGTTTTCACCACCTTCTTTTCTTTCTTCTTTGTATTAATCTTCTTAATTTCCTCAAGCTGTGCCTTGATGGACGACAGCCATTATGGAGCTGGAGACGGGACACCAAAGAGATGGACCGAGGGAAGAGGGGTGGAAGAAGTTCCGGCGGAACTTGAGAAAAGCAACAACCACGATATCGCCGAGAAAATGATCCACGACGACACAGCGACAAATCTCCTCCCACCACCACCACCGCCACTATCAACAACAACAACAACAACAACAACAACAACAACAACAACAACAACAACAACAATAACCATAACCTCCATCACCATCGCAACCTCAACCATAACCCCACCCCCCTCTCTCCCCTTCCACCCCCTTCAGGGCCGCCAGCAAAACCCCGACCAAGACAACGACAACGACAACGCCATCGCCGACCTGCAATCCCAAATAACATCCCTCTCGTCCCAACTCTCCTTCCTTTCCTCGGGCTCTCAATCCCTCTCCCAAGCCTCCCAGCAAACCAGCCAACAACTCTCGCAATCGCTCCAACAAGCCTCTCAATCCCTCCAGCAAGCCTCGCAAAGACTCAGTCAGACCGAACAGAGCTTAGCCAGCGCAAGAATCACGCAGCAGGCGGCTGAGCAGGCTTCCCGCTCAGCGACGCAAGCAGTGGCGGATTTGTCGAGGCAGATTGGGGAGATGAGTAGGAGTATGAGTCAGAGTGCGGAGGAGAGGGTTGGGAAAGTTAGTCAGAGCGCGGAGGAGAGGGTTGGGAGGGTGATGGAGAGTTTGGCTGCGGTTGCGGATGGGAAGGATAAGGAGAGGATGCCGGTTTTGGTGGGGGCGGTGGTTGGAGGGGTGGTGGGGAGTTCGTTTTTGACGGGGTTGTTGGTTGTTATGTTTATGAGGGCGAGGAGAAGGGGAGGGGGGAGGGGAGGGAATGGGGGAGAGAAGGAGGGTGGGGAGGTTGTTTATGTTGGTCCTGGCAGTAGCGATGGTTCTGGGCGTGATACTGTGGGCTCTCGTGGTAGTAGTAATGGGAGGAGGACCGAAACGAGGGAGAACGTGAAAAGTTACCCCGGCCCAGTCATATGGGTAGCTTCTACAGACAACACTTCTATCGCCGGGTCTGGGACCCGCGTGGCATCACCTTCGACATCGACATCAGCCATCAAGCTATCCGACTACGAAGACGAGAGCGTCTACAACGACGGCGAAGCCGGAGGGCCACCACCAAGTTCGCGGGGAGGAAGTCTTATGGAGGGTAGAACCGCACTGTCACCACCACCGCCAGCAATTCCTCCTCGAGCTAGATCCAGATCTAGGCCTGCTCCGGGGGAAGCTGGTGCTCCTCCAGCAGCAGCAACCTTCCCGTTCGCCGCTGCCGAAAACCCGGTTCCCCCCGCTCCTGCCCCTGCTCCCGCTCCCGCTCCATCAGCATCAGCTCTGCTTTCCCCCTTCCCACCACGGCCGAAGAGTGTCAGGACAGGAGTAGGCACCGGTCCGGTAAAACTCAAGGACCGCCGTCAGAGCAGCGGCGACGAGGCAAGAGGAGTAGGCTACGCCGTAAGCTACTACTCACCGGTGCCACCACCACCCGTACGGGCTGCCCCAAGGGTACCAAAGTGGGCGCCGCCTACGATACCCGGGTATGGTGATGATGCGAAACCGTTGGGCTCCGGCTCGGGCTTTAAGCTAGACAACCCGCCACCGCCAACTACCTCTATGAACAAGAAAAAGCCCCGTGATACCAGGCGGCTTAGTATCTTCCCCGGCCCCAGTCCTAGTCCGACGCCTAGTACGCAAGGGTGGTCTTCTTCGCCGCTTAGTAGTTCGCCGTCTACTCCTCCGGTTCCTAATAGGGCGGATGCTGCTGGTATAGATAGGAGTCAACGACGAACAGGAACAGAGGGAGAAGAAGAAGAAGAAGAAGAGAACGAAAGAAGGGGACGACCTTCTCAAAAGCGGCAGCAACAAACCCAAACCCAAAACCAGGGTACGAGTAGTACCAATGGACAAACAAAATCACCAAGTCCAGCACCTACGTTAGAGGCGTGGTTGAAGAGGGGGATGTCTTCTACTAGGGTGCCGGTACGGACGGGAACAGGAACGGGAACAGCTGGTCCAGGGGTGTCATTGCCGAGATCAGCTTCTACTTCGAATCTTGCTGTGAGAAGGCAGTCTTATACTGCAAGACTGAGGGAGCAGGTGCAGTTGCAGCATTTGATGGATGCGGATGATGGGAATGGGGGGAGGGGGGAGGATTGGCCTATTCGGCAGTCGTAGACTCAAAAGAAGGAATATAATCAATCACTGTTGGAGAAAGACTTTGTGTGATGTGACTTATCCGTCGTTGATTATGGGTGATAAACTGAGGCAAATGTTGGGAATGAATATCCGGTTAAGGCCGTCGATTTAGCTGGTCCGAAATATTTTTTTTATGTATTGCCCGGAGAAGGGTGAAGGAACCGGCCCGAAAAGGGGAAGGGCGAAGTAAATAATTACCATATGAGCTTTGGCAGCCATCATCAAGTTTGGTGCGGTTTACGGTAGTCTACACAGTATTCGAGTTATTTCAGGCAGACCCCGCCCGTCCGTACGGGACGAACGACGACACGACACCTGTTGACGACGCAGTCAGAAACACCTTTACTCTCTCGAGGTGGTTGATACAAAAGACCACCTGCGTACCTGCCTCTAGGTAAGGTAGTTAGTTGCCAGGGAAACCACAACGATGACGAACCTGATACTCGAGGTAAATCGCCCAGCTTCGAGAACGGGAATTCAGCGGTCAACATGAGCCAAGCCGAGCCGAGCTGGACCTTCGACTCGGCTCGACTCGTCCCCATATAATGACAGCTCGGCTCAGCTATGGCTCGGCTCAAGCCGGCTCCCTTTGGCTCGTATCGAAATATATATTTTTCCGGGCATTTATCTAGATACTGAACATCGTCGTTTACATATGAATCCCTTCGTTTTACTGCCAATTCCTCAACAAAGCAATGTGCTCGATGGTGGAGTGGATCAAGCTGTGTCTCGTGAGCCCGATTACCTCAACACCACGCTCAACACCTCGCGATACAAGATTTTGTTCACTCTGACGTGTGGCCGCATGACAAAAAAGCACGACTTTTTCTCGTATATACGCAAATCCGGTCATTCTACAATAAAAACCAGTACAAAAGACCGGGCACATATACAAAAAAAAAATCTTACATACAAATCACACGAGCCGACGAGCCGAGCCGAGCCAAGCTGGACCCCCAGTTCGTGTAAAATCTGGGCCGGCTTGACTCGTTAAAAATATATCGAGCTCGGCTCGGCTCGTGCCCAGCTTGGCTCCTGCAGACCGCTGCGGGAGTTTACCATGCTTTACCAAGGAGCTGCTCTGAATAACCAGCCACTGGTGACCTGTCCGTATACACCGGTCAATAATTTATCTTGTCATGCCAGGCACGTGGATATCTTCCTTCCCAAAAACTTACCCGTCGCCGTTTCATAACTTCAGACGAACTTTCTCGTGGCGAGCGGTTATAAGAATAAACCGAACCCCTCAAGGTCTAATATATTATCAACCACACCTTCGAGATCCTCGTGCACGCATTCGCGTATCTTCATTATACCTTCGAGCCCAACCTCTAGGCAGTTCCTGGAAGGAAAAATCCCTAAGAGACTCTGGCTGACGTGTTTCCAACTTGTTACGAGGCATATCGCAGTTTCGTAACGGCCTTTTTGAGAAAGGATAGCGGTATTGGACCGTCCTGTTTGGTTTATTCTTACGACTGCTCGCGTGATTATCGGAAATCTGCCTATTCGGTGTTTCATACTTCGGACGAACGAGTCTCGTGGTGGCTTCTTGTCAAAGAAAGCTGCCATGTCGCTGCTTCATACATCAGACGAAGTGTCCCGTGGTGGGGACTTGTGCCTTGTTTCCAAGGTATAATAAGTAGCTATCAGGGTTCTTTCCCGTCCCTTCTGCCTATTGTGCCTATTGTGCCTATTGTGAGTAACTTTTGAGTGCTCGCTCACCTCACTCCTCGTCCCAAGGTTGGGTTGATTTATGTTGCTATTGTTTATATCTTTGAATAGGATGGGGAGTGGATCCCGCACCCACCTCACCACCTCCCGTCACCACCCACCAGGTTGGGTCTCATAGTCGCACAATACTAAGGTAGAGGTAGGTATTGCTGAATAAACTAGTTGCCAGTTGAATGTTGAGATGTCTATTGAGCTTGATATTGTCGTAAACGTGAATGTTTTTGCCCTATTGTTCGTAGAAAGTGATTGTGAGGACGTGCAAGCAAACAGTCATACAACTTTCTTGTCGACGCGACCTTCTCGTCCTCGTCTTTCTCCTCTTCTTGATTTGACTTTTGCTCGTTTGCAACCCAGCAACGTCTTGAGCTTTACCAGCAACAAGTCGAACGTGTGAGTATAAGCCTTTTCTTTGCCTTCATCGTCGCCGTTTTTGTAGAGCCGATACCTTTGTACCCATCCTTCACATTCACTCCCTTCTCACTCGAGCAATCAAGGTCGTCAACAGTCGCTTGGGGCAACCTGATTCCCTTGTTTGCCTTTGCTCTCTCGCGTCCTCCTTCGCGTTTACCCCTCCTCTTCTTCATCTTCTCACTCCTCCGCCGCGTCTTCGCATCAAGCGTTTCTTTTACTGACCATATAACCCCCTCGCTTTCAAGACGCCAGAACAGCCATGAGTGACCACACTCACAGTAAGTCTCCATCTCTCATCTTGCCGCCCTCGAGTCTCTGCGATGGCATGAAGCTAAGACGATTCAGACTACCCCAACCCGGGCTCAGCCCGGTTCATCGACCCCGATGATGAGCAAGAGATACCCATCTACTTCATCAACCCCGGTGAAGTGAGCAACGACGACGCCGACGCTGCCACCGAGGAGCCGGTGGTCCAGCCCCCTCCTCCTATCACCCGCCGTAAGATCACTTGTTTCTCATCAGCTCCTTCTTTGCCTCTCTTCATAGACTAACTCCGTGTCCATAGCCATCTCGCCTGGCCTCTCCATGCGCGGTCGCGCCCGTTCCGACGAGGCTGGAGAGAGCAGCAGCAGCCAGCCTAGTGAGACTCGTCACTTCAGTGACTCAGAGATGCTGGCGTATGTTACCATGCGCGGCATCACCGGCCACGGCCACTACCCTCGCGACGAGGCACTGGAGCCGTTGGTCAGGGTGATGTACGAGCCGAGGGCTACCGAGCCTGAGCCGGAGCCTGTTCAGGAGACGACGATCGAGGCGGTTCAGGAGGCAGTGGACAGGGCTATTCAGGAGATGATGAGCGAGCCTGCCGAAGAGACAACCACCGAGTCTGCTCAAGAGGTGACAATCCAGCCTCTCCAGTTTTTGGAGCTCACAGAGCCTGTCCAAGACGACAACCGGTACGTCGACAACCCCTTAGACTTACACACTACAATCATCGTCATCATCTTCATCCTTCTTTTATATGGAGGGCTCCAGGGGATTTTGGGGTACATCTTATAAACCAAAGGGATGGTGGCACATCCCAGAGGGGAGGAGAGAGAGAGAGAGAGGGGAAGGAAACATACTTACCAGTGGGAAAAATGGTGTGGCAACCATTATTACTAAAGACACAGGCAACTTATTACCAATGACACAAGAACGCACCAAGGGTACCAAGACCAAGAACCCCAAGAGGAGGACGATGGCAAGTCCGAAGACGACGGCAGAGGCACAGTTCCGAAAACCCCCCCTTCTTCTCCCATGAGCATCAGCATCACTTCCCCCATCATCAGCGTCCAAGACTCCCCGTTCGGCCTCCAAGTGCGCGGCCGTTACTACCGGCCCCATTCCGCGATCTCCGAGCGCGCAGACTGGGAGGAGCAAGGCTTCTCCCGGTCGCCACGCAGTTTTTCCAACGGCTCTTATGGCTCTTCCCATGCGTCACACGGTTCAGCGAATTCTGACGAGAGTAATGGTGGTGATGGATACAGCACGTCGTCCACTCCGCCCAGGGAGTTTGTGAAGATGTCCTTCATCCAAGACGGCGATGTCAGCGATAACGAGGGATTGGATGCTAGCGGCATTTCGCCCGAGACTTTTTTGAAGCTGACGGAGGGATGTGCAACTGGTAACAGGCACTTTCGTGTTGGTGGTCCGGCGAAGGTTGAGGTTTCGGGTGTAAGTCTTTTTCTGATCCTCACACGTGGGAGACATTCACTCACTGACTTTACCAGAACCTGGCTCGCACTCGCCCCGTCACGCCTCCCATCGAGGAAATGCCCGCCGTCCCGCCCTCTCCGTCATCCCAGCACACCTACGAATCTCAGTACGACGCATACGACGGCAGCGTCATGACCGGTCGCTATTCAGTCCCTTCCAACCCTTCGGTCAAGTGGGCCCCCACCGGCGTTGCCCATACCAATTTCGCCGGCAGAATTGAGAATTTTATGTTCGATCGCATGGATCCTCTTGCCGGCCGTGAGCTGTGCAAGCGTCGTTACGGTCAGCCCGAGAGTGTCCAGGGTCCTCAGGGTATCGATGACGACAGCGCTATCGCCTCCGCTTCGACTTCTCCCACTGCGGCTGCTGCCGGCCCGACAGTTCTAGCAGATGGCACCCTAGCCGTTCCCAACATCGCCGACTACTCCCCTGTCAAGATCCCGGGCGAGAGCAAGCCCGTATACGTTTATGTCGGCGATCTTCCTCCTCGCATCCCGATTGACGAGCGCAACATTCCACCCCTTCTCCCACCCCTTCGCAAGGCCGTTCCCTATAATCCCGACCGGGAGGTCAGAAGAATGATTTCGGTGCCTCCGGGCTTTGAAGCGCAGTTTGCAGTTCAGGCTAGGCAGTTGAACTTGGCTGAGGGCGAGGCTTCTTCTTCTGCGGAACCATTTGGTGGTCAGCAGAAGATCGATTGGAAGGGTAAAGGAAAGATGATCGCTCAGGCTTCTCCTTCTGCGACCGCCGCTTATGGTCAGAAGATCGATTGGAAGGGCAAAGGAAAAGAGATCATCTTTCCTGAGGAGAGTCTGAGTAGCGGCAGTGGCAGTAGTCTCGAGATGGTGGAACTTAAAGCTGGTCCTCCGCCGAAGCTCCCTGATGATCATGTTGAGACCTATACCTATGTGAGTGTTTCCATTTCTGCTGTTGTTGATTAGTACATTGAGCGCTGACTTGCCACCTCGAAACAGGAAGAGATCGAGGATGCGATTACCCATTACCCCGGTACCTTGGCTGACGGCATTCCCGGTCACAAGGCGCGTGAAGTTCTCGAGACTCGCAACAAGGCCATCGCCGACATGGAGAAGGAAGAGGCTGAGATGCGCGTTGAGACGGCTGCCCTTGAGCGCGAGGTGGATGAGCTGGAGAGAATGTAAGTCCCGTCGCACCCCTTCCCATCACGACTTGGAAGTTAACGCAAACTAACCAGCCGCCTCGTCCTCCTTCGTCATTTCACAGCCGTCCGCTCGTCAAGGAACTGATCGAGTGCGAAGTCCACGCCGCCATCAGCGCCCGCCTCCAGGCCGAACTCGCCAAAGGCCCCTTAGCTTTCGGTGGACTCTTCAACCCTGCCATCACAACCAACGAGGAAGCCAACGCCATTATCGACCGTATTATTTCCCAACCTCCTCCCACCACCCGCGGCCGCTCTCGCTCTAGGAACTTTCCTTCTTCCTCTGCCATTGCCACCACCTCTGCCCCGACCAACAAAATCCGCAAAGAATCCGACGCCCACCGCCCCGCCCAAATCCGCCAATACTTCAACGACCAGATCGAGCAACTCAAGTACAAATTCGACGCGCAGTGGGTGGCCGTTATGAGGCAGGCTCAGGACCAGACCAAATTGAAGCAGAAAAAGGACCAGAAGGTGACGGCCATTGGAGAGATTTTGGAGGGTTTGGAGAGGATGGGGGTGGAGGATACCGATCAGGTGTTGGAGAGGGCGAGGGAAATTGTTGTTAGGGAGATGGAGGAGGAGGAGAGGAGGAGGAGGGAGTGGGTTGAGAGGCAGGAGTGGTTGGCGATGAAGGAGGGTTGGAAGGAGGTGTGATGGGTGGATTTCTTTGCTTGTATTTACTTTCTTTTCTTTCTTTGTGTTGTTTTATTTGCTTCTCTTCGATGTTTCTTTTTTCCTTGAGGGTGGTTGTTGTTGATCTTGGGGGTTTCACTCCGCCGGGGTTAGGGTTTAACGTGGAGGTTCTCGGATTTGGCAGGTGTCCATTTGGCGTTGATAGTCGGACTTGTTCGGATTGAGATACCCGTGATGGCGTCTGGATGAATCCCCTTGGGCTGATAGCCTGATGATGATAATGCTAAAGCAATTGCAAGGCATCTTGACGATTCCCCTTTGTTGACGTGCGTTGTTTGACCCCTTTTGGGATGCTCAGGAGAAGCTTGGGCCCTTTGTCCTCGACAAGCCAGGTGCCCCTGTGCTTTGACGCTATGATCGCCATCGGACAGTGTCATCTGCATGTCTTGGCACCATCGATGCTCCAAAGCCAAGAACTCCAAAGAAGACTCGAGCGGTGCGGGCGGGTTGACGGCAACCTATCGCAACTCACAGCGCCCGGCGGCTCCATTCATACGACCTACCGCTTCAGGCTCAGGCTGCTCCATTGAGGTTCCATTCAGTGTTCCAGCTTCCACCTTCTCCTCATCCGACCGCACCGCATTCGGTTTCCCGTTCCCGGGCGTCCTTCCATCTCTCGACAACTTCTGGCAAAAGCTTCCCACAAGACTCGACCGACGACTCCGCTCGCGACTCGGACACCCGCCCGCCGACGCCTGCATCTCTCGCGCGCAGTGCACCCCGAAAATGCTGCTGCTCGTCAGCAATGTTGAGAGAAGCAGAGGATTAGCGACCTGGACGGCGATCCATCAACAGAGGCAGCTTGAGCTTGGTTCATACGGATACGGAAGAGCAAGTGTATAAGAGGAAAACAGAGAAAACAAACCTCAACCATGTCGCCTCCAGACGCCGCCTCCGCCAACAGCAACATCCGCGTCTTTGTCCGCTGGCAGGACCACGTCGTCTTCGCCGGAGAGGAAGTCAAGTGCACAATCACCTTCAAGAACGTCGCACGACCTCCCGGGCCCCCGCCCACCACGCCCACAAAGAATCCCCATCCTTCCCCGAGACATCTAGGCGCCGCTGCCGAGCAACGATTGCGCCAGCCATCCCCCCTTGGGCCCGGTCACCCTATTCAGTCACCTGCTACACAAGGAGGAAATGGCCGTACCAAGGGCCAGGGGCATGCTGACGGCCTGGCCCCGCCGCCCTCGGTGCGCGGACGCGGTCACGGCCATCGGTCAACCCTTTCCTTGACAGTTCCATCCGCCGCTGCCACTTCCCGCGCCCGAGACAGCTCCATACCCTGGTCGCCCATCCAGAATCCCGGGTCCAGCAGCTCCCGGGCTGGTCCTCCCTCGAGCTCCTCTAATGGCCACGGACATAAGAGGTCTGTGTCCATCGTGTCACTGGGCTCTACAAAGGGCATGGACGAGGTTCCGGACCTCAATTCGTCTCCCGTCAAGTCCCAGCGACCAGCGAGGGGTCATGCCCGAGCTTCGAGTTTACAGATATCCCCCCGTCTTCCTTTCTTCGGTGGGCCCAAGTCTGGTAAGCCCGCATCTTTTTTGCGTGAGGCCACCATTGAACAGACGCCTGACCATTCACCTCGTCCCCATACAGCTACACATCCAAAGGTGCAGACCTCTCAACAGCCATCACCCCTTTTCCATGCCTCTTACCCTCCGAACCGGGACACTCTACACAGCCCGACCGAAGGCCCTCTGACTCCTTCCGAACGAACACGAAGCATCTTTCCATGGGCAACGTCCCCTTCCCCCAAGGCTTCTCCTAGAGCCGACCAGAACTCCGAGTTCAGATTCCCATTCACCAAGTCGTCTTCTTCGCCCGATGTCGTCCACGGAGGCAGTCCGGCGGGGCCGGTACATGAAGACAACATCATGAGCCCAACATACTCAGTCGCTGGCGAATCCGTCAGGTCTCTCCCTATGCGATCAAGAGATCCTATCCCCACCATCAACGAACATGGTGCGATACCGTCGGCACGCATTCTTTCAACAATAAGCATTGGCGGGACACCTAGGAGTAGTGGCGAGTTTTACTCAATGAGCAATCACTCTTCCGAGACACTGGCATCCGAGTACGTCCAGCCACAACCGCTGAGCATGGTTGGTGGGCGATCTGGCCATAGCAGGCGGCCGTCCAGCTTCTCACCGAACACGGCAAAGATGCCAGAATCGTTGATGATGGGCTATGCGCAAATCCAAGGGTCATTTACGCTCGATGGCTCTTTGGTGAATCTCGGGCCATTTGAGCAAGTGAAGCGAAAAGCTGTAGTGGGTGGCCATGGCGGCGGCGTGATCGGTGTGGAAACTACGAAGCGCGACAGCAGGTTACTCAGGGGCTTCGGTTGGGGCAGTATCACGAGCTCCATTGGCGAACTTCTAGGCGGAGGAGAACTCAGCACCATCAAAGAGATGCGGGGGATTGCCAGCTCAAAGTCGATCCCCCTTTTATCAACACCCCAGTCGATTCTTTTCGTCGACCTGCAGCTAGCACCCGGGGAAAGCAAGACGTTCGAGTATTCGTTCAAGCTACCCAAGGGGCTACCACCAACGCATCGCGGCAAGGCGATGAAGATATCATATAGCCTCGTCATTGGCACGCAAAGGCCAGGAGGAGCAAAAGATAAGCATGTCAAGTCTGTGGACGTTCCGTTCCGCGTGCTTGGAAGCGTCAACAGCCACGGCGAAATCCTAGGTCACGACCTGATGGCGCCCTATATCATCCTGCGAGACCAGGCGCGGGTTCAGACCGTCGATAATACCAACACAGCATCTACCACTACCTTTTTTAATCATAATCACCAACAACAAGCACAGCAGACACGACAGAAACTATTGGGTGACAAGCCCGCCGCCAACGAAGATTCCTTCCTTTCCTACGTTGACGAACTTCTTTCCTCCCGCTCCCTTCAACTCCAGAACGGTGCTCGCGCCCCTGGTCTCCTCAGCCCAACAGCCAGCGCCCCTCCCTCCCGTCGACCCTCCAACTACTCCCTCAACTCTACTACCTCCTCGCACTTTAACCCCTTCGGCCCGCAAACCCACATGCCCGTCCTAACCGCAAAGGAAGCCATCGACCTCGCCATCCTCCGCTCGAACATCGCCTCCCACGACTCCAACCAATCCACCAACCGCTTCGAAATCGCCCGTAACGGCCGCCGCGTTGCCGTCGTCATGCTCGCCCGCCCGGCCTACCGGTTAGGCGAACAAATCACCATGGCCATTGACTTCGAGGGCGCTGAGATTCCCTGCTATGCCGTGCACGTTGCTTTGGAGACAGCCGAGCGGGTAGATTCCAGTCTGGCGCTGCGGAGCGAGGCGAGTGTACATCGGGTAACAAGGAAAGTGCTGGTGAGCAGCAGCGAGGCAACCATGTTTGCGAAGAGGGTAGTGTTCACGCCAACCATTCCCGTCACGGCAACGCCAGAGTTTGTGACGAGCGGGGTCAGTTTGGAGTGGAAGGTTAGGGTTGAGTTTGTGGTGCCCAGCGCGGAGGCGTTGGACAGGATGGGACAGTCACAGGTGCTGGGACAGGCGCAGGGGCAAGGACAAGGGATGATGGGATTGGGGATAACTAATAATGGGGAGGAGGAGTATGAGGTTGTTAGTGACGAGGAGGCGGAGAGGAATGGGGTTATTGAAGAGGAGGAAGAAGAAGAAGACGAATCGCATGATGGCGGTGAAGGAGAAGAAGAAAGGGAAACGAGGTTAGTAAAAGCGAATGGCAGTGCGGCGGAAAGGGGGAAGCAAAGAAGCAGCAGACCGCCTATGTTGCGGAAAAACCAGACCCTCTCTGAACGCGAACGGGAAAGGGAGAAGAATATGCAGCAGCTGCAGGTGCAGCAGCAGCAGCAACCGCATCCCCTGCTGGAGGAGATATCGAGGGACGATAGGGGCGGTTTGGTCTTGGTGGCGGCGGAGAATCTCATCTGCGAGAGCTTCGAGGTCGCGGTGCCGTTGAGGATTTACGGTGCTGTTGGCACAGGGCTGGAGAAGTTGGAGAGGGATGAAGCTACGGATGAGGGGTTACCTGTGTGAATGGATTTGCTCACCGGGAATTATGGAGTGAATGGCAATGAGGCAAGAAAAACACAGACGCAATTGAACATATATGGGTGATGAATGGATAGGCTGGGCCGGTCGGACAGACAAAAGCTACTTTAGGGAGACGGAAAGGAAGGGAAGAGAAAAGGGATCCAGGCCTGTTTAATGTAGGATGTCTCGAAATGAACTTTTCTGGTAGATAAATTTTCCTGGGTGATAAGGAACAATGAAATGGGAATGTTACCAGCGGCCAGCGAGTGCTGGAAACACCCTTTTTCCGTGATTACAGTTGTCAACATCTTCAAAATCGCACTCACTCACCGATGGTCTGCACGGTGAATATCAACGCCCAAACTCAGCTTGGTGTAACGGAGGCATCTGCAGGGTATCTTGTCGTCCCTGACTCCAAAGTGAGCCAAGATCCTGAATGGTTGGCGACAGTGACATCATAGCCACCATTCATCATGGAATGGTATCACCGTCTCCACCAATCACGGTCAGCTCTTCCAGTGGGACGACAGCGACCCCTCCAGTAAGGCTGATGCTGTAACAATGCATAGGACAGCACAACAACAAGATTCGAAGAGAGGAAAATGATATCTTTTTCGGGACATTGTGACCAGTGTGGATTGGTTGGGCTCTGTTTGGGTCAAAACAGAAGGCTGGCTGGGCATGAAGCTGATTGCGGTGAACAGCTGAGAGCAAAGCTGGGCAACAGCCATTCTGGTACTTGGTTCCCCTTTGGACACGATATGAGCCTTGCCAAGATAATCTGCTGTTTTCACCGTTGACCTTGGGTCGGTTTTATCTTCCTTCTTCTCTTTCTCTTCACCTTCACAGCCTCATGGTCTTCCTCAATTACTTTGAAACAGTATCAACATTTCATGAAGCTTCTTTAGTTTGCTTTTGAAGGTCTCGTGCCTTTTCAGCCGGCAAACTCCCGAAAGAGCCGGCGTTTGGGCTCCGTCCAAGTTCCCTGATTTTTAGACTCTTTTTAGGGGTTCACGCGGCTTGTGGGGACCCGTCAGGCCGTCACTTACACCACGGCACTAAACATCATCAAGCATCACCGTCGTCACCGGGACTTCGTATTCCATACAAATAACCGGCCTTTCCTCTTTCATCAATACCTTCTTGTCTCTACACAAAAGTTCGACTCAAATCATCCCAAATCAGTTGCAACAATCAGCAACGACGGCAACATCAACCGAGGTCACACCACCACTTCCTCTCGCCTTTTCTTGCCTTGGCAGTCCGCGTCCATTGCTTCGGTAGTCGAAAGAGGCTTATCATTACACAAACACAAGGCAAAAAGAAGAAAACCGCAGAACCACGCTAGAAGCTAGGTCCGAAGTAGTTGTGTGTATCATCACACAGCGCCCGGGGATTTAATCTACTCAACACCTCGGCATCAACAAGGCGACGGCGCAAGGGAAAGAAAGCCTCTACAGGAAGAGGGCAAACGGGTCGTTCTGTTATCTCCGTGGTTCGGCATTACAGGACTTGGGACTGAACAACGCTGGTCAAGGGAGAGCAGTTCACGAAAGAGAAGGAAGATATATTAACCCTCATACCTGAACTCGGCTGAGTCTATGCCGGTGTCTCCGTCTCTTGGAAGTTACGGGAGTTTTTCGGATTGCTTCGCCTCCAACGTCGGACGTTGACGATAATTCTCACTGGCAGAGAGGTTATACGAGCTGAAAGTCTTAAAGCTGGAAGAAAAAGACTGGGGGTACTTATACCAGTTCAGTGGTTAGGCCCGTCAGGTCTTCGTCGATAACCAGACGGCATCAAACACACAGCTTGAGTCCTGGAATCTTCATACCGCAACACACCAAAATCTCTCCTCACAACTCCTTCAACATGGTCCGCTTCATGGACAAACAAGACGAGCGCGACCACCGCGGCCGCCGTTCCTCCTCTCCAACCCGCTCTCACCACTCCGGTCGAGACAGGGATTACTCACCCGATTTCATCTCCGGCCCCGGCCGGGTTCCCCGTCCATACGCCAGCGGCGCCATCCCATCAACAGCAACAGCACATCAACCACCACCACCTGTTCCCTCCCCACCACTTTCTCCCCCTATCCCTAGCCGCACCGGAGGGACTGGGCCTGGGTACGCCTACGACGACGACCGAGATCGAGACCACAGAAATGGCGCTCCGCTCCGAGGGAGAGATCGCTCTTGGGAGCGTGGCTCCGGCACTGGCACCGGTCCCCACTCCGCAGCGCGATCCAACATCAGCGTCAGCAGAAGCAGAAGCCGATCCCGCGGCCCAACCCTAGCATCAGCCTCAGCCCCAGCCCCAGCCCCCGGGACCCGCGAGCGACACATCGTCCGCGAAACGAAAATCTACGGCGGCCCGGAACTTCGTGACCCCGAGCGAGCTGCTCAAGCCCTCGCCGTCTCCGATAATGCCCGCCGGGCGCGCTCTCCCAGCCGGGACAGCCGTGTCAGCCGAGACCTCTCCCGCTCGCGTTCCCGTTCTCGCGGTGGCGCTCGCAGCATCTACACCACCGACGAATACGACTCCGACTACCCCCGTCGGCGGCGCTCCTCCCCTTCCCGCTCCACCCGCTCAAGACGTTCTCCCTCCCGCTCTCGCTCCAGACGTTCCCCTTCGCCCCCACTCCGCAACAAAGCAAAAGACCTCTTCTCCCCCTCCACCGCTGCTTTGGGTGTAGGCGTCCTAGGCGCCATCGTCGGTGGGTTAGCTGCTCGGGAAGCAACCGAACACGCAGTCAGCCATAAATCTAAATCCCACGGCGGGCACAGCTCAAGAAGCAGGAAAGAAGAAGAAAGGGAGCGCAAAGCAGCGCTGATATCGACCATCGTCGGCGCAGCGGTGGGTGGCTTGGGAGCGAATGTGATTGAGAAGAAGTTTGAAGAAAAGAAGAGGGTGGAACAGGAAGAACGGAGGGCGAGGGAACGGGGAGGGTATCGCGAGCTGAGAGATAGGGGTGGGGATGGGGATGGGTTTGATAGGGATAGAAGGAGTAGGAGTCGACATGGTGGAAGTAGTATTGATACGCCGGCGTATTCGGATGATGAAGGGGGGTATTATGGGAGTAATACCGGTAGTGCGTATGGGACGAGTACGAGGAGGGGAGGGGGGACGACGGTTAGGGGAGGAGGACGTTGAGGTTTTTTTTGGGGTGGGATTATGAAGGCGGGGTGGTGGTTGGTTGTTGTTTGAGTTCCCCTTTCTTGTTTAATATTACTTTTTTTCCGACCTAGACAATTCCATGACTTGAGAACAAGCGTAGTGCCTCCCTCTGCGTGTTACGTGAAATGAGCAGGAGAATTAGTAGCGGGTGTTTGCATTTTTTTCCATTGAGCAGGACCGATATCGCGCCCGCGATAAATAGAGTGAGTGTTTTGTGACAAAATGACAGAACTAAGTGTGTTAGAAAGATGAGGGAGCGAAAAGAAAACGAAAAGATGAGAGAGGGTCGAGAAAAGCGAAAAAAAAAAAAAAAAAAGAAGAAAAAAAAGGGGATAAACCAAACCGACAAAACAAAAGTGTGAAGAAAGTGTGAGAATGTGAGAGAAAAAAATTGCAAAAGAAGATGATCCGACCCAGGCTCGATCTGGGGACCTTCAGTGTGTTAGACTGACGTGATAACCAACTACACCATCGGACCGATGTTACTTGTGTTAGGAGAGGAGCTTTGATCTGGATCTTATCTAGTCTAGCTACAAAACGGCCCGAGCTCGCATCCCCGTACGATTCTACTATTCTAAACTAACCAACAGCTTCCTCGACCGGATGGATGATACGCAACTTTCGAGATTCACTTCATTTAAATGCTCCTTTGCATCGGTAGCTAGACTAGTCTCTGGCTATTCTAGCACGTTTAAGGCAAGAGAGAAAACCGCACAAAAACATCACTGTGACAGTAAAACGAGGACATTAACGGGCTTCAGTAATGATTAAAATTAGACACTAAGCCATAAGAATGGGTATAATAACTCCCGACGAACTCCCCTCTCATGCCATCCATGCGTCTCGCTCAATCAAGCTGTCGCCAGCATCATGTCATGTTCTATACTCCTGCTCCTTCTCCTGCTCCTTCTGCCCAACACGGTTCCCTCCCCTCCCCTCGTCACCAGCACTAAACTAAAAGCCCGACTCAAATACTAGCAGCAGGCATCAAAACATACGGCAAATCCGTCTGATCCCCCCTCCCCGCTAGTCTAATCACACTCCCACTACTACCACTAGTTCCTCCACTCCTTGCACTCCTTGCACTCCTCCCACTTCCAGAAGACGAAGCCAACGACAACTGCGAAACCCCCCCATTACTGATCCCCGTACCATTCGTCCCCGCCCTATACAGACCCGTGGTCCCCGCCGTCATCGCCACGCTCCTAGGCGTAGTCGGCGCCGTACGAAACTGTCTCTGTTGTTGCTGCCAAGAGTACGTGGTCGAGTAAGTGCCTGAGGAGTTGCGGTTCGCGGAGCGTTGATGGTGATGAGGATGACTGCGACTGCTGAAATGGGTTTTTGCTGTTTTTGCTGTTTCGGGGCGGAGGTGGTTGTGGGTGTGGGTGCTTCTGAGGGAGGAGGAAGAAGAGAAGTAGGAGGAATTGGTTTGTTGCCGGGTTAGGTGATTTAGGCCTCGGAGGGGGTTGGCGTCGCTTGGGCCTGGGTCTGACGGGTTGGCGGCTGTGGTGTATTTGGCTTTTCTTTTTCTTCTTTTGGGCGTTTTGGGTGTGGGGGTTCTGGGTGGTTGCTGTTGTTGATGGGCACGTTGACCGTGGTACATGCTACTGCCATCGCTGTCCCTGCGTAAATCGCCGGACGAATAACTACGCCTGGGTGCATCGTTGTCGATGTCGCTTTCGTAAAAGGAGCGAGGTGATGGTTGTTGCTGTTTCTGAGAGTAGGGAGACAAGAAACGGCGATCGTTACTGCCGTCCCCTTCGGTGCCCTTGTCACGAGCATTTTCCGAATCATTGTCTTCAGCCCCATCATCCTCATACTCTCCGACAATTTCGTCCAATACCACCGGGTCAAGCGGTCTCATGCCTCTCAGCACTTCCGCAAAGACATGCATCAACCGTCTGAACTCGTCAATCGAAACCGGCCGAGTTGAGTACCGAGCGCGCTCATACAGTTTGATAAATTCACTCAGGGCCTCTGATGGTGCTACCACGCCGAGCTCCGTCAAACTGGTCAGATACTCGCGGAGTCCCATGCTCTCATGTCGCTGTAGCAGCGCCACAGCATCCGGGTCCAATAGCGGCGGGTCCATCCTCCCTGCTTCTCCCTCGCCTCCCCCGCCTTCGGATGTCCGGTCCGGCGGCGCAAGGGTGATAGCCTTGGCCTCGATCAAATTCGGCAGTTCGCTTATGACTGCATCGTACTGCACATTCGCGAGATCCGGAGAAGTGGGCGAGGCCCAGCCGGGGTGTTCGATTTCGCCCCAGATATGGGGTCCTCCACGCGGTGCGACAATGTTGATGCTCACCGGCTCGTCATGGCCCGATGGGCGTGTGGTTGTCGAATTATGTTCGGATTCCCGACCCTCGATGGTGTCCGCGCTGATTCCCCTACGCACTTTCGGTTTCCAGCGGGACCGTTTCCCAGTGAATCTGTCGGCAGCTTCTTTCGAGGCTTCCTTCGCCGCCGTGGCTATCCATCCACTATGCTCTTGCTGTGGTTCTCCATCTTGCCCTTCATTATCATTCCTTTCCATCTCTTGCCTTTGCGATGTAGGATGCGGCGCACCGGGAGCAGCTAGGGGCGAAGGTAAAGGCAACCTTGGTCTCGCTTCATACGCAATGGCGGCGCTCCTGCTGAGCCCGGCAACGATCAACTGTCTGACATCGCGGAGCACGTCGCCCTTCTCTATAGGAACCCATGACTTGGGAATCGAGTCGAGCACCGCTTTGTTGTAGTACAGTCGAGTGGCGTAGATGAAGACAATGATGAGGATGGTGACGAGGTAGCAGAGCGCAACAATAAGGATGCTGTAGTTCTGCTTGGTGATGATGGCCTGGCGGATTAAGTCGATAGGACTGACAATGAGAAAGGCGAGAAGGACGAGATAGATGAAGTAGTAGACGAGTTTGTAGAGGAAGTGGGCGATGATGGAGACGGCCGACTTCATTCTTTGGTCTTATGTTCTCGAGATCGCAGCCGGATATTCGAATCACTTGCCAGAAGAGGCAAATGTAGAGAAGCTATTACAGCTGACCGTTGTTGAGGTCCAAGCTGCCGCTGTTTCCAGAAGGAGCTCGTAACTTGCGACAGAAGAATGTTGGGCGTCGGGGAGTGTCATGGCGGCGCAGGACTGGAATGCGATGATTCGGGACCGAGGAAAAAGAGCCGCAAGTCGGGAGGGTTAGGACATTGGAGGAGTTGCGATGATGCCGATGAAGTTCGAAAGTCAAGAAAGAAAACAAATCAACTCGGGAGCGGAAACCACGAAACAAAGGAGAACCTTGAAAGATGCAGGAACAGGACCGGCGATCGCCGGCGATGGAGAACAAGGAGCTAGCTTCTCAAGCGAACTACGTGGATCATGGCACGTGTGACCTCATTTCCCGCCGGCTCGCTCATCCCTGCACAGCCGCACCATTACGTACCGAGCCCCTGCATGGCTTGATCGTTCAGGGGGGAACACCGCTGCAAGTAAACAATCTATTTGTGTGTAGCACCACTACCGTACGCTCATTGAGGTATCATACAACATCAACAATCCATAACATGAAACAGCTTTTCTCCCTATTTTCCTTTTAAGCAAAACCCCCTACTCCGTGTGTGTGCGCTTATTCATACAATATGCTTCAGTAATCACATCTAAACATATTTTCGTCACCTCTTCCACTGGCTCAGGTCTAGCAGATCGTCCATCCTCGGCTGCGGCTCCGGAAAATTCGCAGCCTCCCTGGCCAAGCGCATATCCGTCAACGTCAGCCTCAAATCCCGCGCATACGGACCAAACTCGACAATGAGCGTGCTCAAAGCTTCCCTCAAGGCCTCCAGAATAGCATCCACCTCAGGGCACTCCTTGACAGCCTCAACGTCCGTCCAGTGGACCTCGAAGCCTTCCTTGAACCTCTCCAGCCTCTTGGTCACATTCGTCAATGTCCGGATAATCGTCGCGATATCCCTCTGCACGTTGCCATATTTGTCCTCCTGCAAACTGTGGCTTGTGAGCATGCTAAGGGCGTAGGCTGCGTTGATGTAGAGGCTGGGCTCGCCGTACGGGCCTCCGAGAACTGCATGGGTTATCCTTCTCCGGTACTCCTGGCGGAATGGAATTCCCACCCACTTGCGGAGTCCCTTCAAAGCATAACTCCTGACGAGGCTGGCAGTATCGTCGGTTCCAGTGGCGGCCTTTTGGACTTCGAGGAGTTGATGCTTCGCCGCGTCCACGATCCTCTTCGCAAACGGGCTGAGGTGGGATTCTTGACCAGGAGCAACGGCAACCTGAGTAACTACCTTCTCAACCTCAGACCGGAAGTTTCGCCTCCTGGCAGGGCCTCCCAGGTAAATCGGATCCTCCTTCAAAGGCGGAGCAGTTCGAACCTTTTCCTCGACAGGCTGTGCCACTGGAGCAGACACGGGCTCAGGAGCCTTTCCATAGTTGCCAATGTTCGTCTCAAGGCTCTTCAAAACGTCGAGGCAAATGGAGCAGACCTGCGACCACGCCGGTCCGTCCTTTCGGTCGATGTCTTCGTAGATGGCTTTGCGTCTTTCCGGGAAATCGCGGGCGATCAGAGCCAACTCCCACATGGCGAAGCACTTGATTGACCGTTAGCAATTAGGTACGTGACAACGTGGACGACAAAGGAAACATACCCTGTAAAACAACTTCTTGTGCTTGAGTCCGTTCAAGAGACTGCCATTGGGATCCTTGGATCCGGAGGTGAAAGGACGTTGATCCTTGGTCGGTTCCTTGACCATGAACATGGTAAACGCAGTGTTACCAGCAATCCAAACGATCAGGAGCATGATGCTAGCCAGGACCATTGAAATGAGACTGCTGAAGGAGACCGGCCACGAATATGGCACATAATTCGTCTTTGGAAGGTTGAAGAATGGGCGGAAGAAGAAGAGCGACAGCCGCCAGACCGCCTTGCGCAGGAACAACGGGTAGATGACGAAAGTCAATATCGCGCTGGCAACCGTCTCATGGAGTGACTGCGAGAAGATGGTAGGCATCTCGCCCCAGAACTTCTTCATCAGGGTGCCGACATCACTGCTATTGTTTTGGACGGCCGCCTCCGAAGGCTTGGCAACGCCCAAGAGGAGCCGGTCGGTGTCCAACCACAGATGTCTGATGGCCATGTAGGCGCCGAGGATCGCAAAATGGGTGGTGAATGCGACAGCCTTCTCGTTCAGCCTCTGTCTATCGTACGAAAGGTAGGTAACCCATTCCAACCCAGAGTCCTTAGGCCGGGAGAACAGGTAGACTTGGGCAAAGAGCCAGGCGGAGAAGACATACGTCACGATGGTCTCCAAGGTCGAGAAGTTGCGGTAATGCTTAAGGAAGGTATCGTAAGCCGAGTCGGATGTTCGGTAGCCGGGATGGTACTGTGCGATGCGCAGGATGAGGATGAGCGAGCCGGAGAACCAGAGGAAGGCGGCACGGATACCGGTTGGGCCGATGGGAAACCAAGACCAGAGGACTAGATGGAGAGCATCATGGTTAATTGCTTGCGCGTGAGGTAGATTCGGATGAGAAGAGTATAGGTATCCAATCTGCCAAGGTAACTTACAAGAGTTCCATCTGGCCAGACCAATGGCATATACATATGCGATAGCGAGCAGGATCAAGGCCGTGGTACTAAAACGGCGATGGAGCGCGGGCTGGAGGAAGTCCTTGTAAGGCGGTCGTCTAACAGATGCGGGCGCCATCTTCACAGCGCATTGTCGACAGTCCCGCCGTCGTTGATGGTTTGCGTGTGGATGGTGTCTGGAAGAAAGGGTGCGCGTGTGGAGGAGGACGGGGAGGGGAGACTGGCTCAAATCAAAATCGAGCTGTGGTCGAGCCCGATCGGATCTTGGTGTAGCTTCAGGTTCAATGTGTTGAGTTGTAAATAAAAAAACGGGGTGGGCCTGCCTGCCGCGCTGGACTGAAGCTTCCAGTTCCCCAAACACGACGCGCTGCTGTCAGCCTGTCACTCTCCTTGGATCCACACGGGCTAACATGATTGGTCAGAATACCCACATTACGTCTTTTAAGCCAAGCCGAAGCTTTGGACAGGATGGTCTTGGCCAGAACTGACAGTGGAGGCTGACAGCGCACAGCAACCACTGCGGGACAGCGACTGAGGGTTGGGCAACGTAATCAATGCAACCACTTGCGACCACTGTCGTCCCAGATCACAAGTCAAAAGTCACATTTCGCTTCAACCTACAACCAACCTTCGACCACCGCCTGTTGACGATAACATCATCAACAAATAGGCACCAACAATCGCTCGCTTTTACATAGGGCCTGTCAACTCCCTTCGCTTGAAGAACCAGATATATACCAAAACTCATCCTACCGACGACAATCACTCCGTATCACATCAGGCACCGATAAGACATCACCAGAACCACAACCACAACCACAACCACAACCACAACCACAACCACAACCACCAGCAACCATGTCATTCGATCAGCTCTCCTCCCTCGAGGCAGGGCGCCGTCGCAATACCGGCGGCGGCCAGTATACCGATGACCCCGAGTTCCAGCGCCTCTCCCAAGATTTGATGAACAAGCTCTTCAGGCTCAACGGGAACAACCAGCGACTCCAAGGCGAAGTCAGCCACCTCGGCACACGGCGTGACACCCCGCGGGTTCGGGAACGAGTCCACGAGCTGATCGAGGAGTCGCGCGACCTGTTCAAGGAAGTTGGCGAGGGCGTCAAGAAGGTTCAAACATGGGAAGATGTCACTGTATGCTACCCTCTCTTATCACTCCTCTTCCCCTCCATTGCCAAGCGCCAGACTGTAGACTAACACACACACAAACTAGCCCACCCAAAAATACATGCAACAAAAACTCTCCCGCGAATTCCAGTCCTCCCTCTCCGAATTCCAATCCCTCCAGCGCACCGCCCTCGACAAGCAAAAAGCCTCGGTAACCGCCGCCCGCTCCGTGATCGACGCCACCGACCCTTCGCACTCGTCGCACCCGTTGCTCGACGAACCCCAGCTGCTCCAACATCAGGAACAAGAACTCACCCACCTCGCGCCGCAATCCGACGTCGACTTCCAGGATGCGCTCATCCTGGAGCGCGAGGAGGAGATTCGCAATATCGAGCAGGGTGTTGGTGATTTGAATGTGCTGTTCCAGCAGGTGGCGCAGATCGTCAGCGAGCAGGGCGAGATGTTGGATACGATTGCGAATAATGTGGAGAATGTGAGGGATGATACGGCGGGGGCGGATAGGGAGTTGAGGAGCGCGGCGAGGTATCAGAAGAATGCGAGGGGCAAGGCGTGCTGTTTGTTGTTGATTTTGAGCGTTATCTTGACGATTGTGTTGTTGGCGGTGTTCTTGGGTTAGGCTGTGTGGGTGATGACTTGGTATGGTACGAAAAAGAGGGTGCAGGATGCGGAAAGACGGGACATGGAAAGGTATGATTGTTGATGATGTTTTGATGATGAACATGGAATGGGAAGGGCTCGGAGGACAGGGTATAATCCTGTAATGGTTGGTTTTGTGGTTGCTGTTGATGTTGCTGTTGCTGTTGCCGTTTTTGCCAAGTCGCATGGAAGGGATCAAAGACGGGAGAAAGGCGTTTATGGAGTTTTTACTTTCTTTCCTTGGTCTTGTTAGTTATACAGTTTCCATCTGGCCTCTTCAGAGCCAGTTTATCCATCATCCATCCATAGGTATCTTATCTCTCATATGTCTACATATATACATGCAGTACAGAATCCGTTATACTTCATCCCCTGACCTGGGCCGCAAGACCGCCTTCTTCTTGATCGTGGGATCCGGCTCCCAATCCAACCCCGGCAGCTTCGGCCTCACATACGGATCATCCCCCCTCCCCTTCGCCGGACCCAGGTACGGCGGCAACGGCATCTTGGCCGCCACCACGCTCGTGATCGCGTTGCTCGTCAGACTCGTCGTGATCCAGTACAGATGCAGCGCCGCCGGCAGGTTGATGGTCGCGGGCCCGACGATCAGCGTCAGCAGCAACAGCGCCCTCTGCATCCGCAGTCCTACGGACTTTTGGAGCTTGATCTTGGATGCGTGCTCGCCAATGTTGTTTGGGTTGAGCTCGTCCGTCCCTGGGTTCAGGAGACGAAGCCAGCCTTCCCGGTTGCGCGGCATCACGTTGACGAACATGGTGAAGGAGAGAACGAAGGGGAGGATGTGCAGAGGGTCGGCGGCCATGAGGTCGGGGAACCAGAGGCAGCCTTCCAGGGAAGTGGGGAGGGGGTTTTGGAAATAGTTGGAGAGGGAGTCGGGGAGGATGTCGGTCAGGGGGTTGATGGTGTCGGCGATGGGGGTGGTTGCGGAGGCGGTGGTTGCTTCCGTGATGGTTTGGGCGGCGTTGGCAACGGCGGTAGTGGTTGCTTCGGTTACTTGCGACACTGCTTGTTGTGTGGTTTCCGCTGCCTTTGATACTACCGTCTCTGTCGTCCCTTGTGCCACCTCCGCCGCCTTCGAGGTCGCCTCCGCCGCCGCCTTCCCATCCTTACTAAGCCCCAAAAACATACCCAACAAACCGACCGGTCCGCTGCACAACCTCCTCAAAGCCTCTATACCGACCAGCCAACCGGGAAAAGCCAGAAACGGAACGAACTGCTTCCATGGTTGCACGCCCCACTCCTTCAGTAACCTCTTGCTCGTCTTCTCCATCCGCTTCATGATCTCGACTTGCGGCTCCCAGTCGTTCCGGACGGGATCGGCCTGCTTCGCGATGTTGACGTCCTGGAAATGCCGCCGGCCCCAGGCCATCAGAACGGGCTTGAGCAGGGACCGGCGCTGAGCGAGCCGCTGGGTGTACTTGGCGGCGGGAACGCGGAAGATCAGGCTGATGGTGGCGCCGAAGCCCGGGATGAGGATGTACCAGGGGATGTGCAGGTTGGTTTGGGCGGCGAGGAGAAGCTGCTCGACGGTGGTGACGGCTTCGTTGACAAAGGTTCGTCGTGTTGAAGGGACGACTGATGATGAGGCTGGACTATTCCTCCTGTGACGCAGTTGGGTAGCTGGTGTGAAGCCTAATGGCCGAACTGAGGTCGATGTGGTTGAGAGTCCATGCCGGGCGAGCGAGCTCATGCTCAAGCCGCCGGTTATACGTCCTCCGAAAGCAGCCATGGTGAGCTGGGAGCTGGGAGCTGGGAGCTGGTGATGAGTGAGACGGGGTGAATAGCAGAGAAAAGAAATGGGTTTTCACATTATCCGTCTAATATGAATACCCCTTCCCTTCCAACCTGTCTCTTCAGCACTTTACTGCTGAGTGACTGAGATGAGATGTTGTTCTTGGTGAACCCTGAAGTCCACTTAGACATCCAGAGGTTCCTCTTGAAGTTCATTGGCGAGGCATTCCCGATAAACATTCAAATTGAATATCGTGCCTGCCGGCTCTATGCCAGGGTCCCAGGCATAACTATGCCAAGGCCGTGTCTGAGATCCGTGCTCTACACCATAGCTCTCCAGCATCTGACCAATTGTAAGCTGCAGCTGACACTGGCAGCTGATTGTGAGCTTGCACATCTTGGTGCACAGTGTTCCCTACGTCAGAGCCGCAGAGGTGTGAAGCACTCCCCGGCCCCCTGAATGGCGCCCACATGCACTATCAACCCTCCCAAATAATTACTGTCACGGTGGTGGGTGGGAACCCAAACACAAGGCCAGATCATTCCACCTCCATCACCCCGTCAGACAATATCATCCGCCCAGCAACCTGTCCAGACTCCAGTCCAGTAGTCGGCTTTGGGTTGTCGCGGCGATTTAACTTCATAGTCCTTCGTTTAGTCTTTAATCCTTTTTAGTGTTCTGTCTATGACCTCTCTTCTATCCCTGCTAGAGCTGCTTCAAGAAACGCCCGTTCGATTCGCGCCTAGCTAACCCGAAGCTCTGAAACGAAAAACAACGGCGCATAACGCCAACATAGAACCGACATAACAGTACAGAATCAGACATACATAACGCTTCAGGCATGGCGAACGGCCTCCTCACCTACGTTGCCATCCCCTTGTTTACTATCGGCCCGCTTCTCGTCCTGTTTATCCCCTTCATATGGCGACTGGTCGGCTCCTCGCTGGGATGGTACTTGCGTAGGAAGACAGACGGCCGACGGTGCCACATTCTCGAGGTGGTAGAGGCGGACGAAAGGAAATATCGGGACTCCAAGGGCGCAAAGGGGCGCAAGGAGGAGAAAGACGAAACCGAAGCTACCGGCACATCCGAACAAGGGAGCAAAAGCGGCAAGGTCTACGATAAGGATTGGGATGGCATCGTGGGCTTCTTTCATCCCTTTTGGTGAGTTGTACCTGGGGATAGCTTGCTATTACATGTCTGGTACTAACACAAGACGCAGCAATGCCGGCGGAGGCGGAGAGAGGGTCCTTTGGGCTGCTATTCGGGCCACGCAGAAACGCTGGCCCAAAGCCAAGTGTGTCGTCTATACGGGTGATCACGATGTTAGCAAGGAGGCTATTCTCTCCAGAGTAGAGGTAAGAAAGCGCCCGACTGTACCGTCTTCAATGGTATTCTCAAGTGTCTTACAACCCCTTCACCCTCAACAGCATCGCTTCAACATCCACCTCCACCCGCCCACCGTCAACTTCCTCTACCTGTCCACCCGCCGATGGGTTCTCGCCTCCACATGGCCCTACTTCACCCTCGCCGGCCAGTCCTTCGGTTCCCTCATCATGGCCTGGGATGCCTTCTCCCTGCTCGTGCCCGACATCTTCGTCGACACCATGGGCTACGCCTTCGCCCTCGGCTTCTCCCGCTTCCTCTTCCGCGACGTGCCCACGGCCGCCTACGTACACTACCCGACCATCTCGACCGACATGCTCGAGTCGCTCGACCCGGCCTCCGCCGTCGGCAGCCAGGGCGTCAACGCCGGCAGGGGCATCGGCGCCAAGGGCCGCGCCAAGAAGATCTACTGGCAGCTGTTCGCACGGCTGTACTCGCTCATGGGCGCATCCGTGGACGTGGTCATGACCAACTCGACCTGGACGCAGGCCCACATCGAGAAGCTCTGGGGTCCCGTGCGCAACCTGACGGGCGCGGTGCCCGGTATTACGTCCAAGGTCAACCCCATCGCGGTGGTGTATCCGCCCGTGGCGGTCGAGGAGCTGGAGCAGGAGGTCGAGGTTTCCCCGGAAAGCGAGAAGCGGAGGGAGAATGTGCTGCTCTACATTGCGCAGTTCCGGCCGGAGAAGAACCACCAGCTTATTGTGCAGGCGTTTGCCGAGTTCTTGAAGAGCGGATCGGAAGCGGCGAGGGACGCCAAGTTGGTCCTGGTCGGCAGTGTAAGGGATGATTACGACTCGAAGAGGGTTTACAAGCTGCGGCTGCTGGTCAACGAGCTGCATATCAAGGATCGAGTCGAGTTCCACCTGGATGCGTCTTGGCCGGATATCTTGGAGTGGTTGAGGCGCGCAAGCGTGGGCGTTAATGGCATGTGGAACGAGCACTTTGGCATTGGCGTGGTGGAATATCAGGCTGCTGGGCTGATCTCGGTGGTGCATGATAGTGGTGGACCCAAGTTGGATATTGTTGTTGAGGTTGATGGAGAGCCTACTGGTGAGTTTTGCTCTTTTTGCTGCTTGCTGGTGCCGAGTTGTACTGACGGATTTATAGGATTCCACGCTATGACCTCTGAGGAATTCGCAGATGGCTTCGAGAAGGCTTTGTCCCTGCCTAACCCGTACGCTGTCAGGTTGAGGGCTCGCAAGTCGGCGAAGCGCTTCACTGAGGAGGAGTTCGCGAGGAGGTGGATCGAGCAATTGGAGAAGTGCGTGGCTATGAAGGCGGTTGAAAAGCCCAAGAGCAGACAGTGATCGCGCCGCCGACATCTTTGCTCGCTCTGGTACCGCGCATTATTATTATACTCGTATTATTACTATGTTAGGGAGAGTGGCTGGGCTATCGGCCGGGCTTTCGCTTGCTGGACCGGACAGCAGAAACAGTAGATATCATTATGGATACCCATTTCTCAATATACAAACAATTCATCAGCTGCTTTGATAATCTCGAGTTGTTGAAGTGTCATGCCCTGGGAGGTGGGAAGATATCTATGGGCACTGTCGATTTTGTATTGAATCATGATGGATATATAGAAGCTTGAAGAAATTCACATGATCTTCATGAAGTATGATAATTAACAACAGCTTCTTTCTACTATATGTTGAAGGTTTAACCTGAATCCTATGAGGAGGCCTACAAGTAGAACGAGTCAAGATCAGGGGTGGTTGCAACAATATGTGGCCCGTGCGCGCTGCTAAGAAAATCCAAACTCCATCGACCACTCAGGTTCTCCAAGTCATCCACTTTCCTATTCGGATCACAAGTCAAAATCTGCGACAGGACCCTGATTCATCCCAACTTCAATATTGGACGCAGGAACCGGACTAGTTCACTGCATCTCACTCGTCAGTCTCACTTGGGTTTTGACTGTTGCATCAAAACTCATCAATGTCGGCAACCGTCCGACTTCTCTTCTCTCGATCATTCATCAAACCCACAACATCAGCATCCATCCGCAGCCAATTGGCGTCGCCGAATAACAAATTCTCCTGGGTCAGGTCAGCAAGCCACTACACGGCATCGACATTGAAGGCAAATTTCGACAACGAATTCCATAAGGACAACGGATTCCATAAGCATCCTATCAAAATGGGCAAGAGACAGTTTAACGGCAAGCCTGGAAAGTTCAGGAAAAAGCAGAAGAAGGTCGTGGTTGCGTCGGAAGGATCCCCGGAGGAAGTCCTGTTGCACGACATCAATGCACTGCTTGAGACTTTGACTGTGGCCGATGTGGCCGATGAGGGAGCCACCGAGGCTCAGGCTGAGGCCAAGCCGGAGGTTGAGAAGGTAGAGGGTGAGGAGAAGGTCGAGGGGAAGACGGAGGGCAAGGAGGAGGCCGAGACCAAGCCTGAGCTTCTCGCGCAGGGTACCGAAATCGAAGCCGAGGTTCTTTCCCTATCTTCCACCGGCGATGGTCTTGCCAAGCAGAAGGGTTCGGACTCCAACCACATCTACGTCGTCCCCTTCACCGTCCCCGGCGACGTTGTCAAGGCCCGCGTCTACCGCCATGTGCCGCAAGATGGCTACTCGCACGCCGATTTCCTCGAGGTGCTCACCCCTTCGCCTCTCCGCGATGACAGCCGCATCCAGTGCAAGTACTTTGCCAAGTGCTCCGGCTGCCAGTTCCAGATGCTCGACTACTCGGAGCAGCTCAAGCACAAGCGCAGCATCGTGGTCAAGGCCTACAAGAACTTCTCCAACCTCTCTCCCGAGCTCGTCCCCGAGGTTCTCGACACCATCGGCTCCCCTCTCCAGTACGGCTACCGCACCAAGCTGACCCCCCATTTTGACGGCCCGCCTGGCGGCAACCGCCGCGGCTTCAAGAAGCCCATGGAGGAGATGCCCCCCATCGGTTTCACCCCCAAGGGTCTGCGCAAGGTGATGGACATCGAGGACTGCCCGATCGCCACGGACGCCGTCCGCGCCGGTCTCAAGGCCGAGCGCGAGCGCATGTCCAAGGAGTTCGCCTCCTACACGCGCGGCGCCACCATCCTGCTCCGCGAGAGCACCAAGCGTGTCCCCAAGCCCGCCGACGGCTCTGAAATCGCCGTCCCCGACCTCAAACCCGGCGTGCTCTCCACGCCCATCATCACCCCCGCCGCCGACGGCAGCTACACCGACTTCAAGACCTGCATCACCGACAACAACGCGACCTCGACCGAGTACATCGACTCCTTCATCTTCCAAAACCCGGCCGGCTCCTTCTTCCAAAACAACAACTCCATCCTCTCCCCCTTTACGGACCACATCCGCCAACACATCCTCCCCCCCGCCAACTCTTTGCCGGAAGGCGCCAAGCCCATCAAGAACCTAATAGACGCCTATTCCGGCTCTGGCCTCTTCACCATCACCCAATCCTCCTTGTTCCCGGGTGGCTCCATCGGCATCGACATCGCCGACAAGTCCATCGATTTCGCCCGGCGCAACGCCCGCTTGAACGGCCTCGACGAGTCGCAGTGCAAGTTCATCGCGGCCGACGCGCCCAAGCTGTTCGAGTCCGTGGCCGGGCTCGACGCGGACGAGACGGTGGTGGTGCTTGACCCGCCCCGTAAGGGGTGCGACGCCAGCTTCTTGCGGCAGCTGATGCAGTTCGCGCCTAGGAGGGTGGTGTACGTGAGTTGCAACGTGCACACGCAGGCGCGCGATGTGGGTGTTTTGGTCAGGGGACGTGTCGGGGATACGTTTGGGGAGGCGTTTGTGGATCCTACGGAGGGCGAGAAGAAGATGAGTCGGTATGTGATTGAGAGTATTCGCGGGTTTGATTTCTTCCCGCAGACGGGGCATGTGGAGGGTGTGGCGATTTTGAATCGGGTTGATGAGTAGGGAGGGGTTTGTGAGAGAGTGAATGTTGTTGAATATTAGGAAGGCAAAAGGAGGTATTGCGGAGACAACTTTTGCTGGTTTCGGGATATAAAAAAGTGAGATTTCTGTCTATTTTTATGGTGTTACGATATAGACTCGGTCTTTGAATTCATACCCTTGAGAGACTAGAATAATGTCCTCTTGGCCAGTATCATATGTCTGAAAAGTTAATGTCGAGGGAAGAAGACAACGTATTACTCATTATATACGATCCCACACTAAACACTAGGATTACCAACCCCGTTCACAACTTCACTCACTTCTCTCCTCCCTCTGCATTATTCACCTCATTCACTTACTCAGAGCACCTCACCTCGTATCTACCTCCATCCCCTTCTCCCCGCACCTCCCCAGGGAAACATATCAAGGCTCCAACCATTCAACCCGGAGCGCTGTGAGCTTTTCAACAGATCAGGAACAGCAAAAGAACACTTCGGCGGAATAACTAAACTACCCCACGAGCAGCAAAAGCAAAAGAAGAAGAAATTGGCGAAGCATCAAAATGACCTATCTGATTATTACAACTTGCGCTACCAATACGTTCAACACTGGTATCCTTCACACCTAGTGGTTTAACTCTATAGCACCTTTTTGATGACCTATTTTTACTACTCGCAGAAATTACAACAGCTGACAGCCCAAGGCTCTAACGTGCCGGAGCCTCATCTACAAGGCGAGACCGGCGAAGATGGCAAAGGCACCCATGGCCATGGCGGGCAGGGTCATGGCAACGGCGCTGCCGGCGGCACCGCTGGTGTTCTTGGTGTCAGTGGACTCAGGCTGCGAGTCGGAGCCCGAGCTGGTGGAGTTGCCAGAGGAGGAGACGCTGCCAGAGGACTGGATCTTGGCATCGTTGGTGCCGGGGGCTGTTGTGATTTTGTTAGTTGAGATTTTCATTGACACTGAAAGGAGAAGAAACACGTACAGTTGCTCACGTCGCTGCTGAGGGGCTTGACGGCCAAGTTGGAGATGACACTACCATCGGCGTTCTTGACAGTGTACTTGGAGGTGAAGTCGGTAATGTCAATGAGCTTGCCGCTGGGCTTGGGGCTGACGCCATTGGCGAGGATCTTGGGAACGTTGGGAGGCATGGCGGGGAGGGTGAAGTTGCCGTCGAAGTCCTTGGAGGTGATCAACTTCTTGTCGCACTTGGGGGGCTTGGGGCCGGAGCCGTCCTTGGCGGACTTGACGCTCTGAACCTTCTTCCAGTCGAGCTTGGCGAACTGATCCTTGAGGGTGTAGAAGTCCTTGAGGAGGGTGACGGACTGGTCCTTGGTGTTGACGCTGACGAGACCGTAGCTGTTCTCCTCCTCGGTGTACTCGTAGACGATGCCACCAGAGAAAACGGCGCTGAACTGCTCGCCGTAGATGGCGTCAACCTCGGTGAACACACGGGGCTTCACCTCGTTGCAGCCATACTCGGAGTAGAAGACGGGGACGGAGGTGTTGCTGAAGCCCTCGATGAGGTCGATGTAGCCGGACTTCTGCAAGTCGCTGTTGCCGCACCAGGAGTAGCTGTTGAGGGCGAAGATGTCGGCGCGGCTAGGGTCGTCGGACTGGCCGTCCTCGGCGCAGGTGAAGTACTCGAAGCTGTCGAAGAGAACCTCACGGACATCGGCGGCAGAATAGCCGACGGGGATCTTGCGGTCGGAGTGCTTGGCGACGTAGTTCTTGATATCGCGGGTGACGGCCCTCATGTAAGGGGGGACCTGGCCGGCGGAAGAAGCGTCGTTGATGACCTCGTTTCCGGAGAAGAAGGCAAGGGTGTTGTCGTAGTTCTTGAAGGCCTCGACAACGGCGAAAGTGCGGTTGACGTAGGTGTCATAGTACGACTCCCAGGGGTTGTAGTTCTGCAGGGAGCCGGCAACCTGGGGAGAGTTGACGTCGAGGATCATGTAGATACCGGCAGCGTTGAAAATGCTGGCGCACTCGTCGTGGTTGACATCCGGGTTCAAGTTATAAATACGAATGGTGTTCACGCCGAGAATCTGGAGAATGGCAGCGTCACGGCGGCAGATATCGCCATTGCTGAGGGGGTCCTTTCCGAGGGCGGCATCGTAGCCAGCAGAGCCACCGGGCTGGTAGGCGACACCGACGATCTGGAAGATGTTGTCGCTGGCGTCGACGAAGAACTGGTTCTTGACCGTCAAGGGCTTGACGGCGGCAGCGAGGGTCGCGCTGAGCGCGAGAAGAGTAGATTGGATCTACAGTCACATGTAGCGTTAGTCATTGCGACTGTTTCCCACATTTACATGCGTGCCATGTACATGCTACTGCAGTACAACTGCATATAACATGGTGAAGAGGCTGCGCCGGCGCAAACTTACAAGCATGGTAACAAGTCGGGATGGCCGGGTTCTGTTGTTTGTTGACGAAAAGTTGTTGCTCTGGTGATCTGCTCAAATAGTTCGGAGGGCAAGACTCGGGATGATCAGAAAACGGCGGTCGGCAGGAAATCACAACAAAGCTGTCTTAAAGAGCGACAAGAAGAAAGGGCGAATAAAAAACGGAGGCAGGGAGACCGGAGTCAGGAACCTTCCTCAGATCAGGGAAATCGGACGAACGAGTGTCGGGAATAAAAGAAGGTGCAGAATGCGACTCCAACAAGACGTCAAAGTCGATGCGTTGTACGGGAAAGACGGGAGCAAAATCGAGAGGAAGGAGAGGAAAAGAAGGCAGCAACCCAGGAAGAAAAGGGAGATTCCAAGGTGCAAGTTGGAACAGGCCAAGACACCAAGGGCTAGCGGCCCATACCAAGCCAAACACAGCCAATGCCGCCAATTCAGCACTCAAGTGAAAGTGTCATGGATCGGATTTCGGCGCGGTAGGGAAGCCCATGGCGGCCCCCCAGGCACCGCTCCACAAGCGAGCTAGCGAGGTTAGCCAAGTGCCAAGGTATTGGATACCTCCCCCTGGCCCATGGGATGGTGGTGCCTGAAGTAGCTAGTACCCCGGCGCTCAAACGTGCTCATAACCCCCTTGACCACTGCTTCACCAATTGCAGTCTGGCTGCAATCCACCGCCCTTCACCACTTCACTCGTATACCTGACTCCAAACCGCCAAGCATTTTATTCGGCCGTTTATCACCATCTCATTGAAAACACCACGGGCCGCGGCACGGGGCCCCTTTGTTCTAGGCGTTTTTAAATGGTGTCGCGCTAATCTGAGAAAGATCTAAGTCATCCTCCGTTGCAACCTCCTCCCATTATCTGCGGATCCAATACTTTGGGTCGTCCCCTCTGTCTTCCGGAGTCTGGATGAGGTGAGGGAGGGCAATCCCATCTATCTCAAACAGCCAAGTGTGGTTCCTGAAGCTATTGTGATTCTTGGCGGGAATAAGGTTGTTTGTTTACTGACGATCTCCGTCATTCCACCTTTGCGTGAAATTATTTGTGATTTTCAGGGTCCCCATAATATTATATTAAATTTAAACCTCGTATCCTTGCACGACGCCATTCCAACGGCTGGGATGACAGAGGGACACTCCCGTGCCTCTGTGTGAGATTAGATGCTGTCGAGATCTTGGCCACGACCTGTCAAAAAAGCTGTGAGGAAGCTGTAAGGGCTTCTGGTGTTTCTCATGCCACACATTTTTGTTTCACTCAAGCTGTCACAGATGTTAGGAAACGACACCCGAACTCTCACGGGAGATGTACACGAGCGGCAGCTCTGACATGCAGGCACACAGAACCACTGCTGCCAATCTGCACGGACTGTACCTGAGTGGCGATGACGATCTGTGAATCTTTCGGTAGCAGCCGACTCGACATCTTCCCATCGCATTGTGACCTGGAATTTGCCCCTCATTGCTTCCAGTATCAGGCGAAGATTCTCATATCAAAGAATCTGGAATTGCGACCAACTCGAGTAGAGGGTATGACTAAAGACGTTGAGGACGATAGAGATAAACAGGTTGTTATGATCCACTTCATACCGTCATCGATGAGGGTGAGTGCATGCTGTGAATGCCGGCACTTTATAGGGCCATCAAGCGCCATAAAATATGATGACAAAGCAGCCACTCGGCGCCTCCCATCTGGATAACCTCATGTTCTGGAAGCTGCGTAGAACATTCCTTTCCAATGAACCAGTACCGTGCGCATCACCAACCGGTACTTGATTGATTACGAAGCAACGTCAGCAGGTACAACCCGATTGATGCCATCAACCCGCACTTAACAACAAACTCCAAACCTCTCAGGCAGTTGCAAATAGAACAAATCATCATCCCTTTCGACTCATACTCCCTTGATCTTGCAGTCACAACCTTCAACTAAGATCTCATATAATCAGTTCTACTTCTACTCTCCAACCACCAAGACCGTGAGCGGCAATACATAGCACTACGCAACTGTTATCGAGTAATCCATAATATCATCACAATGAACGATTCGGAGCAACAGAGCCAGCCAAAAGGCGCACCGCTGCCCCTCTCGTCAGGAGAGGCCAGCACATCATACATCAACGACGGCGACCACTTCGAAATAACCATCAAGTTCGCCCCCGAGAAGCACTCCCAAAGCTGGTTATTTAGGCAAGACACCACCTTTGAGGACATCCTCATGGCCCTCGGCCACCAATGGCCCGACTACGACTTTCTAAAATCCAAAGCCATCGTCGAGAAGCGCCAGTCACCATCATCAACAACAACAAAGACCAAATCCCTCCTCAAGACCCCAGACGACGACAACCTCCCCATGCAGCTCTACGCCGGCAACTCCCTCCGCTTCATGGCCCCCAAAAAATCAGCCCTAGAATCCCTCCACGCCGCCTCCGCCTCGATCGCCAAGCGCGAAGCAGCCCTCCAAGCCCAGCGGCGCATGGCCTACAAAGGAGGCCAACCATCCGCATCCAGCGGATCCAGGGGCGGCATCCACACCATCAACGGCCCTTCCTCAGACTCGTCCTCCGGCGACACCCGCTTCACCTTCCAAACCATCCGGCCCCTCCCGCACCTCCCCAACCCCTCCCGCAGCCTGTCCTTCCTCAACCGGCTCGCCGCGGACCCCGGCATCCGCGCCGCCATGCGCGCGCACCAGTTCACCGTCGGCCTGTTAACGGAGATGGACCCGGGGCAGTATACGGCCTCCAATCACGAGGGGACCACGCGCATCTTGGGCCTGAACCGCAACAAGGGCGAAGTGATCGAACTAAGACTGCGGACGGACGCGTACGATGGGTATAGGGATTACAAGACGATCCGCAAGACGCTGTGTCATGAGTTGGCGCACAATGTGCATGGGGAGCATGATAGGCAGTTTTGGGATTTGTGCAAGCAGATTGAACGGGAGGTGGAGAGGGCGGATTATACCAAAAGTGGGAGGGTGGTGGGCGGGGAGGAGTATGAGTATGGTGGGCCTGCGCCTGTGAACGAGCCGGATGATGAAGAGGGTGCAGTCTATGATCATGGCGGCTGGACGGGCGGGACGTATGTGTTGGGTGCTAGTGATGCGGTACCGTCGTCTTCGACGGCTGAGTCGTCGGCTGGGTTGACTAGGAGGGAGATCCTGGCGAAGGCGGCGGAGGAGAGGTTGAAGAGGGCGAAGGGTTCGGATCAGGGTGGTGGTGGGAATGAGGATGGGAGTCGCGGGTGAGGGAGGGTGGGGCTATGCTATAAGCACGATGACCTCTTCTGGCTTTTTTGGGGCATTACCATAGCGATTTGGATTTTGGCATAGCGTTTCGGGTACATTATTATTACCTCTACAGGAGGATATATCCATGTATAACACGACATTCATGAAAACAACAATAATAATCCACCAGATATTTCTCGATGCGATGCACTCCTGTCCAGTTTGTGTATGTGACATATCCTCAATCGCCCATGAGCATCGCAACACTACCTACGCTCTGTGAAGTGTGAATCCTGGACTAACATCCGCTCGAGATACCTTAATCTATTACCGCGACCCTATGTGTACCAGCAGCACCCAGAGACAAGACGAGACAAAATAGACCATAATCAGGGAGGGTCTCATGATTCTCTTCCGTCTCTGTTGAGTCACAGAAGAGCAAACCAGAATCCAGAACCTAGATGCACAGTATAGCAGTGTCCATACCCATAGAGCAATCGTAACTCACACCACCAAGACCAAGGACAAGAACAAGAAAAAAAAGAGTACATGGTTGCTAACCAACAGGTCAAAATTACAAGATATTAGTTCCAACTCAGGTTCGATCAGGAATCTAGATATATAAAGGGCCGCTCTTCGAACTATAAGCTGAGAACTCGTATTCCCTTCCCATGCAAGTCGACCCAACAATACATACGGTCATAGGCACCAGGTAAAAGCTTTGGATCCGGTCCGCTTTCCCCTAGGCGAGCCAGTGCCTAGATTTCTACTCAAGTTGTTACCGATCGGCGAATTCCCTGGCATTTTATGCCATTCTTATTGCTGCTCTTCCTCGCCGCTCTATAATTCGAGGAGCAGCCAGAGGGAACGAACACGGCTCATCAAAACCAGACAACAAAATTACCTAAACACCACTCGGAGCACAAACGAACACCATAGGACTTGCCGAGATACTTGGATTGTAGACTCAATTAGATACGTTCCGTATTTAGCTAGACGAGCCTCAACAAGATACACACCATCACCTTACAACCAACGCTTCATGGGTGATCAGCTGAGGTCAATGACACCATATCATCTTTCTCATATGCCGACCTTTCGTCTGGTATAAGCTTTTGTGTATAACTTTCCATGCGAGTTCTCGCTCTATTGGGATCTTCTGTCATGTCCGCATTAAATGCACCAGGATAAAATGAACCAAACCCGCTCCCCGTTCCCTGACCAGAAATGAAATATTTATAATACCATGTGCGCCACACCCATTAGCCTTTTAGGCTTGGAACTCCACCGCACCGCTCTCCTCCCACTTGCCAGGGACCAATGCCAGAGGCACGATACCACTGACGTGCATCTCGGGGCCAAAGATCTTGGCGTTAAGACCGAGCTCTTGTGTCGCAGCCTTGAGGTTTTTAAGACCCTCCTGGTAGTTGGGACCGGCACGACGGACCCAAATCTGAGTGTTGTGCTCAATGAGAGCCTTGCCGTACTCCCTAAGAGCCTTGATGACACCCTTGAAAGTGCTAGCGACGTTGGTGAAGTTGGCAATACCACCGCCGATGAAGAGGACCTTGCCCTTCTCAGACACAGGAGCACGGAGCATAAGGTCGAGAACAGTGCGGGCGTAGTGGTAGGTCTGAGACTCGGTGGGAGCACCAGAGTACTCACCGTAGTTGGCAAGCTCATCAGCAAAACCAGCCGAGGCGATGGCATCGGCGTAGACCACGGAGGCACCACCACCGGCAACAAGAGTCCAGATACGGCCATTGGGGTTCAGGACAGTAAGCTTGAGCGAGGCACCAGTCTTGGCATCAAGCTCAGCAATGTAAGCCTCCTCCTTGGAGAGCTCACGGCCGAAGGGAGCGGGGAACTCAATGGGCGGGCCGGCATCGATGTTGACACCGCCAGAGCTCTGAGCAACAATGCCCAAGGCGGCGGGAGAACGGGCGATAGCCCATTTGTTGCCACACTCGAAGTCGGCCGTTTGGTCGAGCTTAGCAGCAAGATCGAGGAAGTGAACCTGAGCAGAGGTGGCATCCTCGTTGGGAATGACAACCAAGGGGTTGATCTCGAGGTAGGTGAACTGGCAGTCCACGTAGACGGCATAGAGACGGGCAACTGTAAAAGGGCTGTTAGTGCTGATGCTCGAGTCATGCATCCGCCGACCCCGGATGGTGATCGGGAATGGAGAATGTGGGCTCGACGCTTGACAGGGTACCGCCCCGACAGTCCGGTTAAGCTTAAATTGACGGGTGAAACTTACTGAAGTCAACAAGGACATTGTGAATGCCCTTGGGAACATGCTTGAGCAGCGTGCTCGCAAGCTCCTCGTTGGAAGGATATTGTGAAAGGTCGACGGGGATTAGGATCTTCTCGGCCTTCGCATCGACGTCACCGACATCGACACCACCCTCGTGGTAAAAGAGAATCCAGTCACCCTACATGTGCAGTTAGCTTCCGAAACTTTATTTCAAGTCCGACATCTTTTTTGGGGAACCATGTGTTGTGATGGAGTTTGGGTAGGGGTTTGAAGAGGTTTGTGGTGGTGAGGATCGCAAAGGGGGCGGTGGGCGTGTCCCGCTCCACATGAATTGGGTTTAGCCTCCGTTCGTCCGTAGACTGGCAGGGGCAACACAAGTCATGCACACGACTCAAAATGTGCTTCTCATCCCCAATTTTCTCAACCTCCCCCCTTCATCCTCTTTTTCTCTTTTCCCCAAGTATATGAAAACCGAGGCCCGCTGCCTCACGACTTTATTCGGCTTGTATCGGGATATGGATATCGGACCTCTTGGGCTTGGCGACACCCTCATTCGGATGCACTTGCATGTGGGGCCCTTCTGATGATTCGACGGATTGCCAAGACGACTGGAAAAAGCGACAACACTTACATCACGAACGGAGTTGATCTATTTCACGTTAGCGCGCAGTTCATTTGTGGAGGACCTTGGCCAATTCAACAATGGGACGACTTACGTTAATATAATACTCGGTTTCCTGGGGGTGGGGCACGAACGGCTCAACGAGGAACTGGCGAAGGACGCCCTCTGTGTGCTCGACCTTCTGAGGCTTACCGGCGCGCTCAGCAATCCAGGCCTTGGCCTCAGCCCAGGTCTTGTTGAGAGCAAGGAGACCGCTCTTGCCACGGCGCTTGATCAACTGATCGGGCTTGGCGACGAAGCGGGCGCCCTCCTGGAGGAGCCAAGGGTAGGTGACCTCAGCCTGGTTGAGAACACCGTCCACATCGGCATCCTCAGCGAAGTGGAGGGAAGCAAGTCTGGGAGGAGGGTTGTGCTTGGTCGGGTTTGGTAGCGTGCTGGGCTTGATGACGGGGGCACGGGTGAGGTGGTAGTTGAGGATGGCCTTGCCGTCGGCCTCGAGGATGCTCTTCGCAGACATTGTGGTGGATTATGAAGGGTTGAGGTATGTGGAAAGATTTCCTTTGTTCGGTTGCCTGCTTCTGTTTCTGCTGTTAGCACTCCGTGTGAAAGTAAGATCACTGGTCTTTGGTGCAAGTTGCAATTGTGACAGCACACCTAAAGTTGGGAAAGTCGGGAAAGCTCTCAAAACCAGTGAACCATCCACGCAGCTCGAGCTGGTTTGTTTCTTACCTCAAGTGAGGAACACGCAAACAGTCAATTGAGAGTGGTGAGAGACTGTTGTTGTGTTGGACGACAAGAAACTCGATGACGGAGGTCAAAGTCGAGTGTGGATGTTTGGTGGTGAATGGAGGGAAGGGGAGGAATGAAGAGAAGGAAAGGTTGACGGAGGGGGTGGGAAGGAAGAGCGGGAGGGAGTTGAAAGATGAAGAGAGAGACGGGATGCTTCCTTGCCTTTGGATGGGAGGGGAGAAAAAAAGAAAAAGGATCGATCCAAATCTTTTGCCAGACACGGCGAGGGCAGGTCAGAATTGCAGGGACGGCTGGTACAGCTGCTGCTTCTCTGGTCCTGTTGGGGAGCGAGCAGGGACCACCACGGCCAGAAACCACGCCTGAGCAAAAAAGGTACCGGCCCCGCGTCTCGAAACCTTTGGGGATGACCCAAGCGGGTCGATTGCTCGCGAAAGGCCTGGCTGGGCAGGCAATTCAGCACAAAATCGCAATCTCCAGGGCGGTCTGGGTTCCAGGTTCTTGAGGGGTCAGAGGTACCGGTACTTCGCGGGGTACCCCTGTGGATCCTAGTGGGGCAATTACTGTTAAGCAAACCCAGGCTAATGCAAGGTGGGCAATTGTGATGCAGCTCGGTTCTTCCAGCCTTCTGTGTCCACGCAGCCAGTGGCAGCCGTTGACAGCCAACCCAGGACACGCAAGACTGGCAGCTTGTTTGGAAGCAGAGAACGACACACGAATGAGAAGCAGCTCACCATTGCAGACAATTGTCCTCGTCCATGCAGTCCAGTCATTGCAATGGTTTTAGAGAGGCAGTAATGGATTGGTTTGGGCTGCTTTGGCTGCTTGTTCTGTGGCATTACGGATGCCCGATGTTTTACTGTTTTCTTTTACCCCCCAAACCCGAGTGGGCTTTCCATGATATTCGTTTACCCATTCCTCCCCCCAAAAAAGACCCCAAGTGGCCCAGAAACCCATTGGTTGAGTCACGGTGGATGCCGTCCACGATCTATTGATCCAAGCGCAAGCTGGAACCTCAAAGAAAGACGGGGGCGGCGTGGCGCTTGTCGATTACGATGTGGAATGGCCGTGACGGACAGGACAGTTCTTATTTCCATCCACTTGTTCTTGTCCCTCCGCGCCTCTTGGGCGGGCCCGTAGTTGGGGATCGTCCGGTGCCGGCTCCCACTTAGACGCTTGTCTGTGGGTTGACTCCAGTTTCCCCTCTCGTAACTCTCTGGTCTAAAAGCCTTGTATGACGGGGACAGACTAGAGTACGGAACGAGGCACGGGATTCCGTAGTGGAGAGATACGCGATTCTGGAAAAGGAAGCCCGTTGTCGATGTTGTTCTCTTCTCCAAACCGGAAACCCCCCTTTTTGTTTCGTTGTTATTGTGTTCAGTTCATCCGTCATGTTTCTTTGTGGTTCCCCCACATTGAGGTGGCCCAATCGGTCTCCAAGTGGCACGCCCATCTTACCCCGATCCATGTTAATGGCAATGCCTGCAACCTGCCACCCACGCGCCGCCAGGCACGGACAAACTCCGATTATTGATCAAGACTATACTCGGGTTCTGTTGTCTTGACCCTCGTCGTCGTGCACATCGAGGCCAGTCTGCCCCTATTCTGCTTTCCGTTTCGAGAAGCACAAGGTGTTCTTTACAGATCAATTACTTTAGGCGATTGTCTAAGGTAATGGCATAATGGCATGCACTTCCAGGTTGCCAAGCGATGCCAAGGGCCACAAAAGGACCGCAGCTGCCTACCTTTGTCGACGCCGAGTGGAACCAGAAACCCCCCGAGGACCCGCGGGCGCCGCCTTCCACAGGGGTAGAGCTAGGGAGCAATGGCCGCTTCCCAGGGGGCCACCAGATAGGGCAAGGCTTGAGTGGACCCCCTTCGGTCACATCCCCGCACCCAGAGCTCTGATGTTTGGAGTGAAAGATCTCTGTTTGATATCTCCAAAAGCTTTGATGACAGTTTATTGCATGATACCCCAGCTTGGATGAAGGCTAGTTGCTACACCCAAGACCTGTAGTCTGTTGCTGCCTAGTGGCAGATGTCATCTACACTCTTATAATAAACATTTCGTATGTCATCTTGCCCTCCTGGAGGATGGGAAGGATTACTTTGATGCTTATGGAGGGGTCATCATGGTGCACCCAAAAAATAAACATCCGGACTGTCTCCAGCTGTCTGTGGTCGGGTAGCCATGTCGGGGACGGCGAGCATTCCATGCCACACGCAATGCAAATGAACATGGACCACGGTTGCCACGGCTCATCTGCGCCTATCAGGATTGGATGAGGTTTTGCATGCAAGTTACCCTTGGCGGTACCGGTACTTAGGATCACCAAGCTGTGGGGCCCACCGCCTGTCAGCAACGCAACGCACCCGAGTGGGAAAGGAAGAAAAAAAAAGGTTGACCTCGAGCCTGGCCGCCGTTCGTGTTGCGATTCTGGTGTCGCATAGCCATTGAGGTTGCAAGCATCACGGTCCGATCGACCAGGGTCCAAAAAAGAGTTGGGGAAGTCGGCAGTCTTGTTGGATTTGACCACCCCTTGCTGGCCAATTAACTCGACGTCCGCGGCGAGCGAACACCAGCACGGAAGGGAAGACACACGACCAAGACAGTTGAGTTTTGGGAGAGAGTTTCTGGACCTGGGTTTTTGGTCTGGAAATCGGCTGTCAAATTGACTTTGCGGAGCTGCTTCTGCCTCCCCCTCGCCTGCAAACAAGTTGCGCTAGCATTTCTGCCACCCTGACCAACCTTGTTACGTACCCTCAAGATTGTCACCAAAGGGCAGGAACCGACCAGACAAAAAAATACCCTCCCCCTCCCACCTGCTCCCGTCGCCAAAACCCTCCATTTACCTCATCTCCCGTTTCTTTCTTTTCCCCTACACCCCCTCAAGTCGATCCATCTCCCTCATTTCCCTCCTTCTTCCTCTTTCAACTCTCCCATCCCTCACCATCACCACATCAACTCTCCAACTTCACTTCCTTTATACCCCACCATCACAGGAAGTCATCCGCTGGGAGAGTCACCACATTCACATAACCACATTTAGTGAAGATGCCTTCCGCAACGACCGCTAGCACCAACGGTGCCAATGGCGCCTCTGCCAGCCCTGCTCCCGCCCCCTCTGCGAACGACAACATCCGCCGCTTCGCTGCTCCCAGCAGGCCGTTGAGCCCTCTCCCCGCCCATGCTCTCTTCAACGAGAAGACACGATGCTTCGTCTACGGTCTGCAGCCCCGTGCTGTCCAGGGCATGCTTGATTTCGACTTCATCTGCAAGCGCTCCACCCCCTCGGTCGCTGGCATCATCTACACTTTTGGTGGTCAGTTCGTCAGCAAGATGTACTGGGGCACTAGCGAGACCCTCCTGCCCGTCTACCAGGAGGTTCCCAAGGCTGTTGCCAAGCACCCCGATGTTGACGTCGTTGTCAACTTTGCCTCTTCCCGCAGTGTCTACAGCTCCACCATGGAGTTGATGGAGTACCCTCAGATCAAGACCATTGCTATTATTGCTGAGGGTGTTCCCGAGCGCGTAAGTTTTCATTCGTATCCCACCCACCATTGTCTCAGTTCAGGCAGCTAACATGTTCTTAATCAGCGCGCTCGCGAGATTGCCTACGTTGCCAAGCAGAAGGGCATCACCATCATTGGCCCTGCCACCGTCGGTGGTATCAAGCCCGGCTGCTTCAAGATCGGTAACACTGGTGGTATGATGGACAACATTGTTGCTTCCAAGCTCTACCGCAAGGGCTCTGTCGGCTATGTCTCCAAGTCCGGTGGCATGTCCAACGAGCTCAACAACATTATCTCCCAGACTACGGATGGTGTTTACGAGGGTGTTGCCATTGGTGGTGACCGTTACCCCGGCACCACCTTCATCGACCATCTCCTGCGTTACCAGGCCGATCCTGCCTGCAAGATCCTCGTCTTGCTCGGTGAAGTCGGTGGTGTTGAGGAATACAAGGTGATTGACGCTGTCAAGCAGGGCATCATCACCAAGCCCATCGTTGCTTGGGCCATTGGTACTTGCGCCAGCATGTTCAAGACTGAGGTTCAGTTCGGTCACGCTGGTGCCTTCGCCAACTCTCAGCTCGAGACTGCGGCCACCAAGAACAAGAGCATGCGTGAGGCTGGTTTCTATGTTCCCGACACTTTCGAGGACATGCCTGCTCTCCTCAAGCAAGTCTATGACAAGCTTGTGGCTGATGGCACCATTGTCCCCGCCCCCGAGCCTGTTGTCCCCAAGATCCCCATCGACTACTCGTGGGCTCAGGAGCTTGGCCTTATTCGTAAGCCTGCTGCCTTCATTTCTACCATTTCCGACGACCGTGGCCAGGAGCTCCTTTATGCTGGCATGCCCATCTCGGACGTTTTCAGGGAGGAGATTGGTATCGGCGGTGTCATGTCCCTTCTCTGGTTCCGCCGCCGTCTTCCCGATTACGCCGCCAAGTTCCTTGAGATGGTTCTCATGCTTACTGCCGATCACGGTCCCGCCGTGTCTGGTGCCATGAACACCATTATTACCACCCGTGCCGGCAAGGATCTCATCAGCTCCTTGGTCGCTGGTCTCTTGACTATTGGCTCCCGTTTCGGTGGTGCCCTTGATGGTGCTGCTGAGGAGTTCACCAAGGCTTTTGACAAGGGCCTGAGCCCCCGTGAGTTTGTCGACACCATGCGCAAGCAGAACAAGCTCATCCCCGGTATTGGTCACCGTGTCAAGTCTCGCAACAACCCCGATCTCCGTGTCGAGCTTGTTAAGGAGTACGTCAAGGCCAAGTTCCCCTCTACCAAGCTTCTCGACTACGCCCTCGCCGTCGAGAGTGTTACTACCTCCAAGAAGGACAATCTTATTCTCAACGTCGACGGCTGCATTGCTGTCTGCTTCGTTGATCTCCTAAGGAACTGCGGTGCTTTCAGCCCTGAGGAGGCTGAGGACTACCTCTCTATGGGCGTTCTCAACGGTCTGTTCGTGCTTGGTCGTTCCATTGGTCTCATTGCCCATTACCTCGACCAGAAGAGACTTCGCACTGGCCTCTACCGTCATCCTTGGGATGATATCACTTACCTCCTCCCCAGCCTCCAGCAGCCCGGCCCTCCGGGTACTGAGGGTCGTGTTGAGGTCCAAATTTAAAAGCGAATTATATAGGGATTTGGGATGGTTAGACATGGGATCTTTTACTTTACGGAGCGGTTACGGTCATGAATGTTTTCATTTTTTTTCTTCGGCAGGTGGTAGAGGGTCATCAATGAAGGGAAGAGTGTATGACAGAATACGTCATTACCATATACTGGGGAATTTCCCCATAATGCAATCAAGACAGCATCAACTACCAAATGGGTGCAATGTTTTTCGTTACTGTGAGCCGGGATCGCCAACATGCGGGGACTGCTTCACTTATCGTCGAAAGTACATATTGGAATCACGGAAGTCGGGCGTCCCTGTCGTCGCCGAAAGACCGCTAATCGCGAAATCGACCCGAGACACATACTAGCAACACGGAACAACGAGCCAGAGGTGCAGTTCGTAGCGCTGCGTGTCGTCAAGGTAAACTGGATGCTACGCCCCTGGCGCATATCACGAAAGCCGACTGGGTAGGACAAACCCCGGCTGAGATTTTGAGACCTTCTACCGACAATGTTCTATGGACTCAGCGACATACCGGAGGGTTTCCTTTTCCGGACTTTGACGGTGCACAGGACTTATATATGCAGGGCTTATGGCCGCCGAGAATAGGACATGGATCGTGGGGAAACGTCCCGTGGGGCTGTATTCCAAACCGTAAGTAGACAGCTTTCGTAGGATCTCCGACTTGGTCAGGTAGGTACAGGTACAAGACAGACAGGGGAAGAAATCAACAAGGGGGGTCCTCTATGTCCGTAAGTACTGGTACTACGGCTACCAATGCAAGTCATCTCACTCGGCCCCCTCCCTCTAAACGGATCTACCGGGTCATCAGCGGCCTGAAGCGTGTTGTACACTACGTATGTATGCAAGGAGGTTGGACCCAAGGTCCCTAGCTTCGGACACCTGGACCTGGCTTCTGGGGCTTTGTGGTCTGGGGTCAGCAGCGCGGCATGGCGTCTCGGTAATCGACTGAGATAAGGTAAGATCCGAAAGGGATGGGGATGGACCCGACCCGTAGGTATCGTCCGTAGCCTGCCCTGCTGGCCTGTAACCTGTACGTCGTCACCTTGACGGATAGGGTAAGGTGAGATGGGTTTTAGTGTGTAATGGGATGCGCAAGTGGCAAGAATGGTAGTGTAAGCGGGCATGGTCTGGCAAGAATCCCGGTTGGTTCAGAGTTGATAAGCCTTCACGGCCTTCTTCAAGACTTGAGAGGATTAGGTGAGCAGAGCAGGTCAAGATATCGTTGCGTCATGTGAACGTGATGCGACAAACATCGATGATGCTGGGTTGAACTTGTGCACTGATTTCCATGGCTATAACACTTCGCATTGTAAACATCAGGTTATCCTACATCCATACACACAGAAAGCAATGATAATATGTCAAAGTTAGGTAAAGGTATGGGCAGTTTTTTCGCTCTGCCTCCTTGGCAGGTACATGAAAGTAAGGCCATCATGATAGTATCCTCAATTGTGGCTCGGGATCGGAACGACGGAAGGATCATGCTCATGCACTCCATCTGCCATATGTCAACGTCAGGTACCAGTGATGTGAATGTCAAGTGCCAAAGTCATCCGAGCCTTGGATGTGGCAGATTCATAGGAGCATGCAACGGACTATCCCGTCAATTCGTCCCGTCATGCTGGAACGACATCCGATAGGACTTACGAGCGGAACAGAAACGGAAAAATCATGGACCAACAACAACAATAACAGCCTTGTAAGCAAGAATGGTTCTGGACGGAGAACGAGAGAGACATCTCGGTTGTCGACGGGAAGATAGAACGTGATTGGTAAAATCTCAGTATTCCGGACACCACAACTCATCGGGCGGTTCTGAAAGGTTCATAGGTATTGAAGTTCACTCGGTCGGATTATGTGGGGTTCCGATCGGGATCCGGTGATCGCCCGGTGAGCAGATCGAAAATGACCCACTAAGCTCCGACCAGAGCTGCGGATTCGGGCTTGAGTGGAGCACCATAGGTTCGGCGCTCCGGCGGGGTAACTCCGCTGAGTCGGTGTTCGCGGGGCTAAATCGGGGTGGGTCCGGACTCCGAGATACTATACAAGTTGAAGAACCTAAGTCAAGCCAGTAATGATATCCCGATTTATGTCATTGGCTGAGTTTCACAAATGATGATAATAATGTGGAAAAGAAAGTGTTCGTGATGGGATTTAAAACTGGTGACAACACTTTGTCTGCTTGTTCGGCTGTGAAGAGCAATTCACGCTTGCGGATTTCTTGATGTTGACAAGAACTAGAATTGCTTTAACGGCCACGAGAAACTGAGCAATGGAAAAATAACCAGTGACTGAGCACGTATATCCATTCTTGTACTGCCATCGCGACCGACACCCTCACCTACATAGTAAACAATTAAGCGGTCAAACCCGGCAGAATTATTTTGCTCTAGCAGAGTTCCTGAACCGTTGCCCCACTTTACCGCCAATGGACATCGCGACCGGCCAATCGTGCCGCGCAGTGCGCACCCGTAGGCCGTAGCTACCGTCCCCGGCGCCCAGAGATCCCCGGCGGGCCGTAAACACTGAGGAGTCCTACGCTACGAGACGAGGCTACCGACTACCTTCGAGGTTCTCCACGACTTTCTTGATACCCAACCGACCGACCGATCGACTGAACGACGGCGAAGCAGAATAGGACAGCGTTATTTGCGAGGTGCGTAATTGGAACGAACCCTTCCCAGCATCACGACGATTTCCTTCCGGACGCAGAGCGCAACGAATTCGAGATTGAGAAGTTGTTGCGCCGGCGCATACCATATCTCAAACTCAAAAGGGCTTCCAACTGACTCCGTCACCTCCCACAGGCACGCGGCGCTTACATTTTCTACATCCCCCCCAGCCAACAACACCTCCAACAACGACGCCGATAACCCACGAACGAGCCTCGTCCCATCGTCTGGCGCATTCAACAACCCATTCCTCAACCCCGAACATTTGATACCCCAACCAACCCACACACACCCGACAACAACCCACCCACTCAAAAACCCCAACACCGCCAAAATGTCCTTCTTCCGCATAACCCTCCACCGCTCCGCCATCGGTCTCCCCAAGCGCACCCACGGCGTTCTGGCCGCTTTGGGTTTACGCCGGCGCAACCAAACCGTCTTCCACCCCGTCGAGCCCCAATTCGCCGGCATGCTGATGAAAGTCAAAGAACTCGTGCGCGTCGAGGAAGTTGCCCACCGCTTGACCAAGCGCGAGCTGAAGGATGAGCGCAAGCCCGAGACCGGGTTTGTGGTTGAGAAGCAAGTGAGACGGTTTATCCCGGGGGTGGGAGTACAGGACGAAGTGGATTTTTCGAAGGTGGTTGAAGAACTGAAGGCGCAGAAGGTCGAGAATGTCGAGGGTGTGGAAAAGATAGTTGTGGAAGGTGGTGCGGTGGTGAGGGATGGCAAGAGGGCCGGGGATTTGGGTGTGAGGACGAGAAGTGATTGGGAGGTTATTGGCAAGATGAAGAGTGTTTTGCCCAAGGTTAAGGCTCTTTAAGAAAGTCTAAGCTGACAAGGAAGGGGGAAAAAATGGATGAGGGAAAGCAAGGGAGAAGAGGGGAAGGAGGATGCGGAGGAGGGAAATAGAGGTTCGAGAAGGACAGGGAAGGTTGTCGAGACCGCGCCCAGCTAGCACTGCCAAATAGCTGGCTGGATGGGTGGTTCTGGCACTACTACGTTCTGAGCCGGTTGTATCTCTAGATCAGGACGGAACCTCTCTCTCTCTTGAGGATACTGAGCTCGTGTACTCGGTCGGTCTCGAATCTGCCGCTGTCAGGAGGCACTCACTACTGCCTTGCTCGGCTACGCCCGTCTTTCTCGATCACCATTTTGTACAATATTGTATGCTACGGATATCATGTAGTAGGACATCATCGGGAATGGAAAAGCACGTTGGAACAAAAAACGAACCATCCGTGATTCGGACGTCAAGCTGGATATCCCACTTGTGACAAGAAAAAAAACAAAAAAAACGAGCGGACGGAACGGGCCTTAGGGAAGCTGAAGATAAATACCGGTCATGGCCATCACCAGTGTGTGTGTGTGACTCCTTCAGGAACCATAGGTACTCCTACCTACTCATCCCTATCAACCATGCCGGGATAGCATTGGTCATCATTCTCCTTGAGAGAGGTCACAGCAAGCCACACAGGCAAGACACCACGATCACTTCATCACTTCAACCCTATTACAGCAAGCAGCACACACACAAAAAACAATGATGCTATTATCTACCATACCAGTTTCCTTTCTAAAAAAACTCAGAATTTTCCCCCCCCTGTTTCCTAGTGCAATGGAGAGAAGAGAAAAAACGTGTACTCTCAACCTCGATTAAAAAAGGAAGACACACACACAAAACGCCGGCCATCCGCCCAACAAAAGGAGCTTGATGTTTTGGAAAAAAAGAAGAGACCAAAATGATCTGAAAAGAAAAAAGAAAAAGGGGGAACCAGTCACTCAACTCGCTGCCTCCGTCCGTAGCAAGACCATAACCACTGACTGGTGTCTGTCTGATCTCATCATCCTCCTCCATCCAGCCTTAACCACAACACACAACCGCACCTCCACTCAACGAACGAAAAAAAATCCACACCCGAACAAACCCTCTTCCACAAGAACGTAAGAAGCCACCAACGCGATAGCATAGCATGACTGACCCACGGGTACTACTAGCGTAACAACTCAATAGGTTCAATCACCTCAACGGGTCATCTTCTTCTTCGAACTCTTGGACGACGAACCCTGAGCCTGAGCCTCGGCTGTTTCCAGCTTCGCTTTCCGTCTCATTTCCTCCAACACCTCCCTCGGAATATGGTCAAAAGAAGATTCCTAAACGCTTCTAGCTTGGTCCACATACTCCTGGCTGGGCGTCTCGTACTCGCTGACAAAGTACTTGGTCGTGTGGCGGCTGAACCAGTTGGTGAACTTGATGAGTTCCTCGCGGAGGCGGTTGACTGATTGCTGGTCCATGTTGGTTTGGGCGACGAGTTCTGGGAGGGATACTGTAGGAACATGTGTCAGTAAGGAGGTCACGCGAGGATAAAGAGACATGGACACGGCGGCAGATGTATCTTACCTAGCAGACGAGCGAGATGCTCGGCGCCATAAGTGTCGGAGGCGCTCTTGTGCTTTTCGTCCGTGCCGGCAGTCCAAATCAGGTGTTGCTCGTGGTATTGTGCGCGCTCGAAGCTGTGCCTCATTGTTAGTGTTTCATCGTCCAACCAACCAACCAACCAACCAGACGGGACAAGCAAGGGATGCGGGCCACCACTCACCGGTAAAGAAGGATCCTTCCCAGGCACCTGTCAAAGTACTCGCGCAAACCAGCAACAGTCTCCTCCAGGATATCCATCTGTGGCGTCTCTGGTACCCGGTTGGGACGCTCGTGATCGAGGTAGTCCTTCAGGATTTCGTCGACAGGGTGGACATGGGGAATTGGAACCAGCTGCTGGTTCTTGGTGACATTCTCCCAGTCGTCGACGAGCAACGCCTTGACGTGATCTGGTAGCGGAAGCTTGATGGATGGTCGGTTGTGGAAGTTGTCCTCCTAGAAATTGAATGGTCAGCAATGGTTCTTCATCGAGTATGAGTACCATTATCAAAACAGCGACAAAATGCTTGGCAAACATCACTCCTAGACAACACGACGCTTTTGTGCAAAGGACAACCAACGACGTGTTGGCGTGGCTGTGTCGACCCACTAGGGTGCGGCGAAGGCAACGATGTCTGTGCAGATAACTGATGGTCTGGAAGGGTGTGTCCAGACCAATTAGTCAGACTGTCTTCGCCCAACGCCACCCCAGCCTACTAGGGCTGAGATGCTGAGTGGAAGCCATGCGGTATACCATGATAACCAGCGCTTGCGAAGCCATCGTAGCAGAATACCTAGGCAGTGCGATGGGATCCTGTCGCCGTCGTCGGTGTGCGCGCAGTTGTCCGGCAAGTGAAGAAAAACCCACAACCAGCAAACGTACTTTCTCCTTTTCCATGTCCTTCGGCGTAAAACGGCACTCCCACATTTTCTTCCCTGCAGTCGGCTCCATAGGCTTGCGTATCTTTGCGAGTGCATCGAGGAGGATGGTGAAAGGTCCAAAATCTGCTCCATAAGGCGTCGCGACCCGTGTTGGGCTGCGCGAACTCCAGTCTTCATCGGGCTTCTTGCAAGCCTGACCAGCCAAGGGAATGTTATAGTTTGGTGGTAGCTCGCTGTAGTATGCCTCTAATTTCTCGGACCAGTTGCCGTTATTCCTTGCCCTGATGATCTTGGGGTGGTTGGCGCCGATGGGCGGTGGCCGCGTGGATGTCCAGCCCAGCGCGTAGGTATCGTCGAACGTCGTCCGCCCATAGCGGTCGACGTAGGTTGATGTGAGTTTGTTGGGCGGTCGCATCAGGCGATCTGCTGGCTCTGCTAGCTTCGACCATCGCGCTTCGCAGGCTGCAAACGAGCTTATCGAGGATGAGGAGCTGCGACTCTTGGTGTTGTCCAAATCCCGGCCATGGCTACGCATGGAGCGCGACATGGTGATGACTTGTGGCAATCTCGAAATATATGATATGATCCCCTGATGCCGAACAAAGGATGCAACGGCCGTGATGGGATTGGGGAATTTGAAGGTGTCTACCCACAAAGGGATGATGGGGGTAGATCTGATGGTGTGTTGATGTGGTGATGTTTTCCCAAAATTCGTCGCTTGCTCTCCCTGACTGCGATCCAAATAGCCCAAGCGAAGGCGAAATGTAGATTTCCAGGTGATTCCGTGACCGACCAAGAAAGCCGCGTGACCCGGACAAAGGTGAGAGGATGATGGAAGGTGAATGGACACGAGGACCAGCAGGAGGCGGCTGACGATGATGACAAGAGGAAGGACGAATGAGAAATTTGCAGGTTCTCCTTTGTGAGAGCGGAACACAGACAGTTGCGTGTGTCCCAAATCCAGTGAATGTGACAAGCTGCTGAGATCCGAAATCGTGCTGGTGATGAAAAGTGCCCAAAGTGTGTTGACGAGCAGAGGGAGGAGAGTGATGTTGGTGAGTGTAGATTTTGAGAGGTTGCAAGATCCAGGGGTGGCATTTACTCTCTCGCTGCTCTTGCCCAGGCAGGGCCGCTCAGGGTCCCAGCTCCAGATTATGGGTCCGTCCCAAAACTCAGGTTTGGTGCCCCCCTTTCACAACCACAGCCATGTTTGCTGTCCAGAACTACTAGACTTTGCATCATTTTTTCCGTCCTGTTTTCAGGATTCTCATATTCTGTTCAGAAATCCGAGTTGTGGCTTTCTTTATTGTGATTTGTCCCTGTCCCTTTTTCCCCTTCTCCGCATGTCCGATATTTTCTGTGTCGCCTAGCAACCAACACTCCACACTTGTAAAAGGTCGCCAGCGACAACACACGAACGACGCCCTTTGTAGTTGGCCTGCCTGCCCCTGCATCCAGTTTTTCGACCACTCGCGGTCATGAAAGCTGGAGTTATCGAACAGATGTAGAAAGAAAGATATTGCCAAAGTATGCCAAGGATAGAAGACGAAACAGAAGAAGAGAAGAGAAGAGAAAGAGGCCACTTACAGTTTCGAGGTCAAAATCACGAGCCCTTCGCGGGTTACGGTTGTTCTGTGTCGTCGTCCCGGCCGCAGTTCGCTCCTCACTACCGCGGGCAGAGCTGAGATCAGAGCCACCAGGACGGCCTCCCTTCTTAGGCTGCTTGGCCGCCTTACCGGACTGCAGCTGCTTGTATTGGGCGAGTAGCTGCTGGGCGAGATCTTTGTTTTCGTCGTTCAACTTGCGAATGCGGTCCTGCGGCACCCAGTCGTCCCAACTGCTCTTCCAGCCCTTGTAGTGAATCTTGTAGCTCCAGCCATCGCCGCTCTCCGTTGGCTGCACGTCCAGGATTTTGGCCTCATACAGCATCTCCATGTGGAAGCACAGGACGCGCTCATCCTTGGAATATGGAGGCTGGGGCGTCTTGGACGGGGCCATTTTGCTAAATGGCTGAAGCTGTGGCCGAGTGATGCTGGAAAGGTTGATATAATGCTGCTATCAAATGTCTAGTGGAAGCTGTTGGATGGGTGGATCGAGTATGAATGGCGCTCGGGTCGATGATCCTGGGATGGCGGGTGAGGTGCTGGACCAGCGAAAAAATGAGTCGATGGGGATGACGACAAAACGATGTTGTGCAAGGCTCAAGTTCGTTTAGTTGCTGAAACTGGAAATCCCAGGAGATGAAAAATGGCAGGGCGGCAGTTGTCGTCAAGTCAAAGTGGTTGGTTCAGTGAGTGGCCCGGGAAGGTGTACCGAAGCTGCCTGGGAAGGGGTGAATGAAACAATTGATAGTGATCAATGGGTCACGGGACCACGTGTCTTATGCATTTAGCGCGCAGCAACGCGTCCCCTTTGTTGTGCGCCTTCCATGGTTCTGCATTTATTTACTTCTTGTTATAACTGTAAATTACCAAATACACATTTATATGACTAGAATCCACGGACATCCTTTTACAGTTTTTCATTTTCCAAGAAAAATCCGGCGCAATGGCACCGACCGAGACAAAAATCCTCAGCGACTATTTGCTAGTCCCCGCACAGCTGCCTGCAATCATCTCCTTGCAAGAGTTCACTGAGCTTTTCCCGCGATCCCTTCAATCTTCGCCTCAAGTCAGAAATTTGTATCGCGATCTGCAGACACAGAGAAATGCCGTCGTCGACTCAGTTGCGGCCGAGATCGAGGCGGAGGCCAAGCGCGGCAAGGCAATGCGCCGAGTCATGATCAAGGCCAAAAGGGAGGAGGAGTCGCAAGAGAACGATGACGAAGCTGAAATTGAACGGATTGTAAGATTTGAGAACCAACCTCAAGATCGTTTATTTGCAATGGGTAAAAGAGCTAACTAATGGCCCTCGTGGCAACTGTCTGGCCTTGTAGCTGTTTGGCTCGACTTCTGATTCACAAACTTCCAAACATAGCATTGGTTCCATTCTTCCCGACCTTGAAGGCGCCGTGTCGGAGCTTGAGAGCGAGCTTCAGCTTCTTGGAGAGGAAGAGGCAGCACTTATGGCGTCCATTCAACGAACAGTGGGCAGCATGAGCGATCTACGCTACGGCCGCTTTGCTAATGGCCAACTCCGTGATCAAGTGCTCGAGGGGCTGGCGAGCTTGCGCGAGACTTGTAAATCCAAATATTAATCATATTTGTGATATGGAATCGCTCAAGGGTCGACAAACGCGCTGATAGACCTAGCCGAGCCATCATGACAACCCGAATCTACAATACACCTCTCAACCGTACTCAACACTCAGCAAGCCGATAGCCCTTCACCTGTCAAGCTCGGTCCTCTAGCGACCCCCGCGAACAATAACTCGCTCTTCCTACCCACCTTACCCCGCGATGCTGGACAACAACAGCAGCAGTAGAGAATCAACAAGCCGCTGCTGACACTACCACCGATTCATACGCCCAGTAACGAGTCTTTGACCAAGCAGACGCCAAGGATAGACCCTTTTGGAACCGATCCTGCAGTTCGTCACCCTCCTTCGAGTCATTCACGCCAATTGCTCCTCCCAAAAAATTCCAGTCAACATGTTCAAAATCAAATTCAAGCAAATCGTCATGACGGTTGAGACTAGACAAATTGTACCAAATGCTATAACGAGAGCTAAAACGCGTAGCACTTTAGTGGCGAGGTCTACTTAAGAACGGCCATCACCAGGAGCAGCACCACGAGCAGGGTTGGCAGGGCGGTTCTGCGCGCCACCCATGTTGCGGTTCCTACAACCAGAGAATACGTGTTAGCATCCGATAAAGTGACGAACGTGATTGGTTTACTCACATTATCGTCCTGCTGAAGAAGGAAACAAAGAGCATCATGGCCCACGAGGGGATGATGCTCAAGTAGTGGAGGGCGTAGGCAATGGGGACCGCCAGGTTATACTGGGCAAGGGTACCATCGAAGGGGTGGAGCGCACCTTCGATGAGTTCCATGCCGGCGGCCTCCTTGCCCTCCGTCCTTTCCTTATCGAATGTCTCGAGCAGATCGGCCGCGGTGATGGTGGTGAAGTTCAGGCGCTTCCAGTAGATGTCGACGGCGGCGGGCGGGGGGAGCATCTCGAAGACCCAGAGGGACGAAGCACCAGCGGACCAGACATTGCAAAGGACAGGCTCCTCTTCACAATCGAGGATGGCTACATGGGGAGAGTTGGGGATAGTCGAGAACTTCTCCACCGTCTCGCCGAAGGCCTCCTCGACGGGTCCGCAGCGGCCTGTGATCAAAGAAACCAGTCAGTTCTCCACGCTACTTATTTCTGCCAAAGATTCATCAGGGATGGGAAGGTTCATACCAAAGCACGTCTTGTTACCACCAGTAACCAGCACCCACCACTCCTCGGGGGTAGTGGCATCGGGCTGGACGGGAGCATACAACGTGTCCTTCCAGTTCGCGAGCGTGAGGCGCTCAATATGCTTGGGTTCTACCGGGCTGCTGGTGGCAGACTCGGTGTTGGAGACAACGGGCTTCTGCTGAGGAACCTCAGCCGCCTCGGGAACGGCAGCACCACCGGTAGTGCCAGCGAAGCTTCCGAGGAAGTTCTGGAACTTGGCCTTGTACTGGTCGAGGGGACTTTCGGCGGCAGCCAGAAGAGGCAATGCCAGGATGGCGGCGGACGTAGAGAAGCGCATTGTGTCTTGACTGTGGAGAGAAACCGTGAAGCTCGACTGGGACCGTAAAGAAAGTTGGACGGAGAATTAAAAAGAGTATCAGATGTCAAGCTGTCTTTTTGTTGTTAGCTCCAATAATGTGATGTAAGGACACCCGTTCTCAACGGATGCAGCAATGAGGGGCCTGGAGCGAGGGCTGGACGTATCAGAAGAGAGCCTGGGGTCTCCAGTCTGTAGCTCAATGCGGGCGGGTGGAGTAAGATATCGGTGATCACAGAACGGGAGAGAAGGGGACGAAGGGACTTTGTACCTTTGGTTGTATCGTTGTATAGCTGACAATGTTATTGTAAACAAACAGAGGAATTTTCTCCCTAAAGAAGTCACTGGCAACTGATGGGGAGATGGCGCGTTGCAGATGGTAACTGGATGGACAATGACACGAGCACAAGAGTCCAACAGGAGTTCGAAAGAAGCAACAGATAACTCGGGTTTTATTGACAGAATTGAGCATGTCGCCGCCTTGTTCTTGGCCCCCCTTCCCAACGTTGCGATACAAACGGGGAACCGTAGCAACAGAAGCAGGTGTCAGGGGGGAACTGAGACCCTTCTGTTCACACTTCACAGCAACCGGCCGCCCAACAACTGGAAACTGGAACACGGCCCGCCCCCCGGATTCTAGGCAGAACCCCACAGCGAACCCCAACCCGAGGATCCTGTCATGCCTGCCAAGTGATGTGAGCCAAGCATGCCAAGTATGCCAAGATCCTTATCAGTTATCATCTAAGCGCGCGGTGGGTATCAAAGCACCAGCCACAGTAACATCATCCGATTGCGAGCTGTCACCACTGTGGCTTGCTTCGAGGGGCAATTACATATTATTGGTACCTTGACGACCTCACCTTCAACACTCAATCATTCTATCCATATATACCGACGGCGCATAACTGTTTTGTTTCAGATATGGTAATTTCAATTGATTCCCCTCCAAAATTGACATGCTAACTATCATAAAAGGCGCCCGAGATACCAAATCAAAAGAGGAAACGCGGTCGTCCACCCAACGCGTCCAAGACAGAAGACGCGTCGGGGCGCGCAGAGGAGACAACAACAAGAAGACCGAAGCCAGCAGAGAAGACGCAAACTGAAGAGGCAGAAGGCACATCCAATCTGGGGGCAAAGAAACGAGGACGGCCTAAGAAGACGCTCGATACTGAATCCCTAGAGGAAGAATCCACACCTGCTGCTGTCGAGAAGCAGTCCAAACGAGGCCCCAAGGCTAGAGAGGAACCTGTCGCGGAGGAACCGCCTAACCCTAGGAAGAGAGGGCGACCACCCAAGGACCGTACGGAAGATGTCAGTACCGACGCGCCTACAGAGGAAACGAGACCACGGAAACGGAGGAGGCCCTCTCCTGCTGCCGAGGAGCCAGTAGAAGACGAGGATCAACCGGATTTGGAACCAACCAAGAAACCAAGAGGGAGGCCGAGCAAGGACACCGGCAAGGTGACAGCGAAGGGCTTGCGTGGCGGAAAAGAAGCAGCGACGGCTGAGGAGGAACCAGCACAGAAGGAGGACGTCCGCCGAAGTAAAAGGTCAACCAATCCAAGTCAGCATTCCTCGAAAACAACTCAACGTGGGAAGGAGAATAGGCGAGATCCATCAGCACACCAGGACAGCAGTCGCTCATCACTAGCCGAAGTATCCGTCTCTCAAGCTCAGAACCGGACGTCTCCTCCGCAGAACGAGCAGACCACCAAGAGCAGGAAAGGGAAGAAGGTAGCCGAAGCCGAGGGCGCAGATGTCGAGGAGGAGGCGCCAAAACGGCAGCGTAGAAGGGGTCAGGCTGTTCCAGAAGCAGAAGATTCCCAACGTCCTGAAGCGGCACAGAAAAAGAAGCGCGGACCAGCACATCGTCCCCCCAATGCCACCATAAGGGAGAAGGCCGTACCTGCGGCCGCTGCTAAGAAACAGCGGGCAGAGAAACGGTCAGCCAAGGACTCGGATACGACCACCACGGGACCAGCTGAAAAGCCGCGACGACGGAAGAACGCCGAACCAGACGAGAATGAAGAGCCTCCCGCTCAACAACAACTCAAAGAACCAAAGGAGAAAGCACCTCCTGTCCCCAAATACCGCCACCTCACTTCCCGCACTCGCCAGATCCCCCGGTCCACCATGGCCTCCAAATGGTCACCGCTCGACCCCCCTTCCATCGCCGCGGTAGACAGCATCATCGCCGACGCCTACCGCCCCATCCTCTTCCGTCTCCGCGAAACCCGCAGCGACTCGAGCCGGCACGCGCACGCTCAGGACATCCTAACCACCTTCGCTTCGCGCCTACACAAGAAGCTGGAAAAGGGCATGCCATTCCCGCCACCCTCCATCCCTTCTGTCTCCAAGCAGCCGAGGGACGTCAGCGGCGAACCAGCAGGCGCAAGTCACGAAGCGGAGTTCGACTTTGAGAAGACTGTCAATGCAATCCAAGCGCTCGAGAGGACGCTCGATCCACTGCTACACTCCGTCGCCCTCCTTAAGCGGGAGAAGGAGAAGGAAGAGCAGGAGTTGGAGCGGGCGTACAGGCGGTTGAGAACGCTGGAAACGAATGCGCGGACGCAATCGAGGGGATGGAGGGAACGCGGGAAGCGGGACCACGTGTTGGCGCCGGGGATACGGTCTACTGGACCTGGTGCTGCGAGGGAGTGGGATGAAGAAGGGGAGATTGAGTTGGTCAAGAAGCCCACGGAGGAGAAAACAAGTGGGAGTGTGTTCAAGGAGATTGAAGGAGATGAAGAGCTTGTCAAGGTGGCCCAGCAGTTGGGAAGCCATATGGAGAGCATGAGAGGGAACTTGGAGCAGATTGAAGGGGTGGTGCCTGCTATGGAGAAGACGAAGGGCGCGCTGCAGGGTGTTTTGCAGAAGTACCTCGATGAGAAACAGTATGAGCAGGTTGTGTTTGGGTAAGGCGTCTGGGTATAGCGGTGTACTATCGGGACATGATTGTTAATGGGCGTTGGCGGAGTTGTCCCTGGATGGATGATATCCGGACTTGATGTCCACGAGTCATGAAGAATATTGTATGTTTGTTGATCAAGCGATCATCTTTCAACAGCGTAGGGCCATCTGTTTGGCCATTTTGTTTTTGGCGTGCCAGCCGCCATTTGTTGAACTAAGACAAGTGAGCTGATGGGTCTAGGACGCATTCTAACACAAAAGCTGACTAGAAGACACGGGTATTATGCTCGTCTCTATATGCTTGTGGCGGCAATTACAACAGTGAATCTCGTGGAGAGATTGTGTTTCCTTCTCCCCCCTTTCTATCCTCTTATGTTCGATCCCTTTATGTGCCCGTTCTAAACCCTCGGTTTCCCAACGCCAAGAATGCAAACAAAACAAAGCAACATTCGTCTATCCAACCCGACCAGGGGTTCTCTCGATGACCAAAGCAAAGCCATTACGACGTCTTCTTCACCAACTCCGTCTTCACCCACTCTTTCCGTCCATGATCAAAGTGGTGTCTGTCACATCAAAAAATCGTCAGTAAGTCTTGCCAACTTCTTCACCTCACACACCCAACCCAAACAGCGCAGCACAAAAGAAGACGGGAAGTAGTACTCACCCAGCCCACGTCTCCCCCGTCAAACTCCTGCCCCCATACTCCTCCTTCAAAACCCCCTCCACATCCCACGGCACCCACGCCTCCACGCCCTCAAACTCCGTTTTGCGTAGTGGCCAAATCTGTCTCGTCCCATACCCATGAAAATTCTTATCACTCCACACCCCCGTCCCCCTCCCCCCAGGGGTCCCCTTTTGTTCCCGATCCTCACTCAAACCCGTGATATCCACATACATGCCATTCTCCATATCAATCCATCTTGCATCAATCACATTCAGTCCCTCCAACCGCGTCCGCTGCGCCCAATACGGATTGACATCCAACAGGTACTTCTTCACATGCACCTCCCCCTGTTTCCCCAGTCCTTCCTTTTCTTCTTGTCCGGACAAGGTGTAGACATAATCGAACGTCGTCCCGTTCCACTCCCTCGCCATTTCTCCCAGTGTGGAGTTGGAGACTTGAACATCGAGATCATAATCCCACGGCATGATCGCGCCGTTCCAGTACCACCCCAACAGCGTGCCGTGCGCGAGCCAGGTTGTGAGACTGCGGGACGAGGTCATGAGCAGGTAGGACCGGATGAGGTGGCGCAGGTGCACGATGTGTGGGTCGTAGGGGACGGGGGTGGTGAAGTAGCGGGTGTCGTAGTGAGAGAGCTCTTCGGTGTAGCCGGGTTCGTGGAAGTATTTTTGTTCGGGGAGGAGGGGGTTGGTGTTAGTGTTGGTCGTGTCATCGGCGGGGGTTGTTTCGGCTTGCGCTTGCGCTTGCGCTGGTGCTGCGACTTGGACGGGGCGCGAGAGCGGGCCGGGGTGCGCGGCGGCGGGACGGGCAGGACGGGCGTTCGCGATGGAGCCGCCCCCGGGGAAGCTGCGGCCTTCGATTGGGAGGGGGTTGGCGAGTGAGGATAGGATGAGGGACAGGAGGGCCATGAGGAGGGTCAGTAGGCGACGACCCTTCCTCGATGTCGTTGTCGCTTGTCTTCGTTCTGGAGTTAGTGAAGACGACATCTTTGCGGTTTGAATTGGACAAAGTGTAAGAGGGCCGCTGGCGTGAACGAATGTCAAGCTGTCGGTATCAGCGAGAGATGGACAGTAATGATGGATGGGTTGATCAGAAGAAAAATAAAGAGTGAAGGTGGTCAGATGTGAATTGACTTTTCCAGATCCTTTGGGAGTGTGCGCCGGAAGACCGGATGAAAGTGTGAACTCAGGTCTGACCCATAACTGATCGGATGAGGAACTCAAGGGGAAGGTCTTGCTTTTCCCAGCAATCACAGAAGAGAATGCTTTCAGCTTTTAAACGCTAGCAGTAAAATAAAACATGAATCAACGAGTAGTGAACTGCGAACACACAGTTAGGTTAGTAGAAACGAAACAAAAGCACGCGACAGCTTGCGTCACCGTGAAGGGCCGATGAAACGGTGAACGGAGTCATGAAGCCGGGGAACCCTGTTCATGATTGCGCGGCCTGGCTCCACGGATATAAATGGGAGCTCGGGAACAACTGACTCGGCTATGTCTAGAACCGGCTACCCCTGATTGACGGATATAAGTGGTAATGTGTCGTGTGAGGAGATATACGCGCGTTTGTGGTTAGCGAAGGTGGGTATGATGGAAGGATTCGTAAGTACAGGTGGAAACTAGGTATGATAGTAACAAAACTTGGTGAGAAGATATGTGTAAATGATGAAGATCTAGGTACGGTTAAGGGGGGAACTAAGGATGAACGGCTGAGCTTGAGATCATGTTACAGACTCTGGGACAAACTATTGATGCTTGGGGTATCTAACTGACTGTACAAGTGACTTGGATTGAGAAATGTCACGATAGTTTGGTATACAAAGCGAAGAAGTTTGAGAGAAAGGAGGACAAGAGCTTGAGATTGACGAAACCCAAGCAATGAACAATCTCATCAGATTCTAAACAGGTTCTGAACACACTCGATCGCTTACATAGCCCAGTTCATGCCATGTCAGATTTCACTCCATGCTGTTATCGTTTCATCGTGGCTTTTTCCTGTCATATGATCAAGGTACATCTGGTGTTCGCCGAACTACTATCATTTCAAAATCCCTAACCCTGAGCCGCTTTCGGTACAAACCACCGATGAACAGACCTCAACGCACAGGTGAACGTGCTCATGCACCCTAAAGCGAGCCACTTGATGCCTTTGACAGATGGCAGGACCACCTGGTGGCAATCGGTTCCTGCCTGTCAGGGCAGTTTCTCCCCTACATCGCAGGGCATTCCATGTCACTTGCCGGTTGCATGCGGGAGGTACCGTAACATGGTCGTGCCTTTGTCATCATCATCCTGCTTATAGTCGGTCATCTTTACTCCGTCTCGGACTTCGTGCCATCAATCATCCGTTGTGCAACCAGTCACCCTTACCCTGCAGAGTTGGGGAAACAGACAGGAACTGACCTCCAATCCCCAACGGGTATTCTTGTACTTCATCTCATCAATATTGTAGAAATGTTTTGTTTTGTTCTACTCCTACACTAGATACGCCATCGCGATTAACTTGCCCCTGACACCGCCATTAGACCAAAGTCATTGCTCCAACAGCCAGTACCAACGCCTTGCTCCTTCCTTTCCACTACCCATTTTCCCATTTTGAAAGCAAACTACCAGACCGATGGGGGTATCTTTGATCATACATCATTTATCCATAACATTCATTCCATGAAGCAGGAAGGAAGCACACTCAAAGGAAATAAGCTTCCCATAACGCCGCGAAACGAGAAAAAAGAGAAAACCAGCACAAACGAGTTGAAGGCCAAACTCAAAAGATCTTGGAACCCGGATGAACATCCTCCTCATACGCGCTCGGATCCATCTTGATGATTCCCTGCGACGCCGATCCCTTCAAGTGACCACCACCAGTAGCAGCAGCAAAAGTGGTGAACCGAACCGGGCTAGAGAGCGCATGGTTATGACCACCGCCGGCACCGGGATGGCCAGGAGCAGTGTTGTGTTGACGATGCTGATGTTGATGCTGATGCTGATGCTGATGCCACTTGTTCGACTCACCAGATGAATGGCCACCACGTCTCACTGGACTCTGACTCCGAGTCTGGATCTGAGTCTGAGTCTGCGTGTGGTTCATATCCCGTTCCGGAATCGGCGACGGCGGGCCCTGATACTGCGGCGCACCACCAACCCAAATACCATCACCCGAAGTTGTAGTATTTCCCGACTCCCTCTGCTGTTGTTGTTGTTGTTCATTCATCGTCGTCTCATCACCACCATTACCACCATTACCAGCAGCAGCGACCTCAACCATCCCCCTCTGCACCTCCCTCTCCACCACCGCCCTGAAAAAACCAATACACTCCCCCAACTTCCTCTCCTCCGTCTCTCCGGCACCTAAAAGTCCGCACAGCGCCCGCGCTCCAACAAGCTGCTTGGCCACTACCGTGTCCGGCTGGCAAAATGTCCTGATGCGCATCGCTCTTGCATCCGTCTTGGCGCCGTCGACGATGCCCAAGATGGCAGTGGTGTTGGCCGCCGCGGGGCCGTAAAACTTGAAGTCGTTGACGTGTAAGCGGACAAGATCGAGCTGTGTTTCGAGGTCGTACCGGAAGGAGACGACGCGGGGCCGGCCTTTGGATTGCCAGGTGTCTGAGATGCGGCGGGCTTTGTTAAGGTCGAGAAGGCCGAGCGAGAGTTGGGTGGTTATGTAGGTGTTTAGGAGGGTCGAGAGCAGGAACTCGAGTTCGCAGTAGAGCAGCGATTGCTCGCGGGGGGTGAGACTGATTTGTAAGGTGCGCGGGGAGTGGGGCTTGTTGGAGTCGTGGGAGGAGCGTTGGTTGTTGTTGCCCTGCTCGGGGAGCGGGGCGGAGACAAAATCTTTGGCTTTTTTGACGAGGTTGTCGAGGAATCCGGTTTTGCGGACGGGAGCGGCGGTTGAGGGTTTCTTGTTGGGGCCGTTGGCGGCGGCGGCGTTGGGTTGTTTCGGGTTCTGGGCGTCCGAGGGACGGGAGGTAGACTCCAACCAGCCGTTTTCGCCGATCAACGTCTTGGAAGCCATGCGGATGTTGCGGTTGGGGTCGTTGATATTGTGGACTGGAAAGAGAGGAGTCAGAGCTGAGTAGTGGAAGTCGTCTGTGGCTCCGTTTGAGGAAGACTGGTTGGTTCCTTGGCCGGTGCCAGGGCGGTCGGCGCTGTGGTTGGATAACTTGGTGGGGGCGCGAGGGACTTCTGAGCCCTGGTTGTTCTGGACAGACTCGGAGTTGACCCAGTTGCTCCAGTTACCGTAGTCCTGGAGGATGCTGAGAGTCTGGGAGTATGCGCTGTCGTTCTCTTTGTTGTCCTTGACGACATGTAGAGGACTGATCTGGGAGCGGAAGCGAGGGTCGGGAGCGGGAGCCTGCTCTTGCTCCTGGGAGTAGACGGAGGACTTGTCGGTGGCTACAATCTGAACAGCCTGGGAAGCCACTCGCGCCTCGGGCTCGGGAGAGTAATGGATGACGATGGGTTCACGCTGGGCCGTGACCTTGGCGTGGAGACGAGCAATGTCGGTGTCGATGGGAGCAAGAGGGACACGATCTTGGCGACGCCTAGAAGGAGACGGAGAAGCCAAGCGGAACGCAGCTGCCTCGGTAGCAGTGTCGGCAGCAAGTTGCTGTTTCTGATGTTCTTGTCTCTGTCTGCTAGCGGACTGAGGAGACATGCATTGCTGCTGTTGCTGGTGGTGGTCTTGCTGCTGCCTCTGTCTGCTCATAGGCTTGGGGGAATCGTACCGCTGATCCCACGAGACCTGGTGTTGATGGAACTGCCTCTGCTTACTGTCACTCTGCTTGCTGGCAGGTTGAGGCGACTGGTAAGAGTCGGAGTCGTAACCAAGCCGACGCTGCTCGGAGGTCTTCAGACCCGTGCCTCTTCTGACGGGCGAAGGCGAGCGCTGTCTGGGAGGGGTGGCGACCGCCTCTTGCTGGTTCTTTCTTCTCTTCGCGGGAGAAAGAGATCTGAATCTCTGCTTGAGTGTCTTGTGCTCCTTGGCCTTGGGCTTGACTGAGTCAGCGACCTCGGATTGATAAACTTCAGGCTGAGGAGCCTGGCGGCCGCGAGATTCTGGCTCCGTATCGCCATCTTCGGAGAGGCTTCTGAAGGTTAGTATTGGCAATTTCACAGTATATTTGCTGATTTGCTTACACTTTGGCCAGCTTTTGCATCTGGGATTCGGTCAAGCTGAGCTGCAAGAAATGTTGGGATTTCTGAGAAGGGTAACCTGTGTGCTCAAGGGTAGGGGAGCGACTGCGACCGCCCATCGACTTGGAGACGGGAATAAAATTGCCACGAATGGCCTTGCTGTCGTGTGCATACATGGTGAGCTCGTTGTTTTGCTGGCAAGAAGCAATGTCGAAAGATGGTCGAGTGACTGACGGGATATTAGTTATATCCGGCGGGGGTTGACGCGTCGTGATGGACGGTTGCTGTTGTTGGGATACCTTCGTGTTTTGTTCCGAAGGATGATGATGATGCTGGTGATAAGTCTTGTCAGGGAGGAGGTCAGGCGTGATGTGTCCTTTTCTTCGCAGCGGAGGGGGATTCGATTTGCCTGAAGAGAGGGAAATGTTGCTCGCGACGGGGCTAGGTAAGGGGGCAGCAATAACTCCGGGAGTAGGAAGATCGGTGACCCAATCTTGGACTCGGTCCATTTTGGTGCAATGATGCGAATAACGCGACAATAGCAAGCAATAGGGTGGGTTGTTTACTATTCTGGCCTATTCAGACCGGTGGGGTATCTATTGTGATTGTCCGGCGGGGAGCTGGCACGAGGAGCGATTGTGGAAAATATTTTTTTCGAAACACATGCGACCAAGGTCATTGGTCAATGGCTGTATCAAGATCAGGTAGAAACTCAGGACGGCCCGGCAGGAGGAAGGAACGGACTCGGTCGATGTGGGGTGGTCGTCCGAAGATTGGACTCGGGAAGAAACCTTGGCCCTTCAATGTCAGAATCTGGTCGCCCCGGTGACGGTGAAGGCCGGGACGACGCCGTAGTCCCGGCCAGAACCCCTAATCTGCCCTCGAGCCCCTATCAAAAGTACATATCACTGTAGATATCATCTACAACCTGTCAGGTCTTGCGATAGTTGACACATGTGTGACTACTTCCGTTCTTATATTGATGCAGGTTGTTCTTCAGGTTCACGCTTTTGCTCCTTTCTCGACCGCCATCTACCTTTGCCTCTGGTCGTCATTTACACATTACCCCCACTCGTATTTTTACAGGACAACAAATCGTGCACATGTCGAGTTTTTCATGTAATTTTTGCTGAGTGTCTGCACGTGGTAGGTGTCTCATCAGTACTTCTTTGAAGCGCCAGAGTATTCTCAGCTACACATGGAAGCAAAACATCAAAATATCTTCATTTAATCCGCCAACCCTCCCAATTGAGAAACATCACAAAATCCTGTGACTTGCATTGCTGGCTCCTTGTTCTGTCTCCTGCAGTGTTGCCCTGCATCTTCATCACTCAAAGACGTCTTGTCCAGTTTCTCATGTTGATCCGGCCCTTTGCAAGAAGTTACATCGTAACAGAACTAAAAGATCCCATTGTTTTTAGGACATTCTACAACTCAGTAGCGTTTGTTCTTACTGGAGACACATGTGTAAGGCGCAGGACTCAAGTGTCTTGTCATCTCAAACTTGTTGCATTCACATGTCGGCACGCCGTCCCAGGGTGCAAATGCTCAAAAGGGTGTATTCTTGACCGGCCAAGCACTGCGTACCGTTAGCCCGTTGCAGATGTCTCTTTGTGGCAATATAATTGCAATCGCTGTTGGTGTATTAACCTGTTGATGACTTGGTCGTGAACCTCTCGGCAGTGTTTCTGCGCTTCGATGACACTAATGGGGTTTTGGCTTGAAGGGAGGGAAACTGGAATTCTTTTTCTTTGTACGAGAATCTCTAGCGACACTGGATGCTTCACAAAGTTGGTACATGTATCATAGGCCGGTGATGAAGACACTGCGTCACACCGGCGCGAGGGAGGAGGTTTCATAAGGAGCGCTCCTTCCAAGGCAACTTCGAAATATTTTTGCCTCTCTTTTCTCCTTTTTTCTTCTTCCAATTTTGCTCTCCCTGAATCACTCTTTTTTTTATACGCCTTACCAGCCGTGTTTGAGAGCAAATGGGGAATGCAGAGTCTCCAATCGCATTCGTTCTCCTCAAACATGAAGTTGCGGCTCAACGTATGGCACTACTTCGAAGCGCCCAGAAGATGATTGATCAGGCACAAGCCAATACCCGACGCAAACTGATATGAAGACGGCAAAAGCAAACTCGTGATATACCCTCCGCAACAGGCACAGACTACCTACCTCTACTTAGTCTTCAGGCAGCGTAGCCTTCGAGTCTTTACAAGTCATCGCAACAGAATGCTTTCACTTCCACTCGCCCTGGTATGCACGATAACACACGCAACTGAGGCGCTACAGGGGTACACGATCAAACCAATCTCGTCATATGGACACACTGATGACGAAGCTACGAAGATTGAGCACGGCTCAATATAACATCAATCGCTCTAGTGACTGACCGAGCATAACGGCTCTGCTTCTTCTATAGGCCTCACAAAAGGATAAGACGGGCGATTCCAGGTAATACCACCGAGCTACTTTAACAGCCACCGCGAAGGGAGCTTTACGAACGGAATCATTGATTACGGCCCAAGATATTCGAGGTCAAACTCTCCGATCGCCCACAATTCGCAAGCCCCAGGCATATAATAAAAAAAAAAAATAAAAAATAAAAAAATAAAAAAAAGTGGACTTACAGCTTCCGGGTTCGAACGCGCAGCGTCCACGAGAGCCGGGGGAAGGAAAGGAAGGTGGGGGGCCGATAACCGTGCCCGCTGCACCATCCTACCAGCTTGCCACGGAAGTAATCACGGGGGAAGTAATACATATACCCTACTACAAGGGCTGGATTGCGGGCTAGATGCTGTTGAACGATCTTCGTGTTGTTTCAATGTCGGCCTGCGACAAATCACGGCACATGAGTAAAGGCCCAGTGCTGCCTGCCACTGAGGAAGCATCGACGCCCCGTTTCTGATGGAAACTTTGCGAGTGAAAACACTTGATTGCCCCTTCCACCAAGTAAATGAGTCGTCTTTACCCGCCGAGGACCAACTGGTTAGCCCGGTTTTCACTCCGTCGCCACTATATCAGAATCGACCGTGGCCTCTGGTGTATACCTACCTAGGTAAGCTTCTAGGAAGATCACTCCCGCCCGTCACGGTGGACGGAACACAGGAGTACCAGGAACCAACCCCGTGCTGCCAATGATGAAGGATTTTAGGCCCGCTGTCAACTCGTGGATAATTAGTTGATCACTCCTTTGAGTCCTTTACCTCAGGCCTGCCCGGGGACGGTTACATAAGGTACTCATAAAACCCCATCCTTGTCTCCTCCCGATCTGTCTGTCTTTGCCTTCCATGTCTCTCACCTCATCTCTCGATCTTTATCCAAATGAACATAAAACTGACGGCGGACGTAGGTAGCTGCTCGTCAAACGCAGGCCAGGTAACATACCTCTAGGTAGATAGGTAGAGTAAAGTAGGTAGATTGGTACTTTCGTGTAATTAACGGCCGAAAGGCCAAAGGGACTCAACTCCGAATAGTTTTCTCGGATAGTAGCATAGCCCGTGCCATGTCATGTCATGTACTCGTGGAATTTTTTCATTTGCCATGTGTTCGTTTACACAGATAGATGTAGAAAGAGGCAAGGGGTAAGTAGGTAGGTATTGTCATATTACGACATAGTAAAGAAAGCGGTAGTAACATTGATCTGCCAGGTAGCATGATTTTCAGACTGTTTACAACATTCCGACGGATCGTGGATTATTGGAAGCTTGAGCTCTCCAAGTGCATAAGGTAGGAATCCACCGATCGGTGATGAGGATACTGGCAGAATGGGCAGGCAGCAAGCACGGGCGAAAAAGCCCCAGGGTAGGTATGCGGAACCCTCGATGCCAGTGCCCGACTGGAACGATGAGAACGGCTGAACATGAACCGGAGACCAGGGTGTGTCACTAGAGTCGATCTACCTATCTAACTCTCTACCTAGAGGTATGTACTGAGTAAGAAGGTACCTAGCCGTTCTCCCTGTTTGTTTGTTTCTTTTGCCTCGAAGCCCCCCTGCTCTTTCAAGATAACTATGAGCGCAAGAAGAGGTTGTACATTACCGGCAAGCTTCCCCGGTGTCACATTGTGTTTGCGTCTTTTCATACCTCTATTTACTAGGTACGTACCACGCAACATTCACGGAGGGTGATGAAAAAGGGGATAGAAGGTGACAGGACGAGGGAACTGGGAGGAATGATGAAGTGACGGGATGATGTGGACTACCTCTATGATAGTGAACCTGTCGGGTTTTACGTGTGGCCATTTCCTCTGAAGTCCACTTACTGGTCATGTCTTGCGTCGGTTTCCTGATCCAGTCGATCACTTCGCTCTTGTCGGGGGCTCGGTATATCCGGACCTTTTTACAGGGAAATGCTTGTGCTGGATCTGTCGATCTTTGCGGGAGCATCACAATCAATCAACGGGATGGTCATTGGAGATATCAGTATATATATCTAGTCCGGGAAATGTTTCGAGCCGCCATACTTTTCTTGAACTCAAGAAATCAGACTCCCGTTTCGTTCTGGCTGTCACTTACACCTGATAGCACGTAAAGGACCGACGCTGTGGCTTATAAAGAGCGATAGCCTTGTAAGCCCAACAGCTCCGTACGTCCGTACGAGTGATGGACTCGGAGAACTCGGTCGACAACCAAATGTACCGAACTCGAATCCGTTCCATGGACGGACGGACGGTTTCCTAAATAAAAGTCCCTATGATCCTTCACATGCATAGCATCTTGCTATATTACCCGGCTCCTCGAAAAGTACCCATTATTGATGAAGACACCGTGGTCGAGACAGCTGGGTGGATGACAACTGGAGAGATAGACAGAGAAGAAATCACACCGCCAGTCGGCTCGGCCCGAGAGAAATCTCTCACCTGACCGGGCCAACGGGTTGCCAACGGGTTGCCCAAAGTCAACGGTTCTACCAGATGTCTCAAACCCCGTCAGACAGGCAAAGCAGGCAGCCGGTGGAATGGCAACTCTTGTCTCGTAGCCCAAATATCGGGACCGAGACATTGTTCACCCGTTGTGAAGCCTGTTGTCTTGTCCGCGCCCAGCAAGCCACCAGCCACACCAGCTACAGCCGCACGCGACGGTACCGGGTCCTTCAAGCCATCTGTACTTACATTTCCTTGAGGCTTTGGCTATTCCCGTGTGGCTTGATGCACTCACTCGGTCATGAACTATATGATCTTCTCTGGGATACATGGACAAAAAGCAAGCAAATGGCCCATGACTTCGCGTGTGGCGTGTATGTGCGCGTCAAATGTCTCTCATCTGAGACCTACTTACCCCATAACCACAGGCTCGAAGGGAAGGGAGGGGGCGGTTGAGCGCCTCGTGAAAACCTCGTTGTCAGCGAGACAAACATCGGCGTCTGTCTGGTATGTAGTTCATGATCCCAGATTGTAAGCATAGATAAATAAGGAGAAAAGGGAGAGGCGTTCTCGGTCTGCAATGAGGCGCTCATAAACGCGCGGATTCTTCGTTCCTTCTTACCCTCCAACGGAAAGGGAAAGCTGGGTAAGCCAGTCAGTCAGCCAGACTGACCAAAGCAGCCAGCCACAACAGCCCTACGGAGGTGTGTGATGCCATCCCTACCGACCGGATTGAGTCGGCGGTTGTCCGTGGTGGTCCCGTCCAAGAATGATCTTGTGAGTTCTTGGCACGATATTTTCATTGCCTGGCGGCTGACGGTCGGCCGCATTTTGGTGAGGTTGACGAATGTGAGGGTATATCGCACGATAGGGTGTAAAGGAAGCAGCTCCATCTCGGTCCCCTTCCCTCTGTCACCTCGTCAGTTTGAGCTTCAAGGTCAAGAGCGTATATGATCCAACAGGAAGTTTTGACTGCTCACCCGTCCTCTTCCAAGGACCGCTTCAACATCAAACCCTCTTTTTCAAGGGATCCTGCCCGGTCACGGCACACTCCGCTGATGGAGGGTGCCAGTTACGACCAAGTGGTGCATAAATCTGTCCAATATAGGCAGCATCCGGGAACCATTCTTCCTCGGAGTTTGGTTCTCATCTGTCCTTTGCCCAACCGTTACATCCTGGCTCATCTAAAGGGCTCAAGCATACGTACGGTGTCTGTTGTAGTGTAAGTGCCCGCAAATGGGTCGGATCTCCAAATGCAACACCGACAGTAGCAGCCAGTTAATGAGCCCAATATCGAGCCGTGAGCCGCGAACCGCACATTGTCGCAGCACCTGGATTCCCAGTCAGGTGTAGCGAACTAGCGATTACCACCGTATTGTGTATTCTGGCCTTGTAGGCAGTTTATATTGACCACCTGGGCACCGAGATTGCAGGATCACCGCGTCGGTCTTGCGTTCCAGCGCCCCGCTGCAGCCCAGCAATTTCTGATATTTCGTTTGAGAATTCATCTCGGAAACAAAAGAGTGTTGTGGTTACTGTTCATATTCCACAGCCATGTCAGCATTGCAGTATGCAATGGTGCAAATGCAACCAAAAAAAAAAAAAAACACATCACGCAAAGTCGCCAAGAAAGAGGATGGTTAGTTAGGCTCGGGGACCTACCGGTAGCTACCGTCCCGAGCCCGAGGCCTTACGCAGTAGAGCTGGGATCATGTGGAGAAAGCGAGCCTGCCACCCTGCTTTGCCTGTCCACCAACAACCTTCCACTTTTCCATATGCAATCGGTACCAAAGACGGGAAAAGGGCTGACTGGATTGGCAGGGTGGGCCGGCGGGGGAGGTACAGAAGGGTTACGTCCGCTTGGAAACCGCCCAACATCATTTTGAGGAAAATGTGAAAGCAGCACAGTGCTCATTTCGTATAGCGACTTTTTCGGTAGCCATCCGGACGTCCTCGGAACCACGGGACTTGACGAACAACTGACGGACCGCTCTTTCAATTCTGTAATGTCGACCGGTGTTGTTACTCAAGACGCCATCCACTGTGCTCGACCGGTCTCACTTTGGCCCTTGGCCATCAGCAGGGAGTTTTTTTTGCAAGGCTGCCACCGCTTGTCTGGGTTGACCAATGTGATGACGTCCCGAGGGAGCGGCATACGCCGTAGAAGCGTCGTGGCATCTTGGATAGTGCGGCGATCTGCCAAAGGGGTTTGGAGATAGACCAGGATCGCCAACCAGCACCTGCGTTGCTGGCCGGTAGGCATCTGTTTATGATTTCGAGGGCTTGCCATGACGGTTCATAGGATGTTGGCACTTGCATCTGGTGGACGTCCAGCCTCTCAGGAGCATTCACTTGGGTATTTTGGAAAGCGAATACGGGAGATGAGGGTGAGGGCGGCGGTTTCGGATAGGTGATCAAGTTATTGATTTCACCCTGACCGCAGACAGGAGTCCCAAAATAGAACATTGGACATGGCCCATCCCCATCGAGAACATTTGTTCACGTTACGAGAAGTTTGGGGACGCCCTCGGACAAGAAATTGATGGTGTCGCTTTCAGGAGGGTTGCCGGTCTGTGGGTTTCTCTGAACTCTCGACTCGCATCGTATACTTGTGCCATGATGATGGTCCCATACGCTCTTTGACGACATCAATGTGCATCTTGCCGAACTTGGCGAGCAAAAAAGGTGTGCAACCGGGAGTGTGCGTATTGTTGGCTTCCGATACTTGCCCTGGAGGTTGCCCTGGGCCAGAAGACCTTTCGATATCCGAAGGTGCCTGTTACGAATCGGAAAAGCTCCCATGGCCGTCACACTACCTTTGCGTATTGCGACGTCTCCGCCAGCGGTCTTAACAGCCCAGGTAAGTTGTTCGCAGTTACACCACATACCGTTCTCTTAATCCCATGACGGTGGCTAATATTGTCTTACGGCACCCTTTATTTCGACCAGGCTGTTCTTGACTCTTCATGCTGGACTGGCAGATTTGATGATTTGGTGAGCATGTCTGTTTGATGCTGCGTGTCTCAGAAAACGTCCCATTCACTCAGAGTGAATCTCCTTGATCATTCCATCCCATGTACGTGCCCTGCAACACTGCGCAGTGCTCTATGGGCAGCAGAAGCTCGCCCGGTTGGGTGTGTCTTGCGATGTCAAGGGCCCGTTTGGTTCATCCAGCTGTTTTTTCTTTTGTATGTGAAATCGACCCCTGCAAATCAGCAAGTCGATTCATGCAGGAAGTTGGGGGTCAGTTTGCCCATTTAACCCAGCTTGGCTGCGTCAAGAAGTATTGCGCTAAGGCAGGCGGTTCGGAAGGCCTAAGAAGGGAATTAGTGGGCCCATTTTGGCCAATTCTGCTGTTTTCTATCTTCATACCCAAGGGCATGAAGATAGAAAGAAACAGAACCAACTACGAATCACAACCCCGGTCACAACAATAGCGCGAATCACAACCCCGGTTACAATAACGCGTCTTTTAGCCCACGTCTTTGCCTGGTACAAAGCAGTGGCTTTCTAGCTGCATTTTCCGCTTTGTACCCCAAATCAGCACGTTTAAAAAACAGCTGGATGAACCAAACGGGCCCCAATTGTAGATACCGTATGTAGGCGAGGCAGGTACGTACAGTGGGTGTCATGTAACCGTTCGGATGTTTCCATTCCTCGGCGAGGGGTGCACTTTGTCGGTTTGCATGCCCAGTGGTTGATTCCACCCCATGTACCTACCTTGCATACCGACTCTTGTCCGTTCCCAAGTTCAGCTGCCTTGATAAGCACGGATGCACCTGACTTTTGCTTCTGCCATTTTCTCCTCTGACGAACTGATTTTCTGTTTCGACTGTCGACATGTAGGCACTGTGTCAGGTACGTACAGTACAGTAGTGCACGTACAGGGGTCCGCGCAAACTGCACATGCGGATACGGCCGAACGGGCTGGCATTCGGCTCTGAACAAGTCGTGTTCGAAACACGGAACATGGCGGTTGCGGGATTCGGCCCTGGAATAGGTGCTGGCAACCGGGAGGGCGGAGCAGATATTGGAGCTGGCTGATCGCAATACATCCGGGCGCATCCGGCTCTCCGGACTGGCTAGAAGGGCGGGGCCCGAGTAAGGACTCGGGAAGGCGGGGCAGGGATGACCCCAGCGTTGGGCCTCTGTAGACTGTGCTGGACCCCGTCAATTCCATGTGAAACGCCCCTTTCGTGTTGGCCTGGGGCGCGTTCCAATTTTCGACCATGGTATCCATTCTGTTGATCCGTGTACAAGGCCAAAATCTACAGTACTAACAAGGATGTATTTATACCATTTTTCTTTCTTTTCTTTTTTCTTTTATTACATGGTGGCGCATGCACGTGCCAGTAAGCGAGGCTATACGTAGGGGTGCAGTTCACCTATCGAGATCTCTATACTAAAGTTCGTTTATCAAGTCGTAGAACCATGACTACCATTATAAGCTCAATTTTGAAGGTATTTATAAATAGAAATATCTATTTAGTAGTTGGAAAACCGTTCTATAAGATTGTATAATGTTTATTTAATTACTAAGTATAATAATTAATATTATCGAGGTCAAAAGTTTAATGAGCAAAAAAAGAGATATAAATAATAATCTACTATAATGATAGCTAGAATCGAACAAACTACAGAAATCGTGCTTTTAAGCGTTTAAGAGCCATTATTACTAATAATAATAGCTAAACGGTGCAAATCGACGATTTTTAATTAATTAAATCGAATTAAATCAAATCGACTAAAGTGCCTAACTAAAAGCTCTCGAATATATAAATATAGGTATTAACTTTATAATCTTATTAAATAGAATCCTCTATTACCAGCACTCTCGTCTCCCTTCCTCCCCATTACTTACTCTCTTACCTATTATATCCTCCTACCGCCTCCAAATTGCTAACTTCATCGACGATATTAACGACGATATTTTTAGTTTAAATAAGTTCATTTACAACGGCCCGCGTAGCCTAACCCCTAAATAATAAGAAAATCTCCTTATTAATACTTAAAATTTCAGTAATGTACTACCTAATTATATTAAAGTATAAGAGTATAATATTACTAATTTTACTGCTATTAACTACCCTCCTCCTCCTCTTCGTCCTCTAATTACCCTACTGGTTTCCCGACTAAATCTTATATTCCCTATACCATATATTAATTAGCGTATATATTCGAGCTAATTGCTTACTCCCTAACCTACCCCCTATCCTTCTGTTATAGCCCCCCCCCCTATAAGTAAATTGGGTTATTAATTGGGGTAAAAGTTAGTAAAATCGAAGTTGAAGTAGTAAAAGTGTCGGAAGGTATCGATCGACGAAGGTTAGAATAGTATCAAAGTCAGAAAGAGGATGAATAATAAAGTAAATATCACCTTCGCTTTGGAGGTTGATGAAAATGGTGGAGAATGGTATGTAGAATGTGTGGATAGGTAGTAGATTGGTAGAGATATCGATGAGTGTCTCTGATGAGTTTTATTTTCCTTCCTCGAAGGTTCCTCCTTTTTTATAGACCTTTTGAGTTCTACCAAAACCTAGTGATAAAACCGAAGGTATTTTTGGAATCGTCATTTCCAGCTCATTTAAACGGTACTTCGTTTGGTTCCGTACGTTAACCGTGGAGTCCGGAGTCCGGATCCGAAGCCCGAAGTCTTTCTTGATTTCTTTTCTTTATTTTAATTCTATATAGTCATTATATGACGAAACCGTTTACACTATTATAATTATTATAGTTTCCTTATTGCAATGATGGTACGTATGGCTTCGTACGACTGACGTTGAGGCCGGAAATCGATTGCGAAGGTCGAAGGTTTGGATTTCTTTCGGATTTTCTTCCGGATTTTATTCAAGGGTGATTCCTGTAGTCCACCGGACCTATTCTCCGGACCGGAATTTTACTCCGGTTATATATTTTATATTTATATATAAAAACATAAAATATATTATATTATACTATATTATATAAAAGACTCGTAAATTCGTTATAAGTCTATTAATATATATATATATATATATATATATATATTAAGTCTAACAAAAAGTAGTTAAGTAATGTTTATTTTATTACTTTGCCAGCTATTTACCTTCCCTCTATTATTTAACGACGATAGTAATAATAGTGATAATAATAATAATAACTCCTTTCCTAATATTTCTATTATATGGCTATAATTATTAATCCTTCCCCTTAATACCCAACCGCTAATTCCCTAACTGCTAACTCCCTAACTAATTACTCCCTAACCGCTAATTGCCTGTACTAC